TCAGTTACAAATTTAGTGGAGGGGCCACAGAATACACTCCAACATGTCTCCTATGAAAATAGAGATGTCCTATTCAACATTGTCATTATTATTTATACCCCGCCCATCTGACTGGGTTGCCCCGGTCACTCTGGGCAGCTTCCAACATACATAAAAACATAACAAAACTGTGCAGGGCTGCTTTCAGATGCCTTCTAAGGGTTGTACAGTTATCTCCTTGGCTCGAGGGTTGCATAATTCCATACCCTCCAGCATTTCAACAGTGGAAATAGGGACGTCCTAAGAAAAAGCAGGACATTCTGGGATCAAATCAGAAACTGGGACAGACTCTGTAAATCTGGGACTGTCCCTGGAAAATAGGAACACTTAAAGGGTTTGCCATAGTTGGATGGCAGAACACGTTACATATACAAAAGGTCCCTGAAATCATCAGTTAGAACAAGATGGGCAAAATACTGGGCCAGCTTATACCATTGGCCATGTTGGCTGGCGTTGATGAGAGCAGAAGTCCAGCAACAACTGGAGAGATCACAGGTCCCTCATCCCTGCTCTAGAAGTATGAAACATAATTTACTCAGTAGAGTCCAAATCTCTCCCCATGGACACATTTTCCTTATCTCGTCTGCTCTTCCAGTGTTTCATAAGCACCTTTCTCACACTCTTCTTGAGAAGTTATGTTTGTTCAACACTTACCATGTACTCTTGAGGCCCGCATAGACGAGTTTAGAAATGGTTTAAAAATATTTCAGATCAAGAGGGCAGGCCCATTTTGTTGAAGTCAATGTTATGGCGGCCGTACAAAACTAACAATGGAAACAATGTGTATGTCCTCCACCATGAGAAGATGGGTCGTATTAGAAGAGGGATAGCAACAATGCGCATTCCATTGAAGTCGACAACAAAATTCCCACTCATTAGGAACCCCTCCAGTAAAAAAAATTACTGGATGCAAGAGAACCAGAAAATAAGTCGCCCCATTTTCTCTTCCAATGTGAAATAGCTTTCTCACAGGCCCCTCTGTAGGGCCAACAGAGCCTCAAGGAAAACTAAGTTTCCTGGATATATGCATTAGTACAGTCAAACCTTAGTTCCTGAACGGCTCCATTTTGGAATGTTTTTGCTCCCAAATGCTGAAAACCCAGAAGTAAATGCTCTGGTTTTTGAACGTTTTTTGGAATCCAAACATCCTATGCGGCTTCTGCTGAGTGCAGGAAATTCTTGCAACCAATCAGAAGCCGTGCCTTGGTTGTTGAACATTTCGGAAGCTGAACGGGCTTCTGGAACACATTACGTTCAACAACCAAGGTTTGACTGTATTTCATATACGCAAACTAAACAAAATATCTACAGGAACAGGATGGGAATCACCACCTGTTTTCCATCAAGTGTTACAACTTAAAATTATTTTAATTTGGAAGAAATGTAATCGTTAATAAGCAATTTTCACTGAACAACCCTAATAGAACCCAATGCTAGGCTAAATGCTAATTTCCATCTATTCAGGCCAGTCCTTCCCCCCAGAGATTATGCCCTCTTATAGCAGTTAGTTTAAGAGCCTTTTGGATGTTTAAGAAGTACTTTGGTGTGTTAAAAGAACTACAGGATCCATCTTTCACAAAAACAAGAACAAAATACAATGAGTTCTGTGGGTCTAACATGAAGGATCCACTTGATCTCAGAGAGAGAAAATGGCTGTACTTTTTTTGGTTGGAAAAAAGAGGCGATGGAAATCATTTAAGTGCTAAGATAATAGTGTCTCAATTTTGTTTTCCTTCTACGTCGCTCACAACAGTATCAAGATTGCCATCCGCTGCTGTAAAAACTATGAATGTTCCTAACTGATTTCTATTGCTGTGGGAGTCAACAAAAAGGTAAAAGAAGGGGTTCCTTATCTTTACCTATCAGTCAATAATTGCATCTTTCATGAAGGATACAGGTAGGGATGCCCATTTGAATTCTGTAAGGTGACGGTAAAAAGGCCAACTAAAAGGTACTTTTCAAAGCACAGAACATGCCAGCCACTGTTAATACAAAATAATGAAAAGAAACTCTCCTTCTGTTGCTTTGTTCATGCAGTAGGTGTTTCATTTCAATATGATAACAGAGCAGGCAGAGGATATAAAGTAAATTCCATGTCTTGACTTAGCATTAAAATCTTTTTACTGTTTGGAAGCGATAAAAGAACACAACACAGAGCTGAATAATCTAGCTTTTTTTTTTTTTTTTAAAAAAGTCTTACATTAGGTGACAGAAGCAAGCAGCCTCCTCCCGCAGTAAAATGCCCTTCTTATTTGATCAAAATTAACTAGAAGTTCCTTATCTTTTCCTAGTTAAATCCCCAAGTCGTAAAGGACAGTTTGAACACATAGGTCTCCCATTTCTGGAAGACGTTCAGGCTTGGACCTTAAATATTTAGAAACTCTCGCATAAATTGTCAGGCAGGTCGCCTCCTTGGTGATTGAATACCCAGGTGATTGAATAGCCTCCCTCGCGGCACTTCCTTTGTGGTCTTTTTGGCACCATGTAAAGATCATTTTGTTTGCCCTGGTATAATCAAACCAGTGCTTTAAACAAGCCCCAGGGTCTTGCTGCTTTTATTGCACTTGTTTCATTCTCCCTTGGGCCAGAAGAAAAAGTTCCCCCTGCATTTGAATTGTTTCTGATCATTGCATTCAGTGTTCTTATAACTGTATTTTGTTTCCTTTTGTTCTGCAAAAGGGAACAGGTGAAACGAGTCTGGCTGACCCGCTGTTACTTTGGGACTCATTTGAGATGTTTTCCTGTCTGCTCCTGGGGTACTCAATCTGGAAGGAGGATAAAATGGCAGAGATTTATTAACTTTCGTTGAGCCTTGTGGTAAGACTTAGGAAATCCTTGTGGATACTGTATCTGAAGCTTGCATATTTACACCACACCATTGTTCTGCCTGGGACGCGGGTGGCGCTGTGGGTAAAAGCCTCAGCGCCTAGGGCTTGCCGATCGAAAGGTCGGCGGTTCGAATCCCCGCGGCGGGGTGCGCTCCCGTTGTTCGGTCCCAGCGCCTGCCAACCTAGCAGTTCGAAAGCACCCCCGGGTGCAAGTAGATAAATAGGGACCGCTTACAAGCGGGAAGGTAAACGGCGTTTCCGTGTGCAGCTCTGGCTTGCCAGAGCAGCGATGTCACGCTGGCCACGTGACCCGGAAGTGTCTGCGGACAGCGCTGGCCCCTGGCCTATAGAGTGAGATGGGCGCACAACCCTAGAGTCTGTCAAGACTGGCCCGTACGGGCAGGGGTACCTTTACCTTTTATTGTTCTGCCTGGCTTATTTCAGTTTGGGTTGTTGCGCCATATCTGCAAAACAAAACTTTTAAGGACCAAAAATGGAGGGAACAGCTGAAACCCTATTGGTCCGTTGTGTCACCTGACATCCGCTGAATTATTACACTGCGGTACCCTTTCCTGACCACTGCAGGTGGAAGTGCAGCAGAGAGCAGCGCAACAGCTCCCTCTGCTGGTTAACTGTATAGGGGGAGTTTTCCTTCCAATACAAACAGCAATTTGAAATGAGCAATTTTTGATTTTTGACAGAAGAGCAGAAGAGGGAAGGATTGAACTCCCCTCCCTTGCCTGCTAAAATCATAATAATTATCAGCTCCCTCCCCAGCAGCTGTTTGCATTTAAGAAGAAAAACATGCAAAATAAACACAAATACACATTTAACAACCTATCTAGCTTGGCCTCAATTTTCTAGCAATTTACAAGGGCCCCTGTTGTTCTGTTATTTATTCATTTCTAGCATGTAGTTCTTGGAGCAGCTTAGGTAAGAGCAATAAAAACAATTAGCAAAATCAGCTTGTGACATTTGTTTCATTCTTTGACGTTTGTAGGGCTGTAAACCTAAAATCTTGGCACCATTTTCAGTGCATCTTGCACTGCATCAACACAGAATCTTATGTGATGCCAGTGAGATGGCAGCGGTACAATATGAGCCACTGACCAAAATGACAAGTGAAGAAATGTCTCAACTGGCCAAGTGAATTTCTCATGTAAATGTGATGAGTCAGCCCTGGGCAAGGCATCGACCGGAAAGATGCTCACACAAGACAACAGGGTCAATAATCATCATAGCGTCTGGCTTCCTTTAAAGAAGTTATATGACTACTCTGTGGCCTTGTGAAGAGCAACGTGGGAGGATAAAAAGTAATGTCGGATTTCTGTATGAAACTGTATCAGCAGAAATACAGTTACCTACAAAGTAGGCCTAGTGACTGCGAGTGGCCACCGAGACCACATAACACCGGTCCTGAAAGACCTACATTGGCTCCCAGTATGTTTCCGAGTGCAATTCAAAGTGTTGGCGCTGACCTTTAAAGTCCTCAACGGCTTCGGCCCAGTATACCTGAAGGAGCGTCTCCACCCCCATCGTTCTGCCCGGACACTGAGGTCCAGCGCTGAGGGCCTTCTGGAGGTTCCCTCACTACGAGAAGCCAAGTTACAGGGAACCAGGCAGAGGGCCTTCTCAGTAGTGGCACCCTCCCTGTGGAACGCCCTGCCATCAGAGGTCAAGGAAATAAACAACTATCTGACTTTTAGAAGACATCTGAAGGCAGCCCTATTTAGGGAAGTTCTTAAATGTTTGATGTTTTATTCTTTTTGGGGGTTCTTTTTGGGGGTTTGCAGGTGCCACTAAAGCACAACTATGAATAGTGTTTCATGTGCTTTCTCTCCTTGGCAGTCCAGCTGTGTTGAACTAAGTTGGTGCATGTCTTCAAAGTGTTGGGGTGCAGGAATCCCAACCTTCCTCTGGGGTGAGCAGAGGACTGGGTGAGTGGCAAAGAGGAGGCGAGGGCAGACATGGAGCAGGGGCGCTGAGCCACAAAGGTCATATACAGCGATCAGCATCAGGGTGCAAGGCTGTTTTGGTTTAGGGCAGGAGTGATGTGAGACGCATCCCTGCATCAGAGTAGAAGGAAGGGAGCGGGGGAGTGAAGGATAGCAAGTATGAAAAATAAAGCAAGGAAAATGTTCAAATTTTTATTATAAATTAAATGTAAAACCAAAGTCAGTGCTGACTTTTCATAGTCAATAAACCAAGAAAATTTAGTGAAACCAATATAATTATCAGGAGTTGAGTCCTTTAAAAACCATTTCAGTAAAAAAGAAGTAATGAACAAGTATACTCTACATTCACATTTCTACTAGCTGCCTGTTTTCTTAGTTGTAACTGATTTGCAAAGGGTTGTTTTTTTTCAAAAAACAAAACAACCCAAAGGATTTTTTGAAACTGGCTTCGTTTACTAAGCCATGATTTACTATGGATTGTTTGAATGCCTGTTGCTGGTTTACCCATCGTGGCTTTGTTTTGCAAAAACTATGGTCTGGTGCTATGCCCAAGTCTTGCTTTACCATAGTTTGCTTGCCCCCCGCCAACCCAGAGATACTTGCTGAAACGAGAAACTTCAACCAAACATGGTTAAGTAGGATGTTTTCAGAAACTTCACATAATTCTGGATACTCTGGTTCTGGTTTTCTGATCTTTGAAGGCTGTGTTCAACTCTTTCAAGGACATTTGACGGTGTTTCTCTCTCTGAGGGGGGAAACCAAAGAAACTTTATCAGTAAACTCAAGTGAGGCCTACAACAAAATGGTGGAACGCTCATCCTGTCTACTATCCCAGAGAATCGGCATCCTCTCTGCTAGAAGTCTCCAATTCTTTCTCCTTCCCATCTGGTTTCTGCCTCACTGTGCTCCTCCCCGTAGTATTCCATGCTTAGTTCTCATTGGACTGTTTTCGGACTCCCTTAAATATTTGTTCAGGGCTTCGATGGGGCTTCTGAAATTTCTGCCTTGTGCTCAAATGGCACCATTTTACTTACATAGGCATTGGCACTCGCCCCTGAGTATCAGAAAGAGAAGGAATGATGGGCACCTATTAAGACCGATTATTTTTATGATTATTATTTATCAGTTCAAAACCGATACTTGAAAAATGCACCTGGTGTTCCAAAAATCTTAACGTATTTTCTCTCTAACAAGAGACCAAACCTATTTTCACCAGGGAGCCCAAATAACCTTGATCTCTAACCAACTTTCCACCTGAAAACATGGCTATAGAGCCCCATCACGAGCTAATCCTAAAGGTTCAACCTAACTTTTCACGAAAAGGCAACAGTGGCATCATCATCCACTACAATCCCAGAAGTCACGTTTTTCTTTTAAGCAAAAAACAAAACAAAAAAGACTCCACCTGTAACCAATTTAAATTATGTTTTTGGTACCATAGGTACTTGTTAAAACAAAATGATTGATAGTACTTTTATTGGATCCATTCATAATTCACCAGCCCCATAAAATCTACACGGGATTCTTAGGATTTGCTTTTATGTTTACTAGAACATAATCTTTAAAAATACATGTGGTTAGAATAAATGTCAAAACTGTCCCAGAATTTGTAAGGGCTGCACATTATTTTTATGTGTAGTAATCACTTCTGGTTAAAAGCGATCAAACAAATTACTTTCTTGGGACTTGGGTTTCTTATTTTATATTATTGTGATACCCTCTAACAATCATACACGTTTAAGCAGTTCTGGGCCTTGTTAGTAACTATTTACAATTCAACCCTACTTCCAGCAAATTACTTCAACAATCTGTTCTGTATTTCCCTTTTCATAATGTATTCCCAATATAAATATATATATGTACACGTTGTGTGTCTGCATGGATGTGAGATGAATTAAGAATATGTTCTGTGTTAACTCAACGGAACTCTACTTATGCATGAATATTATTGCTTTCATATTTATTCTGAACTGTCAGCCTAAGTAAAATTTGAAGTGGAAAATGCTTAAAACATAATATACCAGTCTTGAAATGTGGAAGGAAAGGGAGTTCTGCTGGAAGAAGAAATATCCTGCAGCCTACGATTCCTATGTACCATGTGTCCCTGTGGGATGCTTGGAAGCAGTTAACAAAACTAAAATTAAAGGTCGCGGATGGGGGAAGCTACTGATCTCTTCAATAGCTGGGGGGAAAGAAATTATATATACTCCAAACACACACACCACACCACACACACGTGTCCTTGGTGGTAGTGAACAGGCTTTGCATGCAGAAGACAATACTGAGGTACATGGACTAACAGTTTGACTTGGTACAAAGGCAGCTTCCTATGTTCATAAAGGCTAACAGATGTTACTGCAGCGTAAGATTCTGTTTGCTTCTTGAAGCTGGTGCCACAAAGCAAATCTGATGGTATTTAGGGTGCCACAGGCCCTGTGTCAGGGCTTGTGGTTAACAGTCTCATATGGCTTCCCTGCTGGAATCTCCCAAACCATCAGCTAGATACACGGCAGTAGAAAAAAGGCAAGCTAAACGTACAAATATTGTTAAGCAGTTTTCTTTCCGCTGCTCTAAATGAGCTGTCCCAAGCAGATAATTCCTCATGGGTTTGCACATACTCATACTATACAGAGGATTTGTCCGGCAGCAGATCTGCAAGCAGCGCCTTCTGCTACTGACTAAAAAAACTGGCAAAAACAAAACCTATTGAAGGTGCAAACTCGGCCTCAGTGGCAGAGCCACAGTCGTATTTGCAGCCCTGCAGAGCATACCAACTAGGGTAGAAGGTGCAGGAGCAGCCTGGAGCCAGTGCATCATGTGACAGAGTTGGGCCAGCTTGGAACCTGGGCTGTTTTAGCCCCACCTTGCCACAGCCTGTATGGCAAGTAGAAGGGGAACTGCCACCACCAGCAGAGGCTGGCCAGAGGTACACATCTGATTCAATACTCCCGCCAAGCACAAAGGACAATAGACCATTTCTTTACCAGATATACGATGCCATATTTTAGGATGCAGTTGCCCCTTCAAGTTGGTACACAGTTTTTCACAAAATGCAGTAACAATAAAACGTAATAAAAGAACCACACGCCACATTATACCCACTTAAAACTGAACAGCAGGCAAATGTACAATAATCTTAAAATAACAAAAGTAACACTAAAGCAAAAAGAGAGAGCTAGACTAGATGACCTGGCTCCACACAGAACAAAATTCTTGAGGGAATGGGAGTCTACTCACAGCATCCAGTCTTCTAGACAAGTGCCTCTGCTCCTCTTTTTTCCGTCTTAATTGATTCTCTAGGTCCAATATTTTCATCTGAAAGGCTTGCTCCTTCGATGCGATTTTTTCCACCTCCTCTTTTAACTGTAACAACAAAGAGTCAAACCTATATACTGTCCATCGAAACGTAATAATCAAAACCCTTACCTTTCAAGTTGCAATACCAAATGTTAACAGCAGTGAGGTTTTCATTTAAGATGAAACGTGTTTCATGAGAAAACGATAAAAGGAAGACTGATAGGGAAAGATCCCATTTACCAATCAACAGAGTACAGATAAAAATTGCAGGATAATGATCTAATTTTTTAATCAAGAGGAACACTGGTAGTTTATGTATTACATGAACATTACCAAATTATCTCACCTTTATTGAATACCACATTTGTGCGACTGGCTTTATGCTTTTCCCTCATTCAAATCTAAATTATCTATGCCCTGGTAACTTTCAGGTTGGATTACTGTGTGGTGCAGCTACCCTTAAAGCCAGGCTAGAAACTGCAACCATTTCAGAACATAGATACTGTACTGGATTTTTAACACGGACTGAGTGACAAGATCACATCAGGCCAGCTCTGAAACCTTCAATAGCTTCCAGTCCATTTTGGGGTTCAATTCAAAATGTTGGTGTTGACCTTTAAAGGTCTTTGTATATGGGACTCTGGTACCTGTTGGACCAGCGTCCCCCAATCTGAAGTTTTCCAGATGTTTTGAACTACAACTCCTCATCTTCCTTGATAATTAATCACGCTGGCTGGGGTTGGTGTGCTATATAGGAGTCTTCTCGGTCAGTGAGCTCTTCATCTGAGTCCCTTCCCCAGAGTGGCTTGGGAAACTCAGCCAGATGGGAGGGGTATAAATAATAAATTATTATTATATTATTGTTATAATAAAAAAATGTCCGCAGGAGGTGCCTCTAACATGGGGACCGCTTAGATGAGAATGTCCCAAGTCTCTGAACAACAGTGACTGGGCTGATATCCTGGACAAATGCATGCCTGACTTGCCAAAATGCTTAGGCACATTACAAAAGATGCCTATTCCAAATGTAAGTAGAGAAACTGGCAAAGAAAAACACCTCCAGAAAGCTTTATAATGGGGGAAAGGTGATGTCCTTATTAGGAATGCTCAGTTTTGCTTGGTTTGCATTTTTAAACAAAAGGACCTAATTTGCACTTCCTGGACTCCTATGGGAATTCAGAATCGTTATCCTTCGGTTTTCACATTTCTCCAGATTTTGCAATGTAGCTCTTTTTTAAAAATAATAATAATGGTGCACCGAAATGCGTATTTTCAATTAAAATATGCATACTGAAAGCTGCATACATTTGCTAGTGTTTGAAAACACCAACAGTGGGGTGGCGAAAACAAGTTGCAAAGAGAACCTTCTGCTTCACATAAGAGGCATTTGTCTAAAGATCTCGTCCACATGTGGTTCAGGTAATTTTAACTGCACCACTGTAAAAACTACCTGAACCCCACGGGAGACTGCTTCACCCACACATTTTCATTTTCATGGGGCATCAGTGCCATTAATCAATGTATGAAACCAGCCTAAGTTAGAGATTAGTTCAAGGTGGGTCTTTTTTCCTGGTGCATAATTTAAGCCAGAACTAAGGTCTGGAATCAATTTTCAATGTCAGTGTTCACCCTGGAATATGTAAACAGTCATACGAAAAGAATGCTTTGGGGCATGTATAGAGTACCTTTTCCCCTCGCCAATGAGTCATTAGTGGCTAGATTCCAAAGATTAATGAGTGGAAGGGGAAAATACATTAGTGCTGTTCCTCAAATTCTTCAAGAAATATCCAAAAACTTCTTGTACTCCAGTGCCACAATGTCTCATGGGGGGGGACCTCAGGCTGTGAAGTATGACTTCTAGTAAAGGTAAAGGTACCCCTGCCCGTATGAGCCAGTCGTGTCCGGCTCTAGGGTTGTGCGTCCATCTCACTTAAGAGGCCGGGGGCCAGCGCTGTCCAGAGACACTTCCGGGTCACGTGGCCAGTGTGACGAAGCTGCTCTGGCAAGCCGGCACCAGCAGAGCCGGCACCAGCGCAGCACACGGAAACGCTGTTTACCTTCCCGCTATAAAGCGGTACCTATTTATCTACTTGCACTTAGGGGTGCTTTCGAACTGCTAGGTGGGCAGGAGCTGGAACCGAAAGACGGGAGCTCACCCTGCCGCGGGGATTCGAACTGCCGACCATGCGATCGGCAAGTCCTAGGCACTGAGGTTTTACCCACAGCGCCACCCGCGTCCCTAGTATGTCTTCTAGGGAGTCATGAAACACTTTTTGAGAATTAGCATTTGCACAAAAGGAGGAACTATTCTGGATTAGGAGATCCACTATTCTCACACAATACTCTGTGATCCAAAAAGGGTATCCTTTAATCCTTTTCTGGGATCTGACCCAGCCACAGATCCACCAATCTAAGTCCAGAGGAAATAAAAGGTGTGACTTCTAGGGAGTGGTTGCCCTATTAGAGAAATCTTAGTTAATTCATCCTATGAGTTTTAAGTTGCAATCCTATATCTACTTTCTGGGGAATAAGCCTCATTGGACACAATGGGACTGATTTTCAAGTAGACATGTATACAAGATTATGCTGCTAGCCAATTAATTGAGCGATTAAATTTGCCTAACGCTTAGGGCTAGTTCTGAAGTGGGAAACAGAATTTCTTTGACTTTTGAGACAGGGAGCAGGTGGCCATGCAGATGCTCTTGGGCTCCATCTCCCATTAGCTTTGACTACTGGTCAAGTTGGCTGGGACCAATGGAAGCTGGGAGTCCAACAATACCTGTGGGATCACAAGTTGCCCATCCGTTTTAGACAATTTGCACATGTGTTGCAGCAGACATCATCTTGGAAAAAGCGTTTTGCCACCTGCATTTTTAACAAGTACTTGCATGTGTTGTACACACACGCACATATACTTGTGCATGCCTTAAAAAAAGGTAAAGGTAAAGGACCCCTGGACGGTTAAGTCCAGTCAAAGGTGACTATGGGGTTGCGGCGCTCATCTCGCTTCAGGCTGAGGGAGCCCGCGTTTGTCCGTAGACAGCTTTTCAGGGTCATATGGCCAGCATGACTAAACCGCTTCTGGTGGAACAGGACACCGTGACGGAAGCCAGAGCACATGGAAATGCTGTTTACTTTCCTGCTGCAGTGTTACCTATTTATCTACTTGCACTGGCGTGCTTTCAAACTGCTAGGTTGGCAGGAGCTGGAACAGAGCAACGGGAGCTCACTCCATCGCAGGGATTCGAACCACCAACCTTCTGATTGGCAAGCCCAAGAGGCTCAGTGGTTTAGACCACAGTACCGCTCATGACCTGCATGCATGCACGCATAGCTGCCCAATAAATCAAGGGCACTTTTTGACTTATTACTGTATTTTTTCATGTATAGGACAAGTTTTTTTTCTGCTTTAAAAATTTAGTAACAAATTGGGGGTCGTCTTATACATGGGACATGGGCATTGGGTCGTCCCCCCCCCCCGTATTAAAAAAAATGTCCGGCATTTTGGCTTGGGCAGGCCGAAGCAGTCTCTCCTGCCACTGTGCCCCCTTTCTCCTCCCCCTTCTAGCTATGTGCTGGTGAGTGGATTGCCTCCTGCAGCCCCTGCCGGCTCAACGACTGGAGTGAAAGCAGCCGCTGCCAAGAGCTGCCTTGGCTACCTCTCTTCACCCTTCTTTCCTTTTCTCTCTCCCCGTAAACACCACCCCTGCCCTGCTCCCCACCTTCCTCAACTCAGTTTGCTCTATAGCATGAAATGGGCTCTGCCTTGGCGTCCTACCCCTTGGTTCCCCTTCAGCAACAAGCGATTGCCCCCCAAAAGCTCAACAACTTTCTGCTGCCAATCTATTTCAGGGTTTTGTTCTCTTAATTTTGGGTTAAAAAATAATAATAGGGGTCATCTGATACATGGGGGCATCTTATACACTGAAAAATACGGTAAAATATTATTTAATGTTTGGCATTTTGAAAATGTTTTTGTATTTCTTAGCCCACCTTCTAGGGGGCTGCATGCCATTGGTAGGTGGGGCAAAAGTTGGGGCAACAGATATGATTACTTTTCTACAGGAGGCTACTCTCCAGCCAGGCAAAAGCCAGAGGTTGACATGCTGCACGCTAACACCTCTCTATCCTCTATCACCACATTTCAATGACACATTCCAGCCAGGCAAAAGCAGTTGAGGAAGGTGCAGAGTCAGTGGAAGGTGTGGCATAGGAAGGGGTTGAGTGTCCTGGGGAGAGTCCCTCACAGAAACAGTGTGCTCCATGGAGTTTTGAGAAGAGAAGCAACTGCCTCTTTTTTGGGGGGGGTGTGCTTCTGTATATGAACAACAGGTACATAAATATATATATATGCATATACTCAAAATACTCAAGACGAGGCCTACCTTCTTCCTTCCATCTTCCAAAGCTGCTTCCAGTTGTCTGGTTAACGCATCATAGCTCGCAAGTTTCTGTTTGAACTGCAGTTCCGTTTTCTGAAGGCAATCTTCTTGGCTTGCCAACTGATTTTCAAGCTCTTTGTTCTTTAGTTCCATTTCTTCTAGTTTTCTTTTAAGTCAAGTACAAGTGTTAGCGTAAGGTTACGACAGAAAGAAAGAAAGAGAAAGAAATTCTGAATGGCAGGAGACATGCCACATTTACCTTTTAACGTCTTCGTATTTCAGCTGAACGTTGCGATTCTCCTCTTCTAAAGCAAGCTGTTTCAAGAAACTGTCGTTCTCGACTACCTGTAAAAGCAGGGATTCGAACATAACCCACAGAACTGTGGGCTGAAAATGAGGTGCTAGCTCTTTGCAAATCCTCACATCACTTATCACCAGGACTAATTCATGACAAAAGCCCTGAATTAATGTTAACCAAGAAATAGGACTCTAACCTCCTTCCGCAGGGCCTGTAAGACAGAGCTATACCGCCTGGCTTTCAATTTGAATTTAGCCTGATCTTTTATTCCCCTTCCTTCCCTTTTTATGAAGATTACCCGCTCTGGGATCCCACAGCTAATTCTCCCCTGGTCTCCTCGCTGGCCCAAATAGGACAAATTTAGCCAGCTAGCCCTTGTCATCATCTAATGTTTATTGGATGGATTTCCCCCTAAATTGATTTTTGAACTTTGAATTTATTGTTATTCACGCTTTTATACTGTATTTTATGCTGTTTTTTGCAGTATCACAATTAACTGTTTTAAATTTGTTGTTGGCCGCCCTGAGCCCGGTTTTCTGAACTGGGAAGGGTGGGGTATAAATAGAAAGTTATTATTATTATTATTACAGTGGTACCTCGGGTTACATACGCTTCGGGTTACAGACTCCGCTAACCCAGAAATAGTACCTTGGGTTAAGAACTTTGCTTCAGGATGAGAACAGAAATCATGTTCTGGCGGCGCAGCGGCAGCAGGAGGCCCCATTAGCTAAAGTGGTGCTTCAGGTTAAGAACAATTTCAGGTTAAGAACGGACCTCCGGAACGAATTAAGTTCTTAACCCGAGGTACCACTGTATTATATTATTTCTGGGTTACTATTTCTGGGTTAGCGGAGTCTGTAACCTGAAGCGTATGTAACCTGAGGTACCACTGTACTATATATGACAAAAACTTGTTTTGGATGCATACAAAGTTCCCTTATAGGAAAGCTGAATATTATCGCCCAGGGCATTCTGATGTGCCCAGGGCATAAGCCTCTACGGTCCTGCAACTTTCTGAAGTGAGGTGGGCAATGACAGGGGTCGTAATTGGATATATAAAAAAAGGAGGGTGGGAGGTGCTTCAGAGACTAGAAAACTGCTCTCTGAAGCAACAGCCTCCCATAAAGCATTAGTCATCACTGGAGCAAATTGCTCTCTGAAGCACCCCTTGCAAGCTCCTCCATCCTGACGGCTATTTAGTCAGGTGGGTGCAGCCCACCAGAGTGAAACAATCTTAAATACTTGCTTAAAAGCAGACAGGGAAGTCTGACAGAGTCTCTTGGGAGACTGTTCTAAAATTGGGGTGCCGCAAACTGCAAAGGCCCTCTCCCCTCATCCCCACCTGTCGGCAAAGAGATGAGAACAAGTTCACACAAGAGAGGAGGCTGTTCCCGATACTCGATAGACTTGGGTGATTTTCAGCCTGAAAAGGTCGGATCCAACACTTCAAATTGAGCCCATAAAGAACACTGGCCTCTCTTCCAAACTAATCGAGCAGACCAATCTCACGAGAAGCACCAACTTGCTTTAGAAATGGAACATTTGAGCTGCGGGAAACAGGGAGGTGACAGGAGTGCCCTCAGCAGGCAAGAAGTTTCCCTTCTGAACTACTCAGAAATAAGAATCCCAAGAAGCAAACCACTGAGTTCCCCAGCCTTCCTCGCACGCTCGTTTAGATGTTTTGTGGAAAAAAGAGTATTTTCCTCCAAGCACCTGAGCCTGAAGTTCCCTAATGGCTTTGGATTTATCTACACAGCTCTTTTGGCAGGCCAGCAGGCTTTCCTGACACTTCTGCAGTTTCCCTTCGGCTGCTTTCTGTAAATCACGGGCATGTTCTAACTCCTTCAGGCGAGCCTCCGACTGGCCCCTCACCTGTGCAGCCGCGTCGGGTCAGGGGGGGGGGGGAGGAGGAGAAGTAAAAAAAGAAAGAAAAGAGAGAGTAATTTTGCACACTCTCCCATATTCAAACTACTAAATATAAAACATATTCGAACAAAGACAAAATATACTGTAGGAGGCATATGTTTTTATACGGGCTGCATATGGGAGAGGTGTACCCAAAAGGGTTAATGTAGCATAAAATCCTGTGATAAAATCTACAGTAGGCAGTTTTTTCAGTTAGGTCTGTTACCAACCGTGGAGAGTGTGAGGGTTTTTTTTTTTGGTAGTTTTTATTCATTTTATTCATTTAAACTGTTTTAAACACAGTGGCATTGAGATAGATCTTTGTTTACGTGACATGCAAACAACGGCGTAAAAATAAAAGTAGAAGAACAATAAACGCTCAGGTAAAAGTTTCTGAATGCTGTAACAAAGCTGTGTCAAAGTATATAAAGCAGAGCTTTCTAAACTGTGTGTCAAGACACATTAGTGTGTCGGCTGCAGCGTGTCGCACAAACGTTCCCCTTGCTCTTCCCGGGGCTGGAAAGGGGTTAGTTTAACCTCTGGTTTGCTAGTAAAACTGAATTACTGTGTCACGAAAAAATGCATGTGTAAAAAGTGTGTCGCCAACATGAAAAGTTTGGAAAGCTCTGATATATAGAGTGAGTTTTACTGTGTGCAGGTGTTGTTTTAAGCTGCTATGCGACTCAGAATATACGTCTGTACATATTTGCCAGTCTCGTGTGTGTGTGTATCAATATATCATTATCTATCTATCAACCTATTTCTAGTTCTATAACTATTTTCATGTAAATATGATTCAATAAGCTAAGTAAAGTAATCCGTTATGTTTAAACTGTAATCAGAGAATCTTGCATAGTCTTTTCTAGGAAAGTGAAAAAAGAACTTCCACACATATAATTACCACACTGAAAGCCACCCAGAGGGGCTGGGGAAACCTAGCCAGATTTACAGGGTACAACTACTAAAATTATTATTATTATTATTATACTCACCACATCAATTTCTAAATCTTTGCCATCCATTAGTTTTTTGCCCTCATGTATGACCTTCTCATACCGGGCTTTCAGTTCCTCAGCTTCCATTTCTAATTTCCCCACCTACAACAATATTTTATATATATATGAACATTGTATTTTTTAAAATTATGTATGTTTTTTCCCTTAAGAATTATAAATTATATACACAAATATCTTACTATAAGCACATACACAAAAATTATGATGATAATATATTATTGTTATTATTATTACTATTATTATTATTATTACCCCACCTATCTGGCTGGGTTTCCCCAGCCACTCTTGGGGGCCTCCAACAGAACACTAAAAACAGAATAAAACATCAAACATTAAAAACTTCCCTAAACAGGGCTGCCTTCAGATGTCTTCTAAAAGTCAGACAGTTGTTTATTTCCTTGACATCTGGTGGGACGGCGTACCACAGGACAGGTGCCACTACCGAGAAGGCCCTCTGTCTGGTTCCCTGTAGCTTCATTTCTTGCAGTGAGGGAATCGGCAGAAGGCCCTTGGAGCTAGACTTCAGTGTCTGGGCTGAACATACATGGAGTATATTTTGGTTTGGACCTAGTTTTATACCAGCGGAATGAATTTTGGTGATGGTGCTGTTCTCTGCAAGAGGTAGTGAGATTCTATGCATGCCCAAGACATCAACTTGCCTCATTTTTATAATGTTCAATTATATTTTCTTGCTGCTGTGCCTCCTCACGTAAGTCCACAAGTTCAGCTTCGGCCGAGACAATGCTCGCTTCCAAAGATGCAAAAGATGCCTACAGAAAGGAGACGTCTTTAATAAATACCATACTGCCAAAACATGATTAATGCCACAACAACAAGTACTGTGTAGCGTAAGTAAAACTAAACTACATATATTATCACCAAGATGTTTCTATGCAGATAACAAGGACAGGATCACGATCCTAAACAGATCTGCCTGTACCTTAGTCCCACTGAAGGAACTACTTCTGAGTAATTCATACATAAGAGTGGTATAAATATTCCGAATACGTTTAGAAAGCTGCTGAGAAAATATTTCTGCTTCAATTTAACCATCAGTAAAATTGCTATGATACTAACCCCGACAGGCAAGACTCGAAATGTATAACTAAAATTAAGGATTAAGGTGCTCTCCCAAAGTGGAACTCCTAACTAAAATTGGCATAACTACAGTTGCGGTTTGTAGATGACCTTACCTTTAATTTCGTATTTTCAAGTGAAATCTTTTCATTTTCAGAGGTGATGGCATTGAGCTTCCCAAGGATCTCATTCGTCGACCTCCTTCCGACATCTTGAAGTCTTCTCAGTTCCATCAGACGGTCAGCTATCTGCCTTTAACATTTCAAACACAACTTGTGTAGAAATTGTTTTGCATAATGTCATTTAGTTAAATGGTAACTAAATTGTGCTTTAACTACATCCACTTTACTTTCCGCTTCTTAGAAGCAATTTTAGATGTACGTGTTTCATGTTGATCATGTATAAACACTTCTTCGTGTACCTCCTCCATGAGGTCTGGAGGGTGGCAACTGTTATTATCATGATAAAAAAGAAAAACTCAATAAAAACTATTCAAAAAAGAGAATGGGCCGTTTCTACAGTGCCCCCACCCCCGTTTGTGGAATGTTCTCCCTAGGGAGGTTTGCCTGGCGCCTTCATTATATATATTTTAGGCACCAGGTGAAAACGTTCCTCTTCAACAATGGCTGCTACAATGGCCTACATCACACTAAATAGGAATTTCTGCTTCGAATCTGCCACCACCCACTCCCAAACTCCACTCTGGCTCAAAGCTCATATGTCTCGCCACCAGCATTCAAACTCCCTTTCAAACTCTCATCCAATTATCATTCACTACCAAGATTCCGAACTCACTTTTCTTCCGCCTCCCTGCTTACCTTAATTCTTCTAATATACTTGCCTATACATTGACCTTAGCTGCACTACGATCCCAAGCGTTTGGCCACCAGAACCTCACGCAATCCACACCCGTACCTTTGCTATCCTGCTTGGGTCACATCCACTACCATGCATTTAAAGTGCTCTTATGCCACTTTAACAGTTACGGATGTGGCGATCACACAGGGTCCCCGGACATTTCACCGTCTATTGATCCCTGTGCCACCACTTTATTTCTCGCTGCCACCACCCAGGCCCTACCTGGTAAATTACTGAGTCCAGTCAGGGTTAAATTGGAACATAAACTTCTGTTTATTTATTGCAGTTTAACAAGCGTGTGGTTTCATAAATGGTATCGGTCAATTACATTCATGGGGTCCCTATCCAGACCTATAACTTCCGCTACCTGCTCTCACTCACTAAACCACCTCTCAGATATTTACTTGTCTTCCTAGCTCCTAACTGTTCCTGAATCAGCTTATTTCGCTACGCTAACTCAACCTATCCACAGACTCTATCCCAATTCACTCCCACTCCAATCAACCACCCAACTCCCAACGAACTCGCCCTTCCCAGAGCTGGTTTTTATAGTCCCTCTGACTCCACCCCCCTGGGTTCTAATTGGCCAACTATTTAACTGTTTCACTATTTCACCTCCAGCACTCTCATCTGTTAACGTCACAACAGAGTCCTCTAAGGCAGTGTTTCCCAACCTTGGCCTCCAGCTGTTTTTGGACTACAACTCCCATCATCCCTAGCTAGCAAGACCAGTGGTCAGGGATGATGGGAATTGTAGTTCAAAAACAGCTGGAGGCCCAAGGTTGGGAAACACTGCTCTAAGGAATCATGGGAACTGTAGTTGTTTAAGGATGCTAGGAATTGCAGCTCTTTGACTAGCAACAGTTTCCCCATTCTTCTTCTTTTGGTTCTTGTTGTGGGGAGGAGAAACCATAACCGTTAAATGTGATCTTGGTTTCCTTTCCTCCGTGTCTAGCACTGAAACACAGCAGGCTAGGAGATGATGAAAATATTGCTACATCCCATTCCCACAGTGAAGGGTTGTCAAGTAAACACACTTGGGGAGGGCAGACTAAAAAAAGCACATGCAAAATCCTAGAACAGCCATATTAGCCCGGTTCCTCATTTTTAATAAAGAGACTGATTATTTGCAAAGCGGTATTAAGCATTAACTTACTTTTTCAGAGTTTCAGCCTGAACTTCTAACCTGGTTTTTTCATCTACCACTGCCTTGTGATGACTTTTCCAGACATTACAAGCTGAAAGTACCTCAGACAATTGGATTTCCTGGAGAATGTACAAAACACAGACCATGTAATATAAGAACTCATTTTCTGTTTAATTCTTCCCGATTCCCTAGACACAGGAGGTATTTTCATTCAAAGCAGTTTCCAGGTGTATTGCAGTAGTATGGAATAATGTAAAAAACTTGAAAAGCTCGAAATCTCGACATAAACACACACCAATAAAATCCTGAAACACAAGAATCAGCTGGAACTTAAGCGGTTGTACTAACTTTCCAGCAAAACAGAAGTTTTAAACTTGCTAAGAGCGTTTCCCTAAACGAGGTATTTAGAAGTTCTATACAGACATTTCCCAACTGTGAAATATGAGGCCATGCCTGTAAGCTTTTTGGTTATAGAAAATACTCCAGATCACATCTCCTATGCCATTTGTAGACAGGGATTACAATCTGTTGCTTGGATACTTTTCTTCTGCTTCAACTGCTACGGTCACCTGATTGGCTAGCGCCCATGACATCACTGACTGCAAGGAACACAGTATTACAACTGGAATTTTAAAGCAGTATTTCTAAATCAGGTCACTTGGAGCATGCCTTGCCACCAGAGCAACTCTGTACAAAAACAGTCAGCTGGTAGCCATGGGCAGCGATGAACTGTATGCAGTCAAATAAGCAGGCTTGTAGAGGGATGGGCAGAGCGCTGCATCTAAATCTGGAATAAAACTAGTAATGGAATAAAACCAGCACAATTCAGAGCTGATGGGGGAGTGAAGAAAGCCTGCAGGGCTGCATTTCACCCCCAGCTTGAAGCTTCCTGCCCCTAGTCTTATTCTTCTTTGATGATCACTCATAGCCAAGCAAGATTGTCTTCCATAAACACGGTCTTAACAGTGAGTCCGTAAGTGACTGTGGAGGTCAATTCTGGATCCACACGTCCTTCCATAGTGGGGACATTGGTTTCCGGCTGGGAGTTGATCATGGTGAGGGTTTGCCAAGCGTGCCTTCCTCTTAGCACATTTCTCCCTTTTGCCCTGAGTTCAAGCGTCTTCAAAGTCCATCACACCTTTGGTAAAGGCCGTTCTCTAGTTGGAGCGCTCACAGGCCAGTGTTTCCCAGTTGTCAGTGTTTATACTACATTTTTAAAGATTTGCCTTGAGAGAGGCTTTAAACACTTTCCATTTTTAAGTTCGGAATAGAGTAGTTGCTTTGGAAGACTATAATCAGGCATTCGCACAACATGACCAGTCCAACAAAGTTGATGTTGAAGAATCACTTGCTTTGACACTGGTGATCTTTGCTTCTTCCTGTACCCTGGCATTAGTTTGCCTGTCTTCCCAAGTGATGTGTAAAAATTTTCGGAGACACCGTTGATGGAATGAAGCGTACTGTAAGGTTGATAGTAAAATAGGAAATTTTGATTTCTCTGTGAATGTCCTGGTCATCAAACACTCTGCACTTCAATAGGAAGAAAGCTGCACTTCCTAGTGTAACAGTTTAGACACCTATTTCAGAATAAGTCACCTCACAAGTTTTCTTCATGTAGGAAATGAGTTTTCAGCGGCATCATCTTTCCTATACAGTGGTACCTCGGGTTAAGAACTCAATTCATTCTGGAGGTCCATTCTTAACCTGAAACTGTTCTTAACCTGAGGTACCACTTTAGCTAATGGGGCCTCCCACTGCCACCATGCGATTTCTGTTCTCATCCTGAAGCAAAGTTCTTAACCCGAGGTACTATTTCTGGGTTAGCGGAGTCTGTAACCTGAAGCATCTGTAACCCAAGGTACTACTGTACAAATTATATTCAACTCTTCCATGAAAAACCTCATGGCAGCTCATAGGGGGATCCCACACTTCTTTCACATCTCCAGCACCAAAGGATTGTTTTCAGGTTTTTACATGCAGTTTAGTAGGATGGCATCTGGCTACTCTGGCTGATGAAGGGCCTGTGTACTCAAACGACTCGAGACAGTACCTTGGCTTGCTAACTCCAGCCAACCAGAGGCCGGCTGAGCTGAAGACATAGGCGGGATTCCCCAAACCAAAGAAGATAACCTTCTCAGATATTTTCTTACACCCAAACTACCAGTATGTACATACAGTGGTGCCCCGCAAGACGAAATTAATTCGTTCCGCAATTTTTGTCGTCTAGCGAATTTTTCGTCTTGCGAAGCACGAAATCCCATAGGAATGCATTGAAAATCAATTAATGCGTTCCTATGGTCAAAAAAAGTCCAAACAAAGCCAAATTTGGTACAACAACAGTTTATTAACTGCTCTTTAAAGTCACACATACTGTAAAGAGCAGTTCAAAAACTGAAGGGAAAATAAATTAACTTTATAAACAAAACATGTCTTTGTTTTTAGACAAAACAAGCCGTTTTGCGAAGCCCATAGGGGAAATTCGTCTTGCGAGGCAAATCGAAAACGGAAAAACCTTTCGTCTAGCGAGTTTTTTGTCTTGTGAGGCATTCGTCTTGCGAGGTACCACTGTACACACATCTCAAGTCTATTATCTGATCGTGTACACTTATTAATATGGACACAGAAAGCAAAGTATGCCCCTGAAAGTTCCCACTATTATAAATCAAGACGTTGTTGGCGTTCTTTCAGACAGGGATAGGGAACCTGCGGGCCTCTTTGGACTCCAAATCCCATCATCCCTGACCACTGGCAAAAATGGCTGGGGTTGATGGGAGTTGGAAATCCTACAACAACTAGAGGACCACAGGTCTCCTGTTCCTGCTTTGTGAGATTAACATCACGGTTTATTCATTAATTTGAAACCATAGCTCCCTCCCCAATCACTCACCTTCTCTCTAATTTTGGAAATTAAGCTCTCCACAGCTGCTTTCAAAAGTTCTGCTCTTTGTTTCTGAACACTAGCCGCCCTTTTCAGAGCATTCCGCCTCTCCTTTCTTCTGTCCTTTTCAGCCAAAATCTGCTGCTTATATTCTCCGACTTGCTGTTTCCATTCTGTAATGTTCTTTTCTACTGTCTGCATCAGAATTAATGAAGATTATTATATGCTCCAAACGTGAAAAGTTTGAGGTGGACATTAGCCGGGTGGGGGCAGTGTGTGTGTTTGCGCTTGCATGTATGCATAAAAGATTAAACTGGAGTACAGAAGACACAAAACAAAACAAGAGATGCTTGATTTGGTTCATCGGAGCATTGAAGGCAACAGATTTAAAGTAACATGTGCAAGTTAATTCTAATAGTTTAACAAGGCTTTTTTAAAGAAAAAAATACATTGAAACACGTGCTGAAGTATTTTGAAGATTCTAAACATGAACCCTGAAGTACTTGGTGCCAGTCAAACTCTGTAGACTGACTTAAACTGCAGAGGCAGGTTGGCTAATCTGGGGCCAGGAGGTCATTTCTGACCCACCAAGACACACTAAGCAGCCCATCAGACTCGCAGCTGTATCTCCCAGTCGGGAGAGAAAAGTTCCCTCTGGCTACCCTTTGGAGAGGATATTCAGTTTTAGCACTAAGCACCACAGTGTTTAGATTGGAGATAAACCCCCTAATTGCTCTTTGAGAGTAAAAAAAAAGAACAGCATTTCCCCTCAGCCCAGCATTGGAGTCAGAATAGGTGGAAATGCCAATTGTGCGAGTGGCTCTACACGTGCGTTCCTGTGCAAGCGTGTAAATCTGAATGTTCGGTCCCTCCTTTGTGATGCTGTGTGTCTGTGTTCCAGCGGATGCTGTCTCTGACGAGGAATACTACTAGTATCTGTGAAATCTGCCTGTGGCAGGCACCGTCCTGGAATGCAGCCAAATATTGTCCAAAGGGACGATATATCTCCTGGATTCCTTGACTGCGTTCACATGGGCAACACCAGAAGCCGTGGAGGCCTGACCCAGAAAGGTTAAGTTTGCTGGCAAACGGAAGCGGCCTTTTGAGAGAGGACACTGGTGTTATTTATCAAGTCCCCACAAGAGGTCACCATTTCAGCAGTACAACTTGCAAGACCAGAACACACACACACACACACACACACAAAAAGGTAGGCAAACATACGTGAAAAAATAGCTTGTACAGCAAATGGTTCTACATTCTTCAAAAGGCCTGCAAACATTAAAGTCTGGTTGCACTTAAGATTTTATATAGTTTTGCACTATTGATCCTGTGCCTACGTATTTCAAGGCTAAAGGTAGAAGGAAGCCGACTGCGAGCCGATCCTTATACAAAGCTTACAGAAACATTCGAGAAGAAATTACCAATGCAAAGGGTTGCCAACAGCAGTTTTATTCAAGTTTTTTTTTAAAAAAAAGCCAATTCAGTTTATCCCCAATTCTCACTAAGTAAAAATGGGCCATTTAAAAAAGAAGGGACTGTATGGGGAGTCTCAGGTACTGTATAAATATAGGCCGCTCCCTGCAAGGCAAATTGTCCCCAGTGACGGGACTGGCTTGTGGGAGTATTTGGCTGGGGTAGAGATTTAAGGAAATCAATCTGAGATAAAGGACACTTAGAAGCTGGTGTCCTCATTTTAGAGGCTTCTTCAGTTCGGAATACCGGTCCACAGAGATTGCACGTGAACTCTTTCTATGAACAAAGCATTCCCATTTTATTTATGTGGACCCGGAGTTGGGGTGGGATATTCATAAATGCAATGATTTATAGCCATAGGTCAACTGAACTATTCATAGTTCCAGACTGGAGGTGTAGAGGGGTTTTATTGAAATAAGCAATTATTTTGTCAATGCAGATATAGCTTTCTGAACTATTTGATAGAATGTGGCTGAAATGGATATAACAGATTCGTGGCTTTTCTCGTGAAATTCAGAGGGTGAACTTGAGATTTATTTTTATATTTATAGCTGCTGTGTGACTGGCAACTTCAATCCATAGCGACCCTCCCCAACACTGCCAAAAACACACACACCCGATCATCAATCGATCAAAGAAGCAAAACCAACAAAAACCAGTAACCTTAAATTTTGTTCTCAGTTGATTATTCTCAGCCTCCTTTCTCTCTATCTGGCACTGCAAGTGTGTCTGCACCAACTGTGTTGATTCGGAATGACGAGATGCTTTTAACACATTAGCCTAAAATAATAAAACAAAGCCCATAATAAATTATGACGTCTACATGGCTGCACCTATAATGAACTTTCGTACTCTATGGAAGGGGCTTTAGACTTGCTGGATCTACTTCGATTTTTCCTTTGTTTTAGAACTCTGGGATCTACCAATTGGAGACTGGTACTAAGACATCTGACAAGATTTGAAACAGCAAGTTGCCTCTGAGCACGTTACGAGTCTAAGAATTCGTTTTCAGCACCAGAACTGAATGGAGTCCTTTAACAGTCACCTCCTGGTTAACTTTATTCATTCGGGCAGCCTAATTTAAATGGGAAAAGTCACTTTGTTGTTGCAGTTGTTATACAGTTGGGAAGCCTTGGTTGATCTACTCAGCGTTCGAGACTCCCATTGTTCTAGGCGCATTTTGTGACAGGGAATTTCATAAACGTGAGCAGTTTCTGAGCTCTGGGTGCAGTACTGCGCCTAAGATTTCAGATTAAAATGGCCACTGTTACTCGGAAGTAAATCCAAACCAAGTGCATTGGGGCTTCCTCCCAAGTAAAACGTGCATGGATTGGGAATCTTTTCTTTTAACCCAACATGTTTTGTTTAGGTTTTAGTTGCTTGTTGAATGTACTTTTAATGTATGGTGTGCTTTTAATTCGAAATATGCTAGCCAGTTAGTTATGATGGTTTAAGTAGCGCATGTTAAAGCGTTATCTACTTCAGACACTCACAGGGATGCTTAAAATCTAAACAAATTTTGGAGTGGGATCATTGAAGGACCCTTAAGTCTTAGGGTTGCGAACTGGACACTCAATGTGGGTGTCTGTGCCATCAGTTGTATAGGCCTTTAATGTGTTACTTGTGGTGCCAAAAAGATATATTTATATGAAGGAAACGGGGTATAGGGAGAATCCAGGTCTTGTCTGCAGAGCGGAAGGAAAGGAGGACCTTTTTCTGCTCCCCCATTTCCAGCCACTCTCTGAAGACTGCAGAAGGGACCCTCTTCTGTATATAGGGGGGCGGGCAGAGGAAACATGGCTTGTTTTTTGAAGTCTTCAGATGAGGTCTATACCATGTGAAAAATGAACATAAGAGTTTAGCTGCCGTTCATTCATTTCTGGCTTTGTATTCTAGTTATAAATAAGCGCGCCTAGACATCCCGCTGTTGCGCCCTTCTGAAAGAAAAGCAGCTAACTTTAATAGAAGAAATTAAAAACACTATTAAAAAAAAAACCAAACAGATGATATGAACAAGTACCTAGCAATAATGTTTTTTTAAAAAAATTAATAAAATGCTACATTTGCCTATCAATAGAATTTCAATACCCAAGGAGAGGAAATAATAATTCAATTAATACATTCCACAAAATCAATACAATCCTATTGTACATACATTTCAAATAACAGGTAAGGGGATAACAAAACACATATTTTAGTAAAAGGCTGCAATCCTAAATACATTACATACCTGGGAATAAAAGGTAAAGGGACCCCTGACCATTACGTCCAGTCGTGGCCGACTCTGGGGTTGTGGCGCTCATCTCGCTTTATTGGCCAAGGGAGCCGGTTTACAGCTTCTGGGTCATGTGGCCAGCATGACTAAGCTGCTTCTAGCGAACCAGAGCAGCACACGGAAACGCCGTTTACCTTCCAGCCAGAGCGGTACCTATTTATCTACTTGCACTTTGACGTGCTTTCAAACCGCTAGGTTAGCAGGAGCAGGGACCGAGCGACGGGAGCTCACCCTGTCGCGGGGATTCGAACCGCCGACCTTCTGATCAGCAAGTCCTAGGCTCTGTGGTTTAACCCACAGCGCCACCCGCGTCCCGATACCTGGGAATAAGATCCACTTAATTCAGTGGGACTTACCGTATATACTCGGGTATAAGCCGACTTTTTCAGCACATTTTTTATGCTGAAAAAGCCCACCTCGGCTTATACTCTAGTGAGGTGGGCAGCAGCGGCGGAGGGATGAGCAGCCTAAAAGGAACCCTTAAGGGCTGCTCCTTTGTCCTCCTCCACCTTTGCCGCTGTTGGCGGCGGAACAAGCAGCCCGAAAGCAGCCCTTTTGGGCTGCTTGTTCTTCCTCCGCTGCTGCCGCCACCACCAGGTTTGTGGTGTGGTGAACCGGCTTATACTAGAGTCAATAAGTTTCCCCAGTTTTTTGTGCTAAAATTAGGTGCCTTGGCTTATATTCAGGTCGTCTTATACTGGAGTATATAGGTACTTCTGAGCAGACAGGTCTGAGACTGCACAGCTACACTCTCATTCTGGAAGTCCACATACTGAAATATTGGGACACACCAAAATCTAGCTTAGAACTAGCAGGAACCACAAGAGATTGATGAAGTTGTCAAATCATGTAATTTGGTAAACATAAACTTATGGCAGGTGAAGTAAAACAGCTGGTTCAAAGGGAAATGCTAACTTACTTTCTCATGCTGAAGCTGAGTAGAAAGCTCTAAAATATACCTTTCTTTTCGAAGCACTTCATGCTTGAGTTCCTTCAAAGGGGAAAAAAACCAGATTATTATTATTTTTTGCATACTAGAGAGCAAGGATTTGTAACTCGAGGAGGGTGGGAGGGGGAGAGAACAAGGATAGAAAGTATACTGGCTTTCATGCCAGAGGGCTCATTTAGTTATCAGCAGGCCCACAAATAGTCCAAACACTGTGTGAACTTTTCCCAGAAGCTCTGAGAATGCCATCTTGGTAGTCAAGATAACCTTACAATTAATTGGTAGATGTTAAAGCCGTGGGCTCGTATATGTTTATATCCACTTGCTTTGAAAGAAACTAATTGGTTTGCCTTGATGTTATCATTATCTGGGGGCTTGGGAGTGTTGGGCTCTGGGCCCAGAAAAGGAGAACTATCTATAAGATTTAAGTATTTGCCACCTATGCTCTCATCTAGTTAGGTGAAGTGATGGGAAATGCCACCCAAATTGGCATATGCTGCTTTGTCTATAAATAATGTGTGAACATTTCCTTGGGAGCGGATAAGCCATCTCCTTGCTGCAGTGTCCATCCTGTGTCTGCAAATAATAATAATAATAATAATAATAATAATAATAATAATAATAATAATAATACAACAGACAACATGCAGCATGGCTCCCTCATCCTATGTGCAACTGCTGAAAATGACTAAAACATGCTGTGGTGCCACCTTCACGAAACGAAATGATGACATGCCAAAGAACGGAACTTACTACAGCTTCAGTTTCGCTTTCAGTCAACTTCCAAATCAAATCTTCAATCTGCGTACTGATAATCTAAAAATAAGAAAAATGAAACAAAACTGATTCAGTGTCACTTTATATTGAATACAACATATTACGTTTAACATACTGTACTTCCTGCGACATAAAACTCCCAACATTCCAAGTGACCATATTTACAGTTAAGGACTAAGAAAATAAAAATAAAAACTACAAGCGCAGATAAGAAAGTTCCTTTGTGAATTAAAATCTGACGTGTTTAGAGGTCATTTTTTTTTAAGCTCAAAAAGTCTATTATATTAATTGATCTTAAAAAAGAGAGAGAGAAGAGATTTTCTACTTATTTTTTCTTATCGAAGTAATAGTTTAAAGGAGTATTCTATTCAATGGGCAATATCCAATGGTAGATAATAATTTTAAAATTAAAATTATTAGAGTTTCTCTTGTTCAAAAGATCTCTGTGTACATGTGAAACCTGCCCGCTCTCTCCCAACCTACAGCCCTCCACATACAGGAATAACAGATATCTTTTTCTAAAAAGTTATCAGATACTAAATTTCCTGCCAAGAGAATGGACAGGTGGGTATCAAGTCAGCCCTGTTTCAGTTCAGGAACAACTTCGTTGCTGCACTGAAGGTTTAATTCTTATAAGAAAATGTTTGTCTAGGTTGTGTTCCAGCCCAGGGCAAGTTGATAATAGGGTCCCCATGACATTGTGCAGGATTCAGGTGTTGGCATAAGTCAAAGCATTTTAAGTACAATATGCAGTTATGTGAAGAAAATGCTCGCATATTGACATTCTTCATGAGCACGCTGCTTGCCAACCAGGGAGGTTACAGGCTGCTGTGTTAAGTGGTAAGCCCTTTTCCTCAGGTGCAGATCAACTGGCAAGGAAGACCAACCCAAACTTGATGCTGTTATGTAGGCAACTGCAGCTCTGGTCTGTAAACAGATCTGCTGCAACCTAGGGAATCTTTTGGTGGCAGCAGGGTGGATCTAGTTTGCCCCTGTACACGAGGGGAATGGATTCTTGGCCACCTGACAAATCCGTCTGGGAGAAAGAGCTACAGCTCTGCTGCACAAAGCAAGAGACTTAGAAACCTTGTTCATAAAAAAGCAATTCCTGGGCTAGACACAAACAAAGAGCAACACAGAAACTTATCAGGATGGGCCAACAAACTCAAGGGCTTGCCCCTCCTTGTCTCAGGACACTGCTTGATATATTATCATCTCATTTTATTTTTCTGTGAATTCACCTCCTTCTTTGAAAATTCTACTTCAAACAATGAAAAAAAATACTTAAAACTTGTTGTTGATAAATACTATACTTGGTTGTGGTTTCTGCGCACGTTCTCTTACTTCTTTTTCCTTGCTTGATCTAAGTAGCTGCTGTAACAGTCCCTTCATATTTTTGAGAGCCCCTAGCTCCATTACCAGTAAATCCTCTTGCATAGAAATCTTTATCATATCTGCTGCAGAAACGTAACAAGCCTGACAAAAATATTAAATCGCAGTTAAGTCATTTTGTAAAAAAAGAAAACCCTCTTTTTGCCCAAACCAGTGTGACACTGTTCAGATAGCCACCTTAAAACCGAACCGTTTTGATAAAACAAACCTTTTACATCATTTGAACACACAGAACGATCACAAATACAAAACAAAAGGAAATGTGATGCCTGTCACAAATACAGTGGTACCTTGGGTTAAGAACTTAATACGTTCTGGAGGTCCGTTCTTAACCTGAAACTGTTCTTAACCTGAGGTACCACTTTAGCTAATGGGGCCTCCTGCTGCCGGAGCACGATTTATGTTCTCATCCTGAAGCAAAGTTCTTAACCCAAGGTACTATTTCTGGGTTAGCGGAGTCTGTAACCTGAAAGCATCTGTAACCCAAGGTACCACTGTAACTAGCTTTTCTCCAAACCAAAGCAGCACTACTGGTTCTGGAGCAGAGATGATAGCAAGGCTGGGACACCTCAGGCCAGAGGTCCAAATGCAGCTCTCCAGGCCTATCAATCTGGCCCCCAAAACTCTCCCTCACTGGCCATGCTTGCATCTCAAGTGTTTTGTATGAATGGAATGTGTCCTTGCACTCAGATGATGCCCGGTCGTCTGAATGGAGGATAGAGGGTATCTGTGGGGGTGTGTGAGCGTTCATATGAATTAGACCACAAAGGTAAAATTTAATTTTGTTGCTTTGCCTGATTTTACCCTCTGGCCTCATCCACCACTAAGCACATGGCCCAAGGAAGGTTGCATAGGTAAGAATGCAGCTGAAAAATATTCCCTAGCCCTTGGTCTACAGACACAGGTTGAATTGCAGCTAGACACATCATTTTAACATACGCCCTTGCAAACGACTACAGACGAAGTTGAAAATTTTGTTGGCGTACGAAAACACATAGGTTAAACGATGCGGGGAAGCGCAGCGCGTCTTCCCCACTGTCCTCGGACCTCCTCCGAAGCCGGGCGGCGGGGCGGGAACACCTCCCGCCGCCGCCCGGCTTCGGAAGGCTCCTCCGAAGCCGGGTGGCGGGGCAGGAACACCTCCTCCCGCCGCCCAGCTTCGGAAGGATGCTCCGAAGCCGGGCGGTGGGGCAGGAACACCTCCCACTGCCGCCCGGCTTCGGAAGGCTCCTCCGAAGCCGGGCGGCGGGGCGGGAACACCTTCTGAAGGCCGGCGGGGGGCAAAAGTCTTTGTTCCCCCCTGCCTGCCTTCCCGGGAGAGCGGAGAAACGCAGCGCGTTTCTCCGCTGTCCCGGAAGGCTTTTGAAGGCAGGCGGGGGGGGAGCAAAGACTTTCGCCCCCGCCCGCCTTCAGAAGAGTCCTGGACCTCTTCTGAAGGCTGGCGGGGGGCAAAAGTCTTTGTCCCCCCTGCCTGCCTTCCCAGGGGCTTTTAAATCGCCCCGGACAGCGATTCAAAATTTCCAGAAGGGTAGCTGCGTTAGTCTTTTGCAGCAAAGAGTCTTGCAGCACCTTAAAGACTAACAAATTTTGTTATGGCGTATCGTCTACAAAACTTGTGCCATCAGCATTATGGAGCATCTGATGAAGTCCATGAAAGCTTGTGCCACAATATATTTGTTAGTCTTTAAAGTAGTACAAAGCTTGTTGTTATTCCTTCTTCAAACTGTATGCATAATGGAAGTCAATGTCTTTGTGTTTCAGCAGCAAACAGCATAAGCTTGAATATAGCAAGGTCATAGCATGAGAGAAAGATGCTTCCATTCATGCAAAGGAAGGGCACATATTTTCTGCCAGTTGCCAACCCAGCGGCAGCTCTCTGCTGAACCGAGCCACAGTGGGCTTCAGGAAATCAACCAGTATCAAGAACAGAAATCTGTTGTTCTTAGACCACACTGCAACCAAGTGTCATTCAGTAATTGCCAATGCTAACTTACCTTTGAAATTCTAGTTAGAGTTTCTTTAAAAGACGGCAGGAACATTTCTGCTGAACCAATTGCCAACTCTGCTTCGTGGAGCTTTTTCTGAAAAGCGACTTCATCCTGAATGGTGTCTTCCCACAACCTATAAACAAAAGACTAATGTTTATTGGGGAAAACTGTGCCCGTGTTACTCTGTATAACCTTAGTTTAAATGCTAACTGCAATTCAGCCAGTGGCTGGGCACACTTACTAACACAAAGCCTAATGTCCCATCAAAAGTAAGAGTTAATTATCCTTTTGGAGACTTCCACAGTGGTTCTTTCCTTTTGTGAATCGCGAGGACTTAGTACATTATTTCACCTAATGCTTTTTCACACGTAGGGCATTTACTTTGCTTAGTGTAAACATGTATCATGGGCATCCATAGGGCATCTAAGCAATATGAAGCCATGGAAAGTTAGGGGCTGGCCAGAACGTGTGCACACTGCAAAACATATATGCAAATTATGGTTTGTTTTACGATAGTAAGTTTTGAGACTCAAAGAGAATTTTAGTTCCTTAAGGGGGGGGGAATTGGTGAGTATTAAATAAAACTTTTGTGTGCTTTTAAAAAAAACAATTTAGGAACAGCACACACGTTAAACCCATGTTTCAGATAGCTCTAGTTTGGAAGTACAATGGTACCTCGGGTTACATATGCTTCAGGTTACAGACTCCGCTAACCCGGAAATAGTACCTTGGGCTAAGAACTTTGCTTCAGGATGAGAACAGAAATCGTGCTCCGGCGGCGCGGCGGCAGTGGGAGGCCCCATTAGCTAAAGTGGTGCTTCAGGTTAAGAACAGTTTCAAGTTAAGAACGGACCTCCAGAACGAATTAAGTACTTAACCAGAGGTACCACTGTAATTGGCATTGCATGGCATTCCCCTAAATGAATAGCTTTAGGAAAACGTTCTAGGGCAAAATATCTGAGCTGCAGAACATGCACCTCTCAACTTAAAAGCCTACCTTTCTGTTTCACTTTCGCTCTGCGTTTCTTCCAAGGAACTCTCCTCAGATTTCCCTGTAAGGCTAGGCAAGGCTTCCTTCATCCTGGTCCTGTGTTTATCCACAAGTCGGCCGTATGAACCCCAGTTCTCCTTCAAGCATTCTTGTTCTGGAAGCTTATAAAATAATGTTTTGGCTTCACTGCTTATTCTCTTTCTCTCTCTCTTTCACACACACAGAGCCACCAAATCATCTGCATCAAAAAGCTCTGCATCAAAATGCATGCAATCCAGGATAGCAAACTTGGACTTCAGAGATTCTAACATTTCTGTCTCCTCCTATCGACACAATAAGACACAGCAAGTTCATGTTTCAGCTTGTTACATCCACTGTATTGTCCTCTTAAAATGTCATACAGCACAACAAGACTGGCCAGGGTGTGCAGGGGTGTGTGGAAGACCAAAATCCAAGGGTTGCACATAATTCCTGTTTGTAATAACGCCTGCAAATTTCAGAATACCTACAAGGCCTTCAGCACTTATGCCTCTGCTAGATCACCCCTCATTTAAGCATGAAGACAAATATGATCAACTCATAGATCTTGAAACAATTCATTTTTATAGAATTAAGAGATCTGTTTGTAAAAGGTAAAGCAATTTTAAAGGAGGACCTGGTGGCAAAGACGAAAGGCATAAAATGGTCCTGGCTACATCAACTATGGGAGGCGGGTGGCGCTGTGGTCTAAACCACAGAGCCTAGGACTTGCCGATCAGAAGGTTGGTGGTTCGAATCCCCACAACGGGGTCAGCTCCCGTTGCTTGGTCCCTGTTCCTGTCAACCTAGCAGTTCGAAAGCACGTCAAAGTGCAAGTAGATAAATAGGTACCGCTCTGCCGGGAAGGTAAACGGCATTTCCGTGTGCTGCTCTAGTTTGCCAGAAGTGGCTTAGTCATGCTGGCCACATGACCCGGAAGCTGCCTGCAGACAAATGCTGGCTCCCTCGGCCTATAGAGCGAGATGAGTGCTGCAACCCCAGTTGTCCACAACTGGATTTAATGGTCAGGGGTCCCTTTACCTTTACTTTTGCAAAGTATCTGGAACAAAGCAGGGAGGATTTGAGACTCTTGGCACCTTTGGAATCAGTAACAGACCTAGCCATGACACAAAAGGGGCAGTCTCATATGGTATGATATTAGACAGCTTTGCAGGAAACGCGAAAGATATTCGAATGAGATGGGAAGCCCGACATAGGAATTTCAGTAAGTAAAAAAGCATGGGAATCAATATGACAAAATCCATCTTGAAAACCAATTTCGGCTCGCCTCCAGGAAGTTTCCCTTAAAATTATATTTCGGTGGCATTGTACCCCCACACACCTTGCAAAGATAAATCCTTTAAGCTCACCATTATGTTGGGAAAAGCTGTGGAGAACCAGGTCCTATTTTCATGTTTGGTGGGAGTGTACCATGGTCCATGCCTTTGGGGGGAAAGTTTTTTAATCTGACCTCCAAAATCACTAACTAATCTATCCCTCCTAATTCGGCACTTGTCCTATTATCATTAGATCTGACCCCAAATTCTACCCATTAAATCTAAAGAATTCATTTCCTTCCTGTTCATAGCAGCTAGACTAGTTATTGCCCAATGATGGAAGGAAACTTCTAAATACCAATAGAGGCTTGGGTTAATAACATCTGGAGCATCTTGAGGACTATTCTATTATAACGCCTCGCATACCATCGGCGACTAATCAAAGGCATCTCCAAAAAAAGATACCTTTGACATGATCTGCTCTCCCTTTTTTCTCTTTTATTGAAGAAGAACAGGGTATTTTAATGCCACCATCATCACAGAAGTGTCTATGGAGGGGATATAGTGATTGAAAATTTATTGTAACTGTATTGTAACAGTTTCAATTTATTCAATTATTTGAATAAATGTTTCATTTTTGTTTATCTATTTTAAAAAGAATACCTTCAAGTAGTATTTATTAGTACAGTAGTTTAATTTCAAACATCTAAACTGCTGGCTTCTTAAAAAATTACAGGCATCCTAGTTTAGAAGCCCTAGTGTTATATGCAAGTCCAATCGGTGGGCTGGGGAGGCATGGCCTGGCCCTAGCCCATTTAAGGCCAGGCGTGCCCGGGGACCGCCCTCTTTGCCCCGTTCCATCTGCCCGGTTTTCCCATCCCACCCACCCTTTAGGCTTAGCTAGCTCTGACCTTCCTATGGACTCCGGTTGGTCGCCGCAAGGGGCCTGGTAGGAATTTTTCCAACTTGGCGCACTTCCAGCGTTTTGGTTTTTTCGCCTACCTCGTAGCAAACATCACAGCTTCCTCGGTATTGGCAGTTAGGCATTGGCAGGGGTAATTGTTATGCAAATGAGGGGGGGAAGGAAACGCCATCACCTTCCCCCAATGGAAAAGGGTAGTCCGGTAAAGGACTCCGGGGGGCGTTGCCCTGTCCGAAACCTAGGGAGGTGAGGGCCTCCGGCACGCCCCCGAGCGGTGACACCCGTGGGATCCTAGCTGGCGTACTTCAACAGGATTCCCACGGCTGGTGGATAACCCTTCCCGGTCTCCATGCCGGGTAGTCAATAGGAGCCAATGCCTACGGCCAATACCTTCTAATTCCTGTAATCAATAAAGTTGTGGCCTTTTACGCCCATTAACCTTAAATAATGTGTCCTGTGTTTTCATTTCACGTGGGGGGAGGGGACTTGCCACGCAACATGTTTATTACTGGTGAAGCAACTCCTTGAATGGCACCAGTACCATTTATCTGAAAGGAACCTTCCAACACCACTCCATCTGACAAAGGGGACCCTGAGCATCTCCCAGTTAAAAAAAAAACCACACCAATGCACTGCAAAGGATGCTGAGAAATGTTTCTGGGTGCATGCACTTTAGCCAGGACACACGTCAGACCTCCTGGCCAGTTGCCTTTTGTGAACTGAGCATGGTTTTGTTTTATATATTATGATCAGCTATATACTGCTTTGCAATTATATTCCCGGAGGCAGTTTGCAAAAGGAATCCATCCCACAAAGTGCTTATCTCACCCTTTTACATTGCGTGCGCGGGGGGGGGGGGAATTAGCTTTGAAGGCCACCTATCTTCCAGGGAAGTATGGCTTCCGTTACTAATCTTGTTGTTCCCAAGTAACTCCGAAGGCCACAGTGGGTTTTTTGGGGGGAGGGGAATTTCGGAGGGTGGGGGTGGAATGTGAAGTGGGAGGGGGAACTGAAAGGAGCAGAGAATGACAGTTGGGTTGAGCATTCTGCCAGCTGAAAGGGAGTGGAAAGAGTGGAGGATAGAGGAATCTGTCTCTGCAGGAAATGGTTTTTAGGGAGATTATTACTTATAATTTCACTCATCCCAGCCTTCACATAACTGTGTATTTGTTTTCAACCCTCCCCAGATTACCATCCTGGCTTGGTTCTCATGAATAGTAGCTTAATAAGCTGGGATACAAATGAGAATTGTGCACCACCCACAACTTTTGTGCTGGGGAAAGTGGGGAAACAAACTGGGTTTACCACAGTTGCACATTAAATCCAAATGAGGAAGCTATGGTTGATGGTCTCCAAACAAAGTGGGAGATGGAACTATGGTTTAAAGCGGGTTTCTGAAATTGTGACTTGTTTGGATACCGTTAACTATAGTTCCATGAACGTATATAGGTTTTTAGGTTTAGCTGATTTAACATTTAGCTGAATAACGTTAGCTCTGCTAACGAGCCAGTCACTTAAAAAAAAATCAAGATTTGTATTAATACTATTTGTATTTCCTGCACATCTTACATGATTATCTGAGCTGTCCACTTCATCACTTAGAGAGCTCAAATACTTTCCAAGTTGGCTGGATGTTTCTGTCTCAAGATGATCTTTCTTAAAACTCAAATCACAGGACTGAATAACTGAACAAAGTTTTTCTGCTTCCCCAGAAGTTAGGTATGGGCCACAAGTCTTTGTTTCCTAAAAACACCATCCAGATAACATTAAGTAAATGCATGCTGCGTGGACAAAGACATCTGCCTGCAGGGTTAGCTTCAGAAACAGAACACAGCTGCTTATATCAGGATGGGGAACCAGCGGCCTCCAAGTGTTGTTGGACTCCAAATCCCATCAGCCCAGACAGTTAAGCCAACAGTAGTAATAATTAATAAATATGAATAATAATAGATAAATTTATATTTATACCCCGCCACTGGCTGATTCCCCAGCACCGGCGCTCCATCAGTGTAAAACAGTACGCGTTACATATTAAGAAGTTCCTGAGGCTGCTTAAAGATTCTCTGAAGTCAGTATATTATCTCTCTGTCATCTGATGGAGGCGTTCCACAGGGGCGCCATACGAAAGGCCTTGTCTGGTCCTGTACCTATCTGCAATGGGACCGCCAGAAGGCCCTCGGCGCTGGATCTCAGTGTCCGGGCTGAACGATGGGGGTGGAGACGCTCCTTCAGGTATACAGGACCAACACAGGACCCCCATCCCTGACTTACATTATCAAAAAGAATTTTTTAATGCAATAAATTGCTGAAAATAGACATCATAGGAAATGTATCAGAGTTTAATCACATCAGCAAATTTTAAGGAATACTGAACAGCATCCAAACAACAGTGAAATCAGTTTCTGAGTTTGCTATTTTGTTTTTTTAGAGCAATATGGTACAATGAATTCCTTCTGGAAAAGCGTTTCAAAAACTGTTTGCAATGTTGACAAAGCATTCAATGTGGGGTGGGGAAGGCACAAATTTGACTCTGGTTTACTTGTGCGAACCAAAGTTGCTCTTCAGACTGTGCCCATCCTCCTTTAGACGGAAAATCAGGAGGAGTGCATTTATGAGTTTGTGATATAACAACAGTCTTATTCTTTTATATTTAAGAATATATTGTCCCCGTTTGCAGAGACAAACTTTGGAATGGGGGGGGCATAGATATTTCAGTAATGAACTTCCTTTTAACAGCTTACCTCGCAACGGCTAGAAGAGGAAAGTTCCCTCTGCACATGGTCATGAGACCCATCACTGTTCGGTTCATACAGGCTGGATGGTGGTGCTTCCTTTTCTTTCTGAAAAATAAAGTATGAGCATAGAGAGTGTCTGAATTTTTACTGGGTTCACAAGTTAAATGCTCCCTGAATTTGTATCAGTTGCAGCAAAGGCGCTCCGTTTCAAGTCAGTGTTTAACAGAGCAATCCTAGCCATGTCCACTTTGAAGTTAAGTCCTACTGAACTCTTAGCCCCAGGTAAGTGGGCAGCCTTAGAGATGACAAAGTAATCCCCGGAGTTCTTAATGTCAAAGTAATACATTTCCACTTGAGCTAAGTGCTACAATTTTGTTTACTAATATGGTGAAAAGCACTGTTTGGTAAAGCTAGCGTATTTGTAATCTGCTGAAAATAAATACACACACACACTTACAGGATATTATTCAAAACTGAATTCTTTAAGGTCTTCCAAGTTTAGAGATGCAAAAGCCATGTTGCAAATGAGGCATTTGCAAAATATTCTAACACACAATTATTCCAAGTAGAGTTTATTTCTATTACAGTGGTACCTTGGTTTATGAATTTAATCCGTTCCGGAAGTCCGTTCTTAAACCAAAGCGTTCTTAAACTAAGGTGTGCTTTCCCATAGCAGCGGGGGACTCAATTTACAAATGGAACACACAGGAAGTGGAAAATGTTCTGCTTCCAAGGCAAAGTTCACAAACCAAAACACCTACTACCAGGTTTGCAGCATTCTTAATCCAAGTTGTTCACAAACTAAGCTGTTCTTAAACCAGGGTACCACTGTACTATGCTTTTTATTATTATTTATGCTATTTGGTCACTGGGGAAAAAGCCAAGGCTACCCATCGCATAAGCAGAAAGACATTGCACATCCTAAAAGTTCCTGCACTGAGCAAGGGACTGAACTAAATGGCTCAGAGGTCACCCCCCCCCCATTCTAAAATTCTCTGTGGTTTTCTGGGTGCCACGCAATGATCACACCCATCTTATTAGAATCCCACAGAGCAATTGCCACTCTTCTGATTATTATGCACCTGACAATCCTTCCAAGTAAGTGGGGTAGCGTGGAGGATATGAGGAAAAACACACAGATAAAGATTTTATTGTTAACTTATAACCAGACGGAGGGGCTCAAGACTTCTTCTGAAGCCTCCAGCTGGGAAGAATGTCAACTGAGCCCGGGTTCAGGTTAAACCAATGACACGCAATACCCAAAAGCAATCCCACCCAGTCCTCTAATACATGCATATATCCTGGCTTGCCCCAAGCCATGACAACCACACTTTATTGTGGGCCCTTGTACAAAATATATTACATTTGCGGCAGTTGGGGGGGGGGAGAGACAACCTCTCCTAATTTAGTTTGATTATGTTCCAGTATCCACTGACATGGGGACGCGGATGGTGCTGTGGGTTAAATCACAGAGCCTAGGGCTTGCCGATCAGAAGGTTGGCAGTTCGAATCCCCGCGATGGGGTGAGCGCCCGTTGCTCGGTCCCTGCTCCTGCCAACCTAGCAGTTCAAAGCACGTCAAAGTGCAAGTAGATAAATAGGTACCGCTCCGGCAGGAAGGTAAACGGTGTTTCCATGTGCTGCTCTGGTTCGCCAGAAGCGGCTTAGTCATGCTGGCCACATGACCTGGAAGTTGTATGCCGGCTCCCTCAGCCAATAAAGCGAGATGAGCGCCGCAACCCCAGAGTCAGTCACGACTGGACCTAATGGTCAGGGGTCCCTTTACTTTTACCTATCCAGTGACATGTTTTCTGGCCAGAGATGATATGGAGTTATGAGGATGCAAATTTGATGTGAAGTACGCTGGTGCAGCTTTTGCACACGATAGTATTAAGTGAGATTACGAAGCGACAATGGGATTTAAAAAATACATAAATCAACTCATGGTGACTTAGATTCAGAGGTGTGTGTGCACCTCTACGGCCACAACTGGCGAGGCAAGTTCAGAGCAAGAAACTGCAAGCTCGAAGATGTGCGCACCATTCGCCTTGCAGCCGCCCAAGCTGGAATCTAGACATGTGTAAAAAAAAAGTTGCAAAAATGCTTTAAAAAAAAAAAGTTTTGAAAAATGTCTTGAATTTACCGTGGCTCACCACCGCCATCTGGCGTCTCTTTGATATAATGCGCAACGTTAAATTTGCAGCTATATATACCTATTTGAGTCTCCAAGACTGGCACCTCTGCTACTGGAGAGCAAGAATTAAACCTTGAACAAGGGGAATATCTCGAGCACAGGGGATTGGGATGGGGGTCCATTTCTAAAAACCTTTTAGAATCTAAAATTTAGACCCGTGGAAGCGCTTTCCCTCCGCTCCCCGCCCCGAGGGAGGAGGCGCGGCCGCCCCGCAGCAAGCGCGCTGGCGGAGGCGCTCTGCACGCGCTCAGAGGCACGCTGCTTTCCGGGCGCCGGACGAAGAGGCCGGCCACCGGCGGAGACCGCAGGCGTTGGCAACGCCTTGCAAGGTCACCGATGACAGGCGGCTCTGGGCCTCGACCCGCCTCGTCCCCTCGCAGAGCGGCGTTTCCCGCCTCCCGACCCCTTTCCCCCGAGCGCCGCCATTACCCCGCTGCCTTCCATGGCCGCCTGTCTTCTTCTGCAGCTCGCCGACGCCGCGCTCTCGGGCGGGACAACGGAGCGGCGCTTCCCGCCCTCGCCAGGCAACCCCGCGAGGCGCCGCCGGAACAGCAGAGCGGCAACAGCAGCAGCAGCAGCAGCGCCGACTCCGACCGGCTCCTCCGGGGAGCCCTCGCTCCGCCTTCGGGGCTGGGCTCCGCTGCGCGCCGGCTGTGGCGCGAGGATTGGCCTCTCGAAAGGCGGGAAGGAGGAGAGGGGAACCCGGGCGCCTCTTGAGGGCAGGCAGTGCCGGATTGACGTATAAACTAAGCAAGCTAGAGCTTAGGGCCCCACTCTCTTGGGGCCCCCCCAAAAAAATTAAAGGGAAAAAACCGGATGTGCATTTCCAAAATATAAGATAACAAACAAATAAAATAAAACCTACATACAGCAGCAGTGTTTTATGTTGTGTAGGTTCCTATGATGTGAGTAATGGGACCCGACTGCTAGCCTGCTCCCTAAAATATCACTGGTTTGCTCATTTCTATATACAGCGGACACTCGGGTTGTGAATGTGATCCGTGTGGGATGCACGTTCGCAACCCGCAGCGTTCACAACCTGCGTCTGCATGCGTGGGTTGTAATTCGGTGCTTCTGCACATGCGCAAAGCATGATTTAGCACTTCTGCGCATGCACGACCGCCGAAACCCGGAAGTAACCCGTTCTGGTACTTCCGGGTTTCGGTGGTCCGCAACCTGAAAAAACGCAACCTGAAGCGGCTGTAACTCAAGGTATGACTGTATAGGGTGCCTACATTCTGCATGGACTGGTTGCATGGCAATATGTGCAAATGGCTTGAGATACCTATTAGGTTCATAGCTGTCAACCTTCCCTTTTTTGGCGGGAAATTCCGTTATTCCAGCACCATTTCCCGCTGCTATCCCGGATTGTTATATATCCCGTAGACTGTCCCTGGGACAGGTGAGGCTGCTGATCCCTTATTTTCGAGGCTGCTGATCTCTTATTTTCAAATCTGAAAGTTGACAGCTATGATTAGGTTCATAAATTACCATATAGCATATAATCAACACAAAAAAACAGCGACAATTTGTTGTTGACAAAGGGCAGCTGGACATATAAAGGGCCCCATTACCTTCAGTAGCTTAGGGCCTCATCAAACCTAAATCCGGCCCTGCTTACTCCTCAAATCTTCATAAAGAGCGCAAGCCAGAATCTGCACACGGGCCACTGACTCAATACTGCCATCTCCACAGGGAGATATTCTAGGAAAATGCAGGTTGCCTTTTGCTAGTGTAGGTGCCAGGGTGCTTCTGATCCCCCCCCCCAAAAAAAACAAGTCTCATCCCAAGTATAGGGTTGCCATGTTTCAAAAAGTAAAATTCCTTTTTTAGGAAACTGCCAAAATTGTCCGGCTTTGGGGAGCAAACCCAAATGGTTGAGCTTTGAGACATCCCATTCCGTAATGGATAATTTTTCTATTTATACCCACACATCTTATTGGGTTGCCCCAGCCACTCTGGGCAGCTTCCAGCATATATAAAAATATAATGAAACGTTAAACATTTTTTTAAAAAACCTTCCCTATACAGGATTGCCTTCAGACAGCTTGGGGGGTCGGATAACTCCATACCCTCCTGACATTTCTCCAATGAAAACAGGGACATTGGATAAGGAAAAGTGAATCAAATCAGAAACCGGGACGGCATCTCTAAATCAGCGATGTCCCTGGAAAATAGGGACACTTGGAGGGTCTGCAACTCCTAGGGGCTGAGGAGACTTGCCCCCCATAAAATATTTGAGGCCCCCCGTGTATGGGCATTTGTGTGCATGGGCATAACCAGGATTTCGAGAAGGTAGAAGATCACACCCTGAAGTTGAGCTTCTTTTGGGAATTCACAGGTAAAAAATACCCCCAAGAAAGAGGACATTACGGAGGCTAGGGGGCAGACCCTCAGTTAATTGAGTACTTTCAATCATGTGTGTACACACTGCATCATATAATTAATTATGCGGGGTGGGGCTTACCTGTCGTCCCCCAATATTTTATTGGCACACCTGGGGGCAAGGCTGCAAAGAAAGAAAAATTGGGCAGGTGGAAGGTATCAAGAGAAAAAGATGTCCTCCTTCCGGTTCCCCACACTTCACCCTTGCAGGGATCCCCACAGTGTCGCCTTCATGCGCTTGCACAAGAAAAGGAGCACATGAGGGGGATGGCAGCTAGGGCTATGTACATGTGTGCATATGTCTGTGTGCACACACACTTGTCCTTGAGATCTATAGCTCTAGCTCAAAATATTCCAAAGCTATTAACTATTCCTGTGCATGATCCTTTAAACATACCTTATTAAACTGCACCTGCTATTCCAGTACAGTCATACCTCATGTTACGTCCGTTTCATGTTACGTTCTTTCAGGATACGTCCCACGGCGACCTGGAAGTACTGGAAAGGGTTACTTCCGGGTTTCGCCGCTCGTGCATGCTCAGATGCGCAAAATGACATCACGCGCATGTGCAGGAGCGGTGAATTGCACCCCGCGCGTGCACAGACGCGGGTTGCATTCTTTTCATGTTGCGAATGGACCTCCGGAATGGATCCCGTTCGCAACCAGAGGTACCACTGTATTGCTCTTTACGCATTAACGACATAATTGCTGGATGTTGATTCAGCTCACGCTGCAAGTTTGCATGTAAAATAATGAAAAACCAGTTAGCTCAGTATTTCCCCAGGTGTGGTCTGGACACCTGCAGTAGACCCAAGTGAGAACATAAGCTGTGCTGGATCAGACCAAGACTCTCCTGTTTCTCATAGTGGCTAGCCAGAGGGGAAGCCCATAACCAGTACCCATCCCCAACTGTTGCTCCCCAATGACTGGTATTTTGAGGTTGAAGGCAGAGGTCCTCCATCTGCTTCTTTAATCCCCTTGAAAGCCATTTCTGCCGGCAACCATGATCTGCGGCACTCTTTCATATGATCCAAGGGAACCAGTTTCAAGGAGCCAGATCTTTCTTGGAAGTTTCTGTCAAGAGGCAAGCTGCTTGTCAGTCTCCGTTCTGAAACCTAAATTGAGTTGCAGCAGGACACGGAAGGAAAAACAAAAGAAACTAAACAGAGAGGATCGGATTCCAGACAAGAGAATATTTGGGCAAAGGATCAGTCAAAATTTTGCCTCTGTTGCCAAATGTCTGCCGAGTAGGAAACTAAGTTGGCAAGGACTCCCTCAAGAATCACACGGTAAGAGAATTGAATGGTCCACAAACAAACCAGAATATCTGTATTTGGCAAGTCTGAAATCCTATACACATTTACTTGGGATTGTTGTTGTTGTTGTTGTTTAGTCGTTTAGTCGTGTCCGACTCTTCGTGACCCCATGGACCAGAGCACGCCAGGCACCTCTGTCCTCCACTACCTCCCGCAGTTTGGTCAAACTCATGCTGGTAACCTCGAAAACACTATCCAACCATCTTGTCCTCTGTCGCCCCCTTCTCCTTGTGCCCTCCATCTTTCCCAGCATCAGGGTCTTCTCCAGGGAGTCTTCTCTTCTCATGAGGCGGCCAAAGTACTGGAGCCTCAGCTTCACGATCTGTCCTTCCAGTGAGCACTCAGGGCTGATTTCCTTAAGAATGGATGCGTTTGATCTTCTTGCAGTCCATGGGACTCTCAAGAGTCTTCTCCAGCACCATAATTCAAAAGCATCAATTCTTCGGCGATCAGCCTTCTTTATGGTCCAGCTCTCACTTCCATACATCACTACTGGGAAAACCATGGCTTTAACTATACGGACCTTTGTTGGCAAGGTGATGTCTCTACTTCTCAAGATGCTGTCTAGGCCTGTCATTGCCCTTCTCCCAAGAAGCAGGCGTCTTTTAATTTCGTGGCTGCTGTCACCATCTGCAGTGATCATGGAGCCCAAGAAAGTAAAATCTCTCACTGCCTCCATTTCTTCCCCTTCTATTTGCCAGGAGGTGATGGGACCAGTGGCCATGATCTTCGTTTTTTTGATGTTGAGCTTCAGACCATATTTTGCGCTCTCCTCTTTCACCCTCATTAAAAGGTTCTTTAATTCCTCCTCACTTTCTGCCATCAAGGTTGTGTCATCTGCATATCTGAGGTTGTTGATATTTCTTCCGGCAATCTTAATTCCAGCTTGGGATTCATCCAGCCCAGCCTTTCGCATGATGTATTCTGCATACAAATTAAATAAGCAGGGAGACAAAATGCAGCCTTGTCGTACTCCTTTCCCAATTTTGAACCAATCAGTTGTTCCATATCCAGTTCTAACTGTAGCTTCTTGTCCCACATAGAGATTTCTCAGGAGACAGATGAGGTGATCAGGCACTCCCATTTCTTTAAGAACTTGCCATAGTTTGCTGTGGTCGACACAGTCAAAGGCTTTTGCATAGTCAATGAAGCAGAAGTAGATGTCTTTCTGGAACTCTCTAGCTTTCTCCATAATCCAGCGCATGTTTGCAATTTGGTCTCTGGTTCCTCTGCCTCTTCTAAATCCAGCTTGCACTTCTGGGAGTTCTCGATCCACATACTGCTTGAGCCTTCCTTGTAGAATTTTAAGCATAACCTTGCTAGCGTGTGAAATGAGTGCAATTGTGCGGTAGTTGGAGCATTCTTTGGCACTGCCTTTCTTTGGGATTGGGATGTAGACTGATCTTCTCCAATCTTCTGGCCACTGCTGAGTTTTCCAAATTTGCTGGCATATTGAGTGTAGCACCTTAACAGCATCATCTTTTAAAATTTTAAATAGTTCAGCTGGAATACCATCGCTTCCACTGGCCTTGTTATTTGCAGTGCTTTCTAAGGCCCATTTGACTTCACTTTCCAGGATGTCTGGCTCAAGATCAGCAACCACACTACCTGGGGTGTACGAGACATCCATATCCTTCTGGTATAATTCCTCTGTGTATTCTTGCCACCTCTTCTTGATGTCTTCTGCTTCTGTTAGATCCTTACCACTTTTGTCCTTTATTATGGTAATCTTTGTACGAAATGTTCCTTTCATATCTCCAATTTTCTTGAACAGATCTCTGGTTCTTCCCATTCTGTTGTTTTCCTCTATTTGTTTGCATTGCTCGTTTAAGAAGGCCTTCTTGTCTCTCCTTGCTATTCTTTGGAAATCTGCATTCAATTTCCTGTATCTTTCACTATCTCCCTCACATTTTGCTTGCCTTCTCTCCTCCGCTATTTGTAAGGCCTCGTTGGACAGCCACTTTGCTTTCTTGCATTTCCTTTTCATTGGGATGGTTTTCGTTGCTGCCTCCTGTACAATGTTACGAGCCTCCATCCATAGTTCTTCAGGCACTCTGTCCACCAAATCTAAATCCTTAAACCTGTTCCTCACTTCCACTGTGTATTCATAAGGGATTTGACTTAGATTGTATTACTTGGGATTAGGCTCCATGAACTCAGTGTGACCTTTTTTTTTGAATTGGCACGAACAGCATTGCATTTCCAAGCAAGAATGCAGATATAGCAGTGTGCTGATGTCCTAGCAATGCTATGTTAATTTTGGGGCTTAGGAGCCCCAAAAAATGCAATGCTGAAAAGGCCTCGTTGAGGCAAATGATGTAGGCATATATTCATTTTGGTCTTAAGTTGCCGTCTGCATAACTTTTGTACTGGCAAAATGTTATATACATATATGCAGGTGTTGGTGATCTTTTAAACACTATTCCTACAGGATGCAGATTAACAGCAGGGCAACTAACGTGGATGCTCTTTAGGGTTGCCAAGAGATTTCTATTTCAAGCCTGGATACCCTTGTTCATTATCCAATAGTACTCACCATCCTTGGTACAATTCGAACCTATCTTTTTTTTTAATATAAATGCCAATTCCATGTGTACCTATTTGGAGATCTGGAGGGCTAATACAGATTTATATGTGTTGATTTTTAGATTTAAGCGCAGATGAATGCTGTATTCTCGGATGTGAGCTGACATAACAGAATAAAAGCCTGCTGGATACTGCCCATCTAGTCCAGGATCCTGTTCTCACCAGGGCCAATCAGATGCCGGTGGGAAGCCTGCAAGCTCAACATCAGCACAACAGCATTCTGCTAGTGGCGGATCTTGCAGTCTCAAATTTCAGAGGTGCCCTGTGCAACGGCAGAATTCAGCATCCCTCTGCCTCTCTGGCACTTCATTCTAAATCATAGCTGTGGCGCCCCCCAGTGGCACCCCCAAGGCTTCACACCCGTGTGACCAAACCAGCTTTGACCTCCCCAAAACCTGCCTCTTTAACACTGTCCACCTGCAATTCTCAGCTTGCAAACAAATCCTGCTCATGTTTCTTGCCAAACTTTCCTAATTTCTGCAACCTAATTGTGTGTGTGTGTGTGTGTTTTTTTTTGGGGGGGGGGTAGTTTGTTTGCTAAAGCTCCTGTTTAAGTATTTTAAGAAACAAATTCTTTTAAATACTCTGCATTATAATGTGTCGCGGCATTCTTCAGATCCTTATCAAACTCTGTAAAAATAATCTTCATTCAGGTACGATTTAGGAAACAGGAAACTCCAAAGCAGCTCTTTGTCTGTTGTTTTAATTTTGGCAGCCGTGTTCTCTCGAGAGGATTCTCTGCTTCCAGTGCCTAGCAGAAACTTAATTTTTATATATTATCCGTGCACAGTCTGCAATTTGCTGAACACCGGCTGCTCTGATTCCAGAGGCACCGGTTTCCGTAACTGTTGCATAAAGACGGGGTGCCTGCCAATTTAACTCCCAATGTCACATACTCCCAGAAGCAAATAGCCAGCCACTGGAATTCTTGCCGGCTTCTGCTAAGCAATTTGGTTCCTCCCTAATTTGATCTGATCTCTTTCTTACTATACAAGTTGTTTGCAGTGAAGCTTCATAAAATAATTATATATTTTAATCTCCTCCCTGCCCAAAATTAAGGTTGCAAATGCACACTGTCAAGGAAAGCGACAACAGCACCCTAAACACAGATAAACACACTGTATATCACTGACTGAAATAATCATGTAGTATAATATAAACAGTTGGCCGATCGTTATTCATTTGCATATTCAGGAAGGGCTTATGGGTGTTTCTTGCTCTCAATGAACCCATTGCATGCCTTAGGGAGAAAAATGGTGCAATGATCTAGCACTCAGCAAAATGCCCCTCAGAATAATTGTTTTACAAATAAAAATACTGTTTGATGTATGTGTTTTTAATCAATGACAGGGAGGATAATAATAATATAGAATATGCATTGCAGTTCTAAAATATTTTCAGAAACATTAATGCTAGAAGAGTGTTACCTTTTACAGCAAGTAGCAAAGAGATTGCTCATCCTCTCTTCAGTGTCTGATTCAAGCCTAGACTTGCCGGATGCCAGGGTTTACCTGGGTTTGCTGACAGTTCAGGTTTTGTTCCATGCTGATGAGTTAACGCAAGCACAGAGCAACCCGGAATTCCTGCAACTGCCGAGTCTCTGGAGAGCAACCACCACGTCTGCACTTTTGCCACTCACAGCACCAAGCAGGTGTGGCAGGGAGACTACTGAGAAGGTCCAGCAATGGTCAATGCAAGCTGTGATAGTAACTCAGGAACTATCAGATCCTAGGTCAGGTCAGGCCTGCCTTCAGAATGACCTATTTGCTGGGCATTAGGGACACGGGTGGCGCTGTGGTCTAAACCACAGAGCCTAGGGCTTGCCGATTGGAAGGTCGGCGGTTCGAATCCTCGCAAAAGGGTGCAGGAGAGCTTCAGCCAGTTGTGATGGGGTTAATTTACTGCAGCCCATTTACGAATTGCTTCATATGAAACACCTGAAAGCAATTTAAGAAACACTACAATAAAACAAGGGACGCGGGTGGCGCTGTGGGTTAAACCACAGAGCCTAGGGCTTGCCGACCAGAAGGTTGGTGGTTCAAATCCCCGTGACAGGGTGAAGTCCCGTTGCTCGGTCCCTGCTCCTGCCAACTTAGCAGTTCGAAAGCACGAAGTGCAAGTAGGTAAATATGTACCACTCCGGCGGGAAGGTAAATGGTGTTTCGGTGTGCTGCTCTGGTTCGCCAGAAGCGGCTTAGTCATGCTGGCCACATGACCCGGAAGCTGTATGCCGGCTCCCTCGGCCAGTAAAGCAAGATGAGCGCCGCAACCCCAGAGTCGGTCATGACTGGACCTAACGGTCAGGGGTCCCTTTACCTTTACCTAGTCTTAACAACATCTGGAAGGCTGCCAGCTCTTCAAACCTGCTCTATGGCACACAATACTCCCGGAGGAGCTAAAACTGCTACCTGTATGAACCCACACCAAAGGGTCAGCATACAGCTCCTTTTTTTGTAGTGACCCCCCAAAGCTTTGCAATACCACACTCAGGAATAGCATGTTCCTCCACGACTTTTGAAGTGGCATCTCAGGGTCTTTAAGGGCATTTGGCTACTTTGGTTATGCTCAGATTTTTAACATAGAATCATAGAACGGTAGTGTTGGAAGGGACCCCAAGAGTCATCTAGTCCAGCCCCCTGCAATGCAGAAATCCACGACAGATGGCCATCCAACCTCTGCTGAAAAACCTCCAAGGAAGGAAAGTCCACAATCTATACATATATATGTATTATACTGTCACTCATGCTACGTTTATGCATTCTGGTGGTAAAAGCCACCTGGGACAAGCCGCCCAAAAGGACGATTCAACTTGTTTAAATATAAGTAAATCTGCTCGACGTGGTATTACAGCTGCCAAGGTGCCAGGAAGATGCGCGTTCTGTCTTCCACCCTCGCTAGGGGACTATCTCTTTAAGGCCGTCCAGTCAGAGGGCACATACCCGATCTATCAGCTTCCCTTGCGCCCATGCACGACTTTTCTCCGGGAGAGGCGAGCGCAACTTGGGATGAGGGCTGCGATTTCAGAAGAAGTTGCGTCCCGTCTGAAAGGGAGAACAACTCTCCATTTCCCCCGATCTCGTGAAGCAGCTGAAGTGAGAGAAGATGAAGAAATCCGAAGCGCTCGCGGGGGAGGGAAGACAAAAACAAAACAAAACCACAAAACACAAATCCCGTCTCCATACGACGCGCCTCGTTTTTGCAATCTCCAGATCGTTGCGCGCAGCTGCAACGAAACCTGTCGCGCGTTGTTGTCTTGCAAGGGAAGCGCTGCGGACTTCCGACGTGCTCCTCCAGAAAAGGATGGCCAGAAAAAGCGACGCGAGGGCCGGCCCCGTGGGGCTGAGCGTGGGTCTCGCCCTCCTGCAGCTCCTCGGAGGGGGGGTCACCGCCGCGACGCTGAAGGGCAGCGCTTACCAGGGGCTGCTGGTCGCCATTCACCCCTCCGTTCCCCAAGAGGCGAAAATCGTCTCCAGCCTTAAGGTAAAAGATGAAGGGAGGAGGCAACCAGTGCTGTTGCCAATGGACCTTTCGCGCATCTGGTGATGGGAAGCGGACCCCAGGGGGAAGGGACCCCGCAAGGTCATCCAGTCCAACTCCCCAACCCCACCCCGCAATGCAGGCATCGCAGCTAAGTCCTGATGGCTCTGCCTGCCTACGATTGTCATTTTACCACTTTGGCATCGCGCACACCTTCCGCGTTTGCGCCTTGGTGCTTCAGATTTTGCCTGCCCTTGCCCCTCTTAGTTTACCAGCGGGCACGACTGAGCACATTGAAGATGCTTCTATCGTGCCCCTGCTCTTCTGAACTCCGCACGAGTCTTCAGTTGCAAGGGTGCAAATATTTTTTGTTTGCAAAACACAGCTCTAATGCTATAAAAATGTGGCAGGTTGTTTGTGCCAATTTCGCGACTCTCAACGGTTTAATGCGTTCAGGGGGATTTTTCTATGTGAAATCCACCAGTTGCACGTCCCCCCCCCCCTTAAGGAGTTGGTCACGGTGCTCGTGGTGTTGCATAGACTTCCCTTTGCGCCTTTACGCAAAATGTACTGATGCATCTGTTCTTTAAAATTCTGTTCCGTGGCTGCACGTCGAGGCATCTTCCACAAACATCTGGTGTTCCTGAACACATTTGTTCCTCTGCACCTTTTGCAAAGTATTTTTCTCAGTTCCATGCTCAGCAAGAGCTATAGCTACCCTCGTATTGATCAGATCTAAAGCATTCACGGAGGAAAGTGTGGAATCCCAAGGATGCTCGCTGTGATCTGAAGGTGCACTTTGAAAGAACAAAGGTCGTTAGATCCACTGCCTGCTTGTTTGCATCCTTTCATTCAGCTGGTATTGGGGGGAGAAGTATCTTCCTTCATCTATGCACGGTGGTGTCACCGTCAACCTCTCTTATTCTGCCTAATGCTCCTTTAGCGAGTATATACACCAGGCACTACAGAACTGCCCTGTTGGCTTCCGCTGATGTTGACTTTGGGCGCATAGTTCGTAAACGGGTACTTTAGTCTCAATAAATGCAGTTGGAACTTAAGACAGAAGGCAGCCTGCCTCTCCAAAGGACGGCTGCTGCTCAAGATCAAGCATTTGAGGGGGGGGCTCAGTGCCGGATTTACATATAAACTAAACAAGCTATAGGTTAGGGGGCCCCCCAATTAGGTCTGTAAATTACCATATAGCATATATTCAACACAAAAAAACTGTAATAATTTGTTGTTGACAAAGGACAGCTGGACATATAAAAGGCCCCATTACCTTCAGTAAGGGATGCGGGTGGCGCTGTGGGTTAAACCACAGAGCCTAGGACTTGCCGATCAGAAGGTCAGCGGTTCGAATCCCCGTGACGGGGTGAGCTCCCGTTGCTCGGTCCCTGCTCCTGCCAACCTAGCAGTTCGAAAGCACATCAAAGTGCAAGTAGATAAATGGATACCGCTCTGGCGGGAAGGTAAACGACATTTCTGTGCGCTGCTCTGGTTCTCCAGAAGTGGCTTAGTCATACGCCGGCTCCCTCGGCCAGTAAAGCGAGATGAGCGCCGCAACCCCAGAGTTGGCCACGACTGGACCTAATAGTTAGGGGTACGTTTACCTTTACCTTCAGTAGCTTAGGGCCTCATCAAACCTAAATCTGGCCCTGGGGGCACTACTGACTTCCCCCGGCATGCTCTATCTCTAGGCAGATCTGGCTGCCATCCTAACCCTAGTTACCCGTAGGGCAACAAACCATTTCTGCCTGTCAAACAGCTGCCAAAAACTGAACGGTAATCTTAAATCCAGATATATATATATTTAATAGTAAAAAATAATTTTTGGGATCCTGATCCCCTATAGTTATGGATTTAAAATCTGAAAGTGTTCCCCCTCTTTTTTGCTGTACATCTGGACTGGATCTGGTCTCTGCTTCCAGCGGTCAGGAATTAAGGGAGTTTCTGTGGCAGACTTCACTGCAGCACACCCTGAAAATTATGAAGTTGCACCTCTTTCAGAATTCACCAGATCTTCTGGATCTGGGTGAGAAAGGTCATTGGATATACCTGCCCAGGGCTCTGCAAACTACGTGTTACTTCTCATGGCTTGTTCGCTCAGCTCCTACAACTTCCTGCTCCACTCCTCCCTCCTGCCTCCTTCCCCGATGTAACTGGTTCCAGACAGGCAGGGACTTGTAACCCTACTTACAATTTCAGGAAGTCATAGACTGTGATCCTTGGATGCTGATAAATCTATTGTCAGTGAGATGAGAAATGCAAAAGTTGTTCCCCCACATATCCCCTGTGCCCATGGGAATAGCCTCCTCCTAACTGGAGAAATGGTGCTTTTATTGCCAATCTCTTCCAGCATTAAAGGTAAAGGTACCCCTGCCCGTACGGGCCCAGTCTTGACAGACTCTAGGGTTGTGTGCTCATCTCACTCTAAAGGCTGGGAGCCCGGCGCCGTCCGCAGACACCTTCCGGGTCACATGGCCAGTGTGACATCGCTGCTCTGGCGAGCCTGCACCAGCGCAGCACACGGAACGCCGTTTACCTTCCCGCTATAAACGTGGACCTATTTATCTACTTGCACTTTTAAGGGGTGCTTTCAAACTGCTCAGGTGGGCAGGAGCTGGGACTGATGACGGGAGCTCACCCCACCGCGGGGATTCGAACTGCTGACCATACGATCGGCAAGTCCTAGGCACTCTGGTTTTACCCACAGCGCCACCCGCATCCCCTTCCCAGCATGCTATTTAGCAACTATAGCAAATCCACATAAATAAAATAAATTAAATTAAATAATATTTTTATTATTTAAAATGCACCCATATGGCTACCAGAAAAAACACACACAATCAAACATTAAAACTTTTCAAGACAGGGCTCCCTTCAGATATCTTCTAAAAGTTGTGTAGTTCTTTATCTCCTTGACATCTGAAGGGAGAGTGTTCCACAAGGAGGGCTCCACTGGCCAAGAAGGCCCTCTCCTTGGTTCCCTGTAGCTTCAATTTTGCAGTGAGGGAACCACCGGAAAGCTCTCAGAGCTGGACCTCAGTGTCCAGACAGAACAATGGGGGTGGAGACGCTCCTTCAGGTATACTGGGCCAAGGCCATTTAGGGCTTTAAAGGTCAGCATCAACACTTTGAATTGTGCTCAGAAACATACTGGGAGCCAATTAAGGTCTTTCAAGACCGGAGGTATGTGGTCTCGGCGGCAGCTCACAGTCACCAGTCTAGCTGCCACATTCTGGATTAGTTGTAGTTTCAGAGTCACCTTCAAGGGTAGCCCCATGTAGAGCGCATTGCAGTAGTCCAAGCGGGAAATAACCAGAGTATGCACTACTCTGGCAAGACAGTCTGCGGGCAAGTAGGGTCTCAGCCTGTGTACCAGATGGAGCTGGTAGACAGCTGCTCTAGACACAGAATTGACCTGCACCTCCATGGACAGCTGTGAGTCCAAAATGACTCCCAGCTGTGCACCTGGTCCTTCAGGGGTACAGTTACCCCATTAAGGACCATGGAGTCCCCCACAACTGCTTGCCCCTGCCCCCCCCAAAACAGTACTTCTGTATTGTTGAGATTCATCCCCAATCCATTATCCTCCATCCATCCTCCAACCGCCTCCAGACAATGTATCAAGGAAGGGCTGCGAAGGAGTAGTTAAGAATGCAGTCCTGAACACACTTACTAAGAAGTCAACCCCATCGGATCAAGTTCCGCCTTGGAGTAAACATATGCATAGGGTCCACATTGTACAGAATGCTTCTAGAATTAGCCATATTTATTGTGAGGAGAACAGATTTGTGTTTCCTTGGCTCAAGAATGCGTGTGAGGTGAATCCAAATGTTTCATAATAATGGCAAGCTTGGTTTGGAAATCCCTTTGGATTTCCTTGTAGAATGGACATGCCATATCGACACTGTGGTGCTTGAACCCTTCTGTTAAGATGGTGGATTTAAGGAGTTGCCTGGAGAGGTCTAGTTTTAATGCGAGTGAACCTGCCGCAACAGAAGCCGGTTGTTTTTGCTGCTTCAGCCCATGTTTACAGTTGTGAAATTATGAAGGCAATTATAATTGCCCAGACAAGCTGTGTGCAGTGTGTGTTTCGAATCTGGCTTCACGCATGCTGCATGAAAGCTACTGCTTTGAAAGAGTTGTGAAATTGATAAAATAGTCCTTGTGTCCTGGCTCTCTGTGGTAGAATTTCTATGCAGTTTGAAGCACAACAGCTTCACCTTTAGCTATGAGGATCGAAGGAAAGGTTTGCCACTTTTCAGTTATCATAAAATGTTTTCATAAGCAGCAAAGCATTTCAGGAATGCACATATCACTACCAAGCCATTTTCTGGCATTTCTTCTGTCTCCCTCAGCCCTGCAGCTGCTTATTATGGGTTGTTTTAGTCTGTGTTCGCTGTACACTCCTTGCACTTCCAGTGCTGGGATTTTTTTATCATCCAACGTGCATTATGTATCCTGTACTTTGTTATAAAATGCCGCCATTTAATGTGTTGTTTTGCAATCCAGCTTCATGCTATTTGGGGTCTTTAAACCATTCCTAACTTCAGGACCTCTTTTTCTAGAAAAATAGCACTGAATAGGACAAATTATTAATTAAAAATTTCTGGGTTAACATAATCTTCACTATTTCTCAAATCAATGTTCCTTTCCCTTCCCCCTCTGAAGTTTCATTCCAGTCTGACTGGATGATTGCATAATAATCTATGAGTTTACACTTTCCTCCTTGCATGAACTAATGATTCTCGCTAATCCACTTTCCTATCATTTCGTTCTCTTATTAGGAAATGATTACTGAAGCTTCCTTCTACTTGTTCAATGCTACACAAGGAAGGGTTCATTTTGGGAGTGTCAAAATTTTAATACCTGCAACATGGGAAAGAAACAATTACGCAAAAGCCAATGCAAGAGGCGTACACAAAGGTACGTATTAAGGGCAGTGACCTGGGCCTGCTGTTCCTCATTTCTTCCATCCATCTGCCTCCAATTAAAATATTTGCTGAACACCGTAAAGGTAAAAGGTAAAAAGGACCCCTGGACAGTTAAGTTCAGTCAAAGGCGACCATGGGGTGCAGCGCTCATCTCGTTTCAGTACTTGGGCTTTTTTTAAAAATGTAAACATTAGTTGGATCTAAAATTCCCAAGATTGTTCTGATCCTAATAGATGCTGGTTTGCCATAAAAAGGTAAAGGTACCACTGCCCGTACGGGCCAGTCTTGACAGACTCTAGGGTTGTGCGCCCATCTCACTCAAGAGGCCGGGAGCCAGCGCTGTCCGCAGACACTTCCGGGTCACGTGGCCAGCGTGACATCGCTGCTCTGGCGAGCCACAGCCGCACACGGAAACACTGTTTACCTTCCCGCTAGTAAGCGGTCCCTATTTATCTACTTGCACCCGGAGGTGCTTTCGAACTGCTTGCATATAATACATATATTTTTTTGTTTGGCTAAGCATATCCAGATATATATAATCTTGACCTGTGCTTTAATCTTATTTTTAGCTTATCATTGATTTTAATTATCTTTGTTCTAAATAGTTGCATTTTTACTGTTTTTGCTGATTATCTCATTATATAATAATAGTAATAATAAATTGAATGTTAAAAACAATACAGCTTTAAATATTAAAAACTTCCCTAAACAGGGCAGCCTTCAGATGTCTTTTAAAGATAGGATAGCTGCTTATTACCTTCACATCTGAAGGGAGGGCGTTTATTCTTCTCCGTAAACCGCTTTGAGGCTTTCTACAATCAAGTGGTGTATAAATTTTACTAATCGAATGAATAGCATATCCTGTCCTATGAGTTTATTTGCTTGCATAGCGAGTGAATCTCAAAGCCCCCTCATTTATGGGGGGAACATAATGTGCAAAGTCGTTTCAAGATTTGCTCAGAACAAATTTTGTACGCTCCATTGCTAATAGCACAAAGAGCAGGTTATTTCTGATCACATGGTAAGTACAGCTAATACAGTACAGTGGTACCTCAGGTTACAGACACTTCAGGTTACAGATGCTTCAGGTTACAGACTCTCCTAACCCAGAAATAGTACCTCGGGTTAAGAACTTTGCTTCAGGATGAGAACAAAAATTGTGCGGCGGCGGCGCAGCGGCAGCAGGAGGCCCCATTAGTTAAAGTGGTACCTCAGGTTAAGAACAGTTTCAGGTTAAGAACAGAGCTCCAGGACGAATTAAGTTCTATACCGAGGTACCACTGTAGTTATCTACTGCCCACACCCACAGTGCATTTGTGTGCCTCTTCATACATTCCGGCTTTTAAATGCGCTGTGTTGATGCTATCATTAATCAGGGGAGCCAACTTGGGTTATGGGTGCCCAGTGTGTGTGACGTCATGACGTCATGCACGCCCCCTGGCCTCAGAACCTGACTTCCGGTGGGACCTCTGAGGCCTCAGAAATGCTGTCCGAGGCCTTGCAAAACCTCAGAGGTTGTGGGGGCCCCCTGTCGTGTGGGTGTTGAGCACCCACAACAACATGTTTGTGGGTGCCCAGGTACCCAAAGCCCCCTATAGTTGGCGCCCCTGTCAGTAATTAACAAGCAATAGGACTTACCGTATGTTGAGACTTCATTCCTCTTCACGTTTCTCTGGTAGTAAACCCCATTGAACTGACTGGGTCTTATTTTTGAGTAGGCATGCATAAGATTTCACTGTCAAGTGCAATCTTCATAGTATGACTAAAAAGGGTGCAGTTTAGTACTTTTGCAGTTCAAAAACATGTTTACTATATTCCAGCGTGTCTATTCGGGGGGGGGGGAGAGTATTATGAAATCTGGCTATGACATGTAAGTAATTGTTGGACTGAACTCCTGCTTTTATCAGTAATTAATAATAAGCGTACCTATTCCAAACCTGCTCATTAAACAAAACTTTCATTTTAGGCAGATGTCATTGTTGCTCCTCCTTATTGGAAACATGGATACGATCCATACACATTGCAATATGGAGGGTGTGGAGAAAAGGGAAAATACATACATTTCACCCCTGACTTCCTGGTAAATAATGATTCGATTGGAATCTATGGACCACACGGTAAATCCTAAACAAATAATTATTATCTTTCTTCTTCCGTTACCTTTTGTGTTTCAAAAAAGTACAATTTTAAAATCTCACATCTGCATCATAACCAACAAAGGATATCTTTAATAATTAACAGTAATGGTGTCTTCATATATGCCTCTTTTTAGTTTTTAACAAACGTTTATCACACTCTGTGTGTGTGTGTGTATGTGTATGTGTGTATATATATATATATATTGCATACCATATGCCATTATGATAAATCCACCTATAGATAACATTCAGTATCAACACAAGGGAACTGGTCCTTCCAAAAAAACTCATAGCATTTTAAAAACAGAAATAAAGTACTGGTTGTTGAATCTTGAAACCATTTGAATTGGGACATAGAGTATCATGTTTGTGGCCCTACATATTACTTTTCAGATAATGGGGGGAAATAATTGATTAAAAGCACCCTAGTAGTTTTTTTAAAAAGGAAATTTATTAAATGGCATGCTCTGTTTGCTAGAGGAAATTTCAAATATTTTCCTAGCACCACAGCAATCGAGAGATAATACAATCTCTCGATTGCTGTGGTGCTAGGAAAATATTTGAAATTCTCCAAAATATTCCCTTGCGATAAAGGCACTGACAAAGTTGGGAAGGTGTCAGCTGCTGAAAATTGGTACAGACTGGTGCCATTGGCAGCCTTAAGACACTTGGACAGCTGCATTTCATAAGCTGCAATAGGCATTCTAACTGGGCTGGGGGTTTCACTGCAATCGATAGCCAGGAAAAAATGTCATTGGGGTTCCCTACAATGACCTACAATTTAAAGAGTGACTGTTTAAGGGTCTCAAGACCAGATTTGTGTTTGGGAAGCTTGCAGATTCAGCTTTTGGGGGAGGCTCAACCAGTTAGGGCAGCCTTTCTCAACCTGTGGGTCTTCAGATGTGGTTGGACTACAACTTCCATCACCCTTAGCTAGCAAGGCCAGAGCTCAGGGATGATGGGAGTTGTAGTCCAACACCATCTGGGGACCCACAGGTTGAGAACCACTGAGTTAGGGTGTCAGTACAGGAACTTGAACTCTTCCTGTCTTACAAGTCAAGCACATAATCCCCTTTCCTGCAACACTACCTGCTCTGTAGCATTTGCTGCTATGGGACTGTGTTAGATTACTACCAAATGTCACAATGCAATTTCCATGCTTTTATTTATACAGGCAGGCTTTTCGTCCACGAGTGGGCCCACCTTCGGTGGGGGGTATTTGATGAATATGACAGTGAAAAGCCTTTCTACATATCGAGTCAAAACCAGGTGAAAGCCACCAGGTAAAATTTGTGTATGTGCAGGTGTGTTCAAACTAAACAACTCTGTATATAGTTTGCAAAAAACACCTTATCAATAATGTGCGGCATTTCAACACCTTCTATTACATGGAATCTTAAATAATATCTACAATGCCAAAATAATAATGACATGTGCCATTCAGTATCTCAGCCAAACAGTTCGAATATTCCTGAATTAAGTTCATGAGAGCGATTCTCTCTGTATATACTTGTGATGGTGCGATCCTGACAACGAGATGCCTGGATTTCAATCTCTGTTTCGTGAATCTTCTTCTGGTCAGCCCAAAAAGGAACTCTGAATTGTACATAACGTGCTTGTAATAACTTCATTCAATACAAACCATAAACAATGACAAGAATTGTGGGCGTAAGACAACTCGCTTACATATAATGGCAATTCAATGCTCCACCAAATAAATCGCCTCTAACTGTGCTCTTTTTGTAAAGGCTGATGCAGCCGCAGCCACAGGTGTGCTTTTTTCAGAATAAAAATTACCTGCTTTGTGTTTCTTTAAAGGTTTTAAATGTTTGTTTTCTTTTGCACTCACACTCCCTTGGGGAGCACAATATGTTGTTGAGAGCCAGTGTGGTGTAGTGGTTAAGAGTGGTAGTCTCGTAATCTGGGGAACCGGGTTCGCGTCTCTGCTCCTCCACAGGCAGCTGCTGGGTGACCTTGGGCCAGTCACACTTCTCTGAAGTCTCTCAGCCCCACTCACCTCACAGAGGGTTTGTTGTGGGGGAGGAAGGGAAAGGAGAATGTTGGCCGCTTTGAGACTCCTTAAAGGGAGTGAAAGGCGGGATATCAAATCCAAACTCTCCTCCTCCTCCTCCTCCTCCTTCATGTTCATGTCCTGATTGCCTTGTGCCTATTCCTAGGTGTTCTTCTGACCTAACGGGAATTTATGTCTGCGAGAAAGAATCCTGCACTGAAGGCAGCTGTGTCATTGACCAGGCAACAGGACTCTTAAAAGAAGGGTGCACTTTTATACACGACAAGGAGCAAAATGCATCATCTTCCATAATGTACATGCAAAGCTTATCTTCTGTAAGTACAGTTCAAGAGAGATTGTACATGACGTTTCCTGTACTTCAGGGATGGGGAAACTGTGGCTGAACTGTATCTCCCACATCTCTGACCACTGGGCATGCTGGCTGAGGGTGGTTGGAGTCCAGCAGCATCTGAAGGATCAGTGGCTGAAGGTTGAATGTAGAAAAGGGGGCTTACCGTATTTTTCGCTCTATAAGACGCACCAGACCACAAGACGCACCTAGTTGTTGGAGGAGGAAAACAAGAAAAAAAATAATTATGAATCTCAGAAGCCGGAACAGCAAGAGGAATCGCTGCGCAGCGAAAGCAGCAATCCCTCTTGCTGTTCTGGCTTCTGGGATAGCTGCGCAGCCTGCATTCGCTCCATAAGACACACACACATTTCCCCTTACTTTTTAGGAGGGAAAAAGTAAGTCTTATAGAGCAAAAAATATGGTATATCTTCCAGGTGTTTAGGTGATGATCTTGAACGTATTGCTCATAAAGCCACTTCCGCACTAAGATGGAGGTGGGGTTGCAGGCTTCACGGTCCCTCCACGCGCGCAGCGGCCCCGCGTGATTGGAGAGGATTCCTGGCTGCGTCACCTCCTAGCCGGCCAGTCAGCTGGCTCGGGGGGTGGGGCCTGCCCTATAATGGCAGAACACGGCTGGTGATCTCCCTCTTTGCTGCCCGCCAGCTGTTCCTGCTTTTCCCCCTGCCCTATAAGGTTTTCTTTCTGACCTTGCTATGGACCTTGGTTGGTCGCCGTTGAGGGGCCTGGTAGGAATTTTTCCACTTGGCAAATTGGCACCAGCCACTTGGTTTTCGCCTACCTCATAGCAAATCGTCACAACTTCCTGGGTATTCTGGGCAATCTGTTTTTGTCATTCGCAATTGTTCGTTTCCAGAAGAAGATGGGATGGAAACAGCACTCGGAGAGCTGGGAGCCTTTCTCTCTAAGCCCTTGTGTGTGTGCGATTTCTGTAGTTACTAATGGAGATGTTTTCTGCAAGTGTTTGACACAATCATAGAATTGTAGAGATGGAAGGGACCCAAGGGTCATCTAGTCTGCCCTGTGATGCAGGAATCTCAACTAAAGCATCCCTAAACAATGGCCATCCAACCTCTGCTTAAAAACCTCCGAAGAAGGAGAGTCTAAACAGCACTCTCAGAGAACAACCTCCCGAGGGAGTCAGTCCCCCCATCAAACAGCTCTTACTGTCAGAAAGTTATTCCTGATGTTTGGTTGGAATTTCCTTCCTTGTAACTTGAAGCCATTGTTTTGAGTCCTACCCTCCAGAGCAGGAGAAAACAAGCTTTCTCCATCTTCTATGTGACAGCCCTTGAGATATCTGAAGATGGCAATCACATCTCCTCTCAGTCTCCTCTTTACCCAGGCTAAAGGCTCAGTTTCCAGATCCTTGATCATCTTGGGTGCCCTCCTCTGTACACGTTCCAGCTTGTCAATATCCATCTTAAATTGTGGTGCCCAGAACTGTCTTGCTGTTTTCTGTTTTCAGGTGTTTGAATTCTGTGACTCAAGCAACCATAACGCTGAAGCTCTCAATGCCCAGAACAGCATGTGCAGTTACAAGAGCACATGGGATGTCATCATGAGCTCTGATGACTTTAAATCCGATATTCCTCTGACCAGCAAAAACAGTCCTTTGCCCCCAACCTTCTCACTTTTACAAGCGACAGACAGAGTGATCTGTTTAGTCTTGGATTTTTCCAGCAGCATGGATGAGGTAAAGTCTTACTCTTTGAGGCAAAAATGAACACCTGCTCTGAAACTGAAATTCCCTTGCTTTGCTTTTCAAAAGTGCTATCGATTACAGAGTTTATTAAAGATTACCGATGTCAGGTTAGTGTCGGAGAATAAAAAAATTGTTTTTATTAAAGTTTTTTTGTATTACAAAACAAACACAAACAGGGAAAGGCACATCTATCGTCTCTACTTTCAATTCATGGTTTTTTTACAGTTCATTTACGTTTAGTGAGAGATACTTTTGTCACAGACATCTTGCGGTTGGGAAGATATATGGTGCTATTGTTATTCCATTTTATCCTAACCTCTCGCCTTACCAAGAAGAAGAATAGACTTTTAATGATACCTCTTTCTTTTTTCCCAAGTAAGTCTTCTGCTGGGAGAACCACATGCAAATTTTCTGGTTGTAGGAGAATTCTTGAACAGGCAGTATACCCTGCCTAATATTGTGTCCGTGAAAACATGTTGCATTATTATTTGTGGGTGAATGAATAACAGGTGATATTTTACCTCCTACAGAACAATCGAATCATTCGGATGCGTCAGGCAGTAGAAGTGTATCTACTGCAAATTGTGGAAGAGAACTCCTACGTTGGGATTGTCACATTCAGTGAAGGAGGAGAAGTAAAATCTCAGATCCGGCAAGTAACGAGTGCTGATATACGGAAGCAGCTTGCTTCCGACTTGCCAGTTGCTTCATACGGCGACAGAGCAAATGTTTGCACGGGTGTACAGCTGGCACTGCAGGCGAGTCCTATTTATTATTGCCTCTCTTGCCACATTTCGGCTCATAGGAACATTTTTGGTTTTTGATGCAGGAACTGGAACTATTCTTGCGGGGCAATTGTGTAGTCACCCAGTGTTTTTGAACAGAACTTCCAAATGCAATTGAAAAGAAAAGACTTTGGAAAGGTCTTCTGTCTAGCTAACAAGAGACAGCAAATTGCGATACAGAAGGAAAAATAGAAAACTTAAAACGGAATAAAAATAAACTGAAATGAGCTCCACGTGAAGTGCTCAGACTCATAATCCTTGTTTAAGTTGCAGTCTTTTATGCATGGAACTTAATAAGATGCACCTGGTCTTCATAGGACTTAATTTCTGGGTTGACATGCACTTCCATAAAAACACAGGAAGGGAGTTGACAGCATGCAAAATTGCAACAAAATAAACAAGAACATAGAAGATCTTGCTGGGTCAGGCCAGTGACTCATTTAATCCTGCATTCTCTTCTCACAGATGCCTGTGGGAGGCTTAGAAGCAGGGCTTGAGCAATAACAGCACAATAAAACCACCCACAAAAAACACACACAACAACATAGGTTGATGAGGGTGAAGTTCTGTACCTACAATAATAAATTGTCTCTCACTCAGCATCTGCTGTGTCAGAAGTAGGCGGACTTTAGGCTCGAAGATTTCCTCCCCTAAAAACCTGAGGTCCGGCACCCAGAGCCAGGGCAAAACAGTGGCTTGAGTCAATTGTGTCCTGTTGTTAAATAAGTCTTATTTTGCAGATTAGGAATACTAAATCTGAGATAGATAAGTGATGAGCATAAGGCTAGACATGGCAGATATTATTATTATTATTTATTTATTTCATAGTTATTTTTTAGATTTGCTTCCTCCCTTGCTCCCATTGCTGATGTCCTCAACATTTATAAAACACAACAATTCCACAAAACCCTTACTATTTAACAATTAAAACCATCAAAGAAATGGATGCTTTTCTTTGCCTTATTTTTCTCAAAAGTTGTCAGTATACAAATCTTTGGAAATACATGACTTTAGTCCTGTGGATATGAGTCACAGCAATATAGTGAAGAATTAAGGAGTCTCTTAACTTGTGACGTTTTCTTTGCCAAGATAATTTACGAGTGTCCTTCATATTAATGGTTAATTATTTGCTTCCAGGTAATTAAAAAACATGATGAAAGTGTTTCTGGTTCTGGAATCATCTTATTGACCAGTGGAGGCGACAGTTCACTTAGCAAGTGTTTCTCTGATGTCATTGACGCTGGCTTAATCATTCATACCATCGCTCTGGGGCAGTCTGCATCCCAAGAACTGGAACAACTGGGCAAAATGACAGGTAAGACTGTCTGTTTTAGCAATAGCAAACACCCTTTGCGGTTGTTGCTCATAAAACAAACAAGAATATTTCAAAGGAAAATTCAGTGTGAGCCAAAGTCTGGACAGCTCCATTAATCTCTGAAATAACAACTTAGTCAAATGAAGTTAATTTTTTATTCATATTTTAAGATATCTCCTTGTACTCTCCTTGTACTCTCTTTTTCAGGGGGGCTGAGTTTTTTTGTCACTGATAGACAAGATTCAACTGGTCTAATAGACGTCTTCAGTGCCATTGTAGCAAGTGATGGAGATACCAGCCACCAGCCTGTCCAGGTCTGTTCATGTGGATACTGTATATCTTGCTGTTTTACATTATAAGGCGAATACATTTTAATAGGAGGCATGGAGAAAGCAGTTCTGGAGCCCACACGTTCATAAGCTATTATTTTAGAACATTATTTTAGTTTGATAAAATAGAATGGGTGCCCCTTATATCTCATACTGCAGCTCTAGATTTTATCTCAAATTTTGTATTATTTGAATTTGATATGACTGCTTGGACAACAATTAGTCAATTGTGACGACATATTGGGAAGAAGGCAGATGTAATAAAAAAAGAGAGAGTCTTAGAGCCATAGATTTGGAAGGGGCCACAAAGATCATTCTGTCCAAATCTTTCACCCAACGTGGGACTTGAACGCAAGGCCCTGAGATTAAGAGTCTCATGCTCTACTGTTGGAGCTGTCCCTCAGATATGCATGCGGTGAGTTGCACTGTGAGCTTAATTTCCTCAGGCTGTAAAGTTTGAATGGCATTGTGGCATTACAAGCAACTGATCGCTTGTTCAGCTCTCAGTTTTGCCTCTGTCTATGTTTCAGGTGGGATATGTATCTTTTGGGGGTGTGTGTGGATGAATTAAAGCAGTATACACACAATTTATCCATTTATCTATTCATCGCCACATTAAAAAAATAAAGTAACAACACCCAGAACAAAAAAAACACAACTTTTTTTGAAAATTGAGGGAGCAGGAAGTTTCTTTGCGATAACTATCTTTCCCAGGCCCACCAATCCAAAGGTGTCTTCTACTTGAAGCATAGAAAACACAATGAAAGCATTCCAGAGTCACACCCACTGCTGTAAAAGGGTTACACTTCCCTTTCCTCTCAGTTCACTAATTTCCCATCCCACTGTCCTGACCAGCTCCTTTCCTAGAACCAGATATTCGTGTTTTTTAAAAAACCAAATAAACTGTGGTGACATGTTTAATTTGGCCCTTTGTCATTCCTGTCCGGAATGTGCAAATCTTACAACTTACCTTAATAGCTCAATTTACTTAGTTATCAACTTAATTATGTACATACTTGCTCTGCTTGTTGATGCAGCCCATGGCAAGTTATAAAAGGGCCTATAGGTACCTAAAGAAGGTAAAAGGTAAGGACCCCTGGGCAGTGAAGCCCAGTCAAACTTGACTATGGGGTTGCGGCGCTCATCTCGCTTCAGGCCGAGATGACAGACAGCTTTTCTGGGTCATGGGGCCAGCATGGCTAAACTGCTTCTGGTGCAACAGAACACTGTGACGGAAATCAGAGTGCACAGAAACGCCATTTACCTATCTACTCACACTGGCGTGCTTTTGAACTGCTAGGTTGGCAGGAGCTGGGGCAGAGCAACGGGAGCTCCCCCGTTGTGTGGATTTGAACCGCCAACCTTCTGATCAGCAAGACCAAGAGGCTCAGTGGTTTAGACCACAGCACCACCCACATCCCTATAAAAGAAACCACAGAGCCTAGGGCTTGCCGATCAGAAGGTCGGCAGTTCGAATCCCATGATGGGGTGAGCCCCTGTTGCTTGGCCCCAGCCCCTGCCAACCTAGCAGTTTGAAAGTACATCAAAGTTCAAGTAGATAAATAGGTACCGCTCTGGCAGGAAGGTAAATGGCGTTTCCGTGCGCTGCTCTGGCTCTCCAGAAGCGGCTTAGTCATGCTGGCCACATGACGCGGAAGCTGTATGCTGGCTCCCTCGGCCAATAAAGCGAGATGAGCGTCGCAACCCCAGAGTCGTCCGCAACTGGACCTAATGGTCAGGGGTCCCTTTACCTTTAAGCACAGGGAAGAATAACAATCAAGACTGTAATCCTGAACAAAAGTATGAATCTTCCATTCCATTGAAATCCATAAATTGCAGCCTAAGGGTTGAAGTGCTGTTTTGTGATGTGTGCTGTCTTCTTTTGGGGGGGGGCTGGGGGGCTGGGGAGGGAGAATCCAGAAGGAACTTAACTGCTTACTCGCTCTGCAATTGCCATAGTACTCATCTGCCAGAGTGAGCAAAGAAAGTATTTTTGGAACATGGCTGTGGCTGAAAAGGTGTGGATTTTGTTTCGGGGGATTTCTGTGCCCCTATCTGGCTTTGTTAATTTGTTTTAATTGCTTGTCACCTGTAGTGTTTTTAAATGCGATAAAGGATCATTACGATGTCAACGTGTGCCAAATAGAATATTTCAACTGCTTTAAATTGCTACATGACAAAAGAGGATATGTTAAGCAGGCATGGCCAGTCTTGGCCCTCCAGATGTTTTGGGACTACAACTCCCACCATCCCTAGCTAACAGGACCAGTGGTCAGGGATGATGGGAATTGTAGTCCCAAAACATCTGGAGGGCCAAGTTTGGCCATGCCTGTGTCAAAGCAAATGGGAAGTTATCAATATTCTGGTTTTCTACAGATTGAAAGCGTGGCTGAAAGGGTGAAGGGCAATGGTCAGATTGAAAGGTCGACGATTATTGACAGCACAGTAGGAAACGACACATTTTTTGTAGTGACGTGGTTGGCAAAGGAACCCAGGATCGTTCTTCATGGCCCTAGAGGAGAACACTTTACAAATGGGGAATTTGATGTCGATCCACTTTTGTGCACCGCTCGCCTGCAGATTCCGGGGATTGCTGAGGTAACAGTGAATTGTCCTTCAGTTGTTTCTATCGGGGACTTGCCTTTGGATGGAAAAAGCATACGAATCAATCTGGCTAACCTGATTCATAAATATACACTCACACCCCGCTGACACACAAAAACAATTCTCACTACAGCTAACCAAAGACAACAACCACACCTTAAGCCACACCCAACTTCTCTCACCACCAAGTGAATAGGAAGAAAACCCACACAAGGAACGCTAACACAACCCCTCACACACACTAAATAGAATAATAGAAGCATAAAACCCCCACCCCACCCCACTTGCCACACCCCCTTCTCCTCCCTTTCCCCCTTTTCCTTCCCCCCTTCTTCTTTCTAATTGTTTAAACCAATTCATGAACCAAGAACTTATACACTGACCACTAATAATGAAACATCTGTTGTAGATATTTCCCCACATTTATTATGCTATTTTTTTGATATACAAGTGGCATGAGAAAACTTGGTGTACTTATTTCTACAGCATTATTCTTGTTTATAAAACCTAATTTAAAAAAATCTATTTAGGCTGAACGCTTTTGAGCATATATAAATTTGTTTTTCAGGCTGGGGATTGGACATACTTACTCACTAACTCTCATGGGCTCCCTGAAGTCCTCACAATGACCGTGACCTCGCGAGCCGTAAAGTCTGACGTGTCTACCATCACCGTGAGAACCCACACGAATAAAGATACAAACGCCTACCCAAGTCCAATGATTGTGTACGCACAGGTTAATCAAGGCTTCTCTCCCATTCTTGGTGCAAATGTGACTGCCATTATTGAGCCAGAGAGTGGCGATCCAATTATCTTGGACCTTTTCGACAATGGTGCAGGTAACATATGTTTTTATAAGTTTATTTTTTTAGTTATAGCTGATGAATGGATCAATCTGCTTCAGGTCAGATTCCTGTCCTGTTTGCACATCAATTTTTTTAAAAAAAAATCCATAGAAAAAATGTGTGTTTAAGTTGAAAAATGTGTATTTTATTGCAAAAAAAAATGTACACATATTTGGGTAAGGTTTTTGACTGAGAATTGCATTGGAAAATTTGGAGAAGTCCAAATATGAATGACAGTTATAAGTCCAGAAGGTATAAAGGGAAAATCAATTGTATATGAGTTGAATGGCAATGGAATACAATGGCGTATGAAGTGAGAAGTGTGTCCCATAAGGCTTACCGTCAAGTAAATATGTATAGATTTGCAGGCTTAGTGGTACTTTTCACCATTACTTAAACAATATTATATTTTAGGGATTTTTTTGTGGGGTGGCAGAAACTGGCTGATTCAAGCACAGACTAAGAGGATTTTTCCAAAGCAGATTTTGTGTTTGTATTCCCTCGCTGCTGCAGGTGCAGATACGATAAAAAACGATGGTGTGTATTCTAAATACCTCTTTTCTTTCGCAAGAAACGGAAGATATAGCTTGAAAGTCCGCGTCCAGAGGGACAGCCAGACAATTAGCCCATACCCTGCAATACTCTGGAGCCCTGCAATGTATATTCCTGGTTACATAACAAATGGTAAGGCTTTGGGATGTCAGTCGTCAAGCCGTGCTCTTGAGCACTTGTTTACCTCCATGGACTTGAACAGAAGGTGTTCTCAGTGTATTACATCTTCAGCGAGAAGAAGCCCTACTTTGCACAAGCACCGCTATGGGAATATTTAGGGAGACAACTATGTCATGGCCACAGGCTGGCTCTTTGAATTCTCCTCATAATCATGTGGAAAACTCTCACCAGGCTGTATTAGCTGTACTTCATGGAAAGCTAAACCTAGTTTTAAAAAAACTCGTCGACACGCAGATCCAAGCAGTTTACATGAATGGTCCATTGGGATGAAATATTTCTAGATGCATACATCCTCCGTAGTGTGTTTTGTAGCTTTATTGTGCTGAGCTCTCCTTTCTGCCCAACCCAGTTATCCTCTCTGAAGGATGCTGAAGCCTGTTAAGGTCTCAGACAGGCTATTTTTCTTTCCTTCCACTTCTCCCCCCCCCCCAATTTGGCACCCTCAGCCTTCTGTGGCCAAATCGCCCTCATCATTCTGTAGAGGTCATTGGGCATAGGTCCTTCTTTCAGGACATTGGTTTTAGCAGCTTTTAAAATAAAAATTGAAATTGCAAGCACATATATTGTTACATGAAGGGACGCGGGTGGCGCTGTGGGTTAAACCACCGAGCCTAGGACTTGCTGATCAGAAGGTTAGCGGTTCGAATCCCTGCGATGGGGTGAGCTCCCATTGCTCGGTCCCTGCTCCTGCCAACCTAGCAATTCAAAAGCACGTCAAAGTGCAAGTAGATAAATAGGTACTGCTCCGGCGGGAAGGTAAATGGCATTTCTGTGCTCTGCTCTGGTTCACCAGAAGCGGCTTAGTCATGCTGGCCATATGACCCGGAAGCTGTACGCCGGCTCCCTCAGCCAATAAAGCGAGATGAGCGCCACAACCCCAGAGTCGGTCACGACTGGACCTAATGGTCAGGGGTCCTTTACCTTTTATATTGTTACATACTTGGTGAGTCTCCATAATATGAAGAAGCCCATACCTTCTGTGTTGGGGTAGCCCCATTTTGCTTCTAAGCTGATAGGCATCGGACGAACCAAACTCAGTATTAGAAGGAATGGAGATGATTATTGCTGCTACTGGCTAGCAAGGGCTTTCCAGGGATAGAGCCACGGGCATCACAATGGCTAACCTGGCTGGGGCAGGGTAGCAGCAAGGTCAGGATTGTGTGGTTACATCAGAGGGACCATCAGTGGCCCTCTGAACCAATCCAGCACTCCCCTCTATTGCAGCCACGAGGTCTCAGCCTCACTCCAGCCCTGCAGCAGCAAAACCAGTGCTCTAACCCACCATGTACCATGTTACTGGGCATCCCCAAAGCTGTTACCTTAGATGGAACCTGGGTGTTTCTCCATGGAAAACACGGGTTCTACCAATGAGATAGGGACCCATTGCTGTCAGGTTGTTTATTTCCTTTCTGGCCTACTTGCCCCAAAGTCCATTAGTTGCTAGTTCATTGGAAGCATGCTCAGCTGGTCTTTAGTTCTCTTTTGTGTATTTGTTTATGTTTGTGTGGCATAGGTACAATCCAGATGAATGCACCGAGGCCGTTGATGAATAGTGAAGATTCGCACATCAGCTCTGGGGGCTTCAGCAGAATAGCTGCTGGGAGTGCTTTCACCATATCTGGAGTTCCCACTGGCCCCTATAAGGATGTGTTCCCACCATGCAAAATTACTGATTTGGATGCCAGAACAGAAGAGGACAAAATTGTTTTAACCTGGACAGCTCCAGGGGGTGACTTTGACCAGGGACAAGGTAGGTTCAGTGCTTCTTATTTTCTTTGCTAATGAAAACTGTTTAAAAGTAGGGTGTTTTAAAAAAACCAACAACCCCAAAAAACAACCACCAGTGTTTCCCAAACTTGGGTCTCCAGTTGCTTTTGGACTACAACTCCCATCACCCATAGCTAGCAAGACCAGTGGTCAGGGATGATGGGAACTGTAGTCCGAACACAGCTGGAGACCCAAGTTTGGGAAACCCTGTTTTAAACTACGTTGATAAAATCTGCAAGCAAATCCATATTGGATGTGCACCGAGCTTTGGATATATATACTTTTGAGACCCATAAATATAAGTAAAACAGAATTCCAATTCAAAACGACCCTCTGCACATCTCTGCTGTAACTTGGACTCTGGAAATCCTATATGTAGAGGGAAACTGGAAACCAAACAATTCCTTCCTTGTTTGTTCCTTCTTAAATATTATCATAGCAAGTATTGGCGGTGATCCTCTCTTAGTTAAACCTGCTCTTTACTGCAGTAGTTTTGCCCCAGTAGTCTCAGTTTGTGGATCAGTTGCTCTGCATGCTTTTATACATATATAAAATGCAGGAATATGCAACTATTCCATACGGGGATCAAACCTGCAACCTTGACATTATCAGCACCATACTCTAACCAACTGAGCTATCCAGATAGGAATGCCTTGCTGATGTAGCCAGAATGGCTCTATCCATGTACAAGGAGGGAGATATCAACAGGCTTGAGAAAACCCCAATATTTGCAGATTATTATTTTTTTTTTAAAAAAATATTTTTTGGGGAAACCCCAAAATAAACTTTTAAGGACTGGGTATGCCGACAGTTTGTGGGGGCTCCAGAGTGAAAGAGGGTAGCAGCACATTGCACAGTATAATGTTTTGTTGCAGGGCCCACTTGCCCTCATGTTAATTCAGACGCAAATTTGTATCTGCCTCTGAGTGCTGACAATGGTAAAAATGCCCTTAGTGCCCTATTGTGTCCTTAGACTGAAACCATTGTTTTTTGCTAATTATATCCTGTTTGGTAGTATTGTCTGCTTATTTTGGTTGGCCGAGGCTGCAATTCTGTGGGCACTTTCTTATAAATAGGCAATAGCTTGGGGTGAAAAGTATTGAATCCTATTACTTCCAGACAACTGCAGGAAAAACAACAACACTTTATAACCTTTTGTTATCTTGGTTTTTTTTCCAGCTGCAAGATACGAAGTGAGAATAAGCCAAAGTTCTCTGGAACTGAGGGAAGAATTTGAAAACGCTGTACCCATAAATACCTCCAGCTTGGCACCTCAGCCAGCAGGTTCCAAGGAAATGTTTGTGTTTAAACCAGAAGCCTCGGCAAACGTCACCCTAATTTACATGGGCGTCCGCACAGTGGATAAGTCTCTCTTGTACTCTGACCTCTCCAACATAGCCCAAGCACTTATTATTCCTGGGGAGGCTACTCACATGGCTCCTGCCAAGTACGGTGCCTTAGCAGTCGTTCTGACAACATGTGGGCTGCTGTTATTGGTTGCTTCTTGCCTTATTGTAAGCACCGTTCTATGGACTTCGAAGAAAAAGAAGAAAGTAGCAATTGATGAAGCCATACTATCACATTCAGATTCAGCATTGGCAGTTTAGGCGTTTTCTTCTTTTGAAGTTTAGTTGTTGTTTAGTCATGTCCGACTCTTCGTGATCCCATGGACCAGAGCACGCCGGGCACTCCTGTCCTCCACTGCCTCCCGCAGTTTGGTCAAACTCACGTTCATAGCTTCGAGAACACTATCCAACCATCTCGTCCTCTGTCGTCCCCTTCTCCTAGTGCCCTCCATCTTTCCCAACATCAGGGTCTTTTCCAAGGAATCTTCTGTTCTCATGAGGTGGCCTCAGCTTCAGGATTTGTTCTTCCAGTGAGCACTCAGGGCTGATTTCCTTCAAAATGGATAGGTTTGATCTTCTTGCAGTCCATGGCTCTCTCAAGAGTCTCCTCCAGCACCTTAATTCAAAAGCATCAATTCTTCGGCAATCAGCCTTCTTTATGGTCCAGCTCTCACTTCCATACATCACTCCTGGGAAAACCATAGCTTTAACTATACAAATATAACATAACCAGGAAAGAGATCTTGGGATTATGGTGGGTTGCTCGATGAAAACGTTGACCCAGTGTGTGGCAGCAGTGGGGGGAAAGGAGAAATCTATGTTTAGTGATAATTAGGGACCGAAATGAGTGCTCACGCCTGCCTTTGTGGGCGCCCTTTGCGGGACCGCATGCAGCACCTCGGGCCACGTGGGATCCACCAGCTGGTTGGGCTCGCCTGCCTCCCTGTGTTAGTCATTGAAGTTTCCCGCCAAACCTCAGTTAGCCAATCAGTTCCGCAGGGAGGTGGAGCCAGTTGCTTAAATAGGAGGTGGAGCCGGCAGCAACCATGCGGTTGGCTCCAGAGCTTCAGGGTCTCCTCTTAAAGGGGTTTGTAAAATGGGAGTCACTGGCCATACACTGAAAGGTTGTCGGTGAATTCCTCTGCATTGCGGGGATATGGGGTGGGCTGTCTGCGTACACAAGCATCTTGCTGTACACCCTCCCATTTCCCATTCACCCTGAGGAGCCCCTGTTCCTCTGGCTGGGGGGCTGGGAGGGATACACGCCCAATGCCTAAGCCAATGTTTTCCTACATCTGAAAGATTTAATAAAGTTGTGTCCAATTTTTAATTCCATAACACGTTGTCACAAGTCATTATTCCTTCTGGTGGTCTCTCGGGGCCGGGGGGTCTCTGCCTGGGCACACAAATAAAATAGCTGATATGATATTTATAGAAATCTATGATGCGAACGGGATGCGGGTGGCGCATGCGGGATGTGGCCTAGGACTTGCTGATCAGAAGGTTGGCGGTTCGAATCCCCGCAACGGGGTGAGCGACTGTTATGTTGGGGGAGGTATAAGGCCCGCCCACTCCCAGATTCTGCTAGCGACTGAGCAGACATGGACTTGCGACGCTCTGCACTGTAAATAGTTTGTACAGATAATAAAGCCTGAAAAAGACAGGTTGGAGTGTTGCCTGTTTGCTCCTGAGCAACCACACCAGCACCTGACAGAAAGGGTGTGGGTTTCTTGTGAAATCAAAACCTCACTGCAGCCCACAAAGCAGCACCATCCTCTGGCATGCTTGCCCCCAAAGCAACTAGAGAAGGGGCTGCCCTCTCATTCCCCAGGGTGTGGAGAGGCCAAATGCAGGGTACTTCAGAAGCCACAAGAAGTTGAACTCCCAAACCCGCCTGGCCTACGTTTATCACTGCAGACATTGCTAGAGTCACAGAACAGGTAATACGAGGCCCCCTTTCTAAGACTAGCCAATAGCTCGCAGGCCACTCTCCTCCAGAAGATGTTGTCCCAAGAAAAACAACACTGCATCCCTCGGCAGCCACGGACTCCTATGGCTGCAGCGTGCAGGGCCGCCTTAAGCATATCCGACACTGTGGTGCAAAGATCCCTCCGGCGCCCCCCGTTTCCCAGACCGCCCTGGCACAACGCGCCAGTAAGCCCAATAGGAAAGACGGCTCTGGCAGCGAGTGATTCCCCCTCCAATCGTGCTGTCTTGAGGGACATGAGATCTGCAGTGCTCATTTCTCCTCAAGATTTCTGCTCCGTCAAGGCTGGCAAAGTGCCCTTGAATTTCAAACCGGAGCTCAGCTCATCTTAGGGAAGGTCGGAATGGGTGTGTGCGCGCTTGAAGCAGAGACAAGCATGTTAGTTCACGTCCTCTAGGAAAAAATGTCCATAAATCATGTGGCTGTCACATCAAGATAAAGGGAACAAGGGTAGGGTCCTGAGGATCGTAGCCTTTATGTGGGAGACAGATTCCTGGAATTTCAGCAGATGCATGAAGGATTGCCCAGAGCAGACAGATACCTGCCTTCCTACAAAGGGGAAGAATGTGAGCACAGATCTGTTGCATTGTCCCCTTCACTGCTCTGACACTTTTTTTCTGGAGAATAATCGGCCTGCCAGGATTTGTTTCTTAGAGATTTTCCTGCTTCGCTGCCCCACTGCACAGCTGTATCTCTCCAACCCTCTGAGCAGGTGGGTAAGCAAGTTCATTTCTTAGCTCTTCTACTCTTGCTAGCTGTTGAATAACGAGATCCAAAAAACACTTAGGCAAAGCAGTTCGAGTTTCTGTCTATCATCAAATGAGCCTCAAAAGCTGTGTTTTTTGTGTATTGTTGTTGTTGTTTTGGTGATGTTCACATTTTAGGGCCAACATACATGTCATGATAAAGATGCTTTTACAAAAGTGAGCTTAATTGGACCATTTTTATTTTTAAGGAAGCAGCTGTGTGAAGTTCTGATCCAGGGACTCAGCTACGCTCAGTCAGTTGTATCGTTGTAACTCCGTTGTAAAGATGCGGCGCCAGATGGGGCTGTAGAGCACAAAATTTGTTTGTGCAATTTTACATAGGGTTGTTTTTTTCTTTTGTTATAACGATCTAATTTATGACTTATTTATAGTGTTTCCTCCTCTGTGTGTAGATCCAGCCCAGGTCACAATTGTGATATAGATTGTGGCCTTCCATGAGTTTCTCACCAAATATCCCCCCTTTGGTTGCTATGGGTGTCTGAAGGTGCTGTCAGGTGCTGAAGGGAGGATTTGGGGCATCAAGGTGGAACAAGGTGCCACATGCCTTCCCCTTCAAAATTTATTAAGCTGTTATTTAAATTGCTGTTGAACGGCAGGCAATAACAATTAATAACATTTGTTGTGATTAATAAAAAGTGAGATTAATTAAAGATTCTTTAAAAGCATTACTGAGCTCATAATACAATTTTGTGTGTGTGTCATTGTGTATTTTCTCAATTAATGGAGCCTACAATTACAACAATTAGTCTTTCCCTATTTCTTTGAGGTAACAAAGGGGAACCCCATACTTGTAAATGTGGGGAATGTATGCATTTTGTAAATATTTCTCAGCTGGAGAACTGTCTTGCAAAATTCCGAAAAATGTGAATTTAACAGGATAGCCAAGTTATGGTTCACTTACTGTTTCGTAAAGTGAAAATTAGGTAACATTACATTTAAATATGAACTGAACTGAATTTCTCCCACAGTAGGACACAAGTTTTTTTGCTTGTCTCCATCCAAGTGGATGTTGATCCCCCCCCCTTATTCACTTTGGTTATTCACATGAATAATATAACTTATACCTGGTCCCGTTGCTCTGGAACTGAGATGCGATGTTGGAGCAGCAGTTAGCAATTCAGTGTGGCACCACAGCATCATGCAAGTGATATTTCAGGGCACAGAGGGGTGGGGAGCATTGGGGCTGAGTGTGGCCCCATAGTGCAGAATCCTAAGCATCAGAGGAGTACTTCTCATCCTCTATCACCAGTGCATAGCAGCAGTATTTGCAGAAGGAAGGCTGGAGCTTAGAAAAGATGAGCCAGTGCTGGAAAATTCTTCACCATATGCAGCCTTCTAAATGTTATCATCCAAGACCACAGAACGGATTTCCCTATTTTTTTGTTGTATTATTTTTTTTTACTTGTTTTACCTTTCAATCATAAAAAAACAAAATGCTTTTACAGTGAGGGGGCAAAGTATTTGATCTCCTGCTAAATTTGCCCATTTGCCCTCTGACGAAGAAATGTCCAGTCCATAATTTTAATGGTATTTATTGTAGCTGTGAGAGACAGAATAACAACAGGAAAACCCCCAGAAACCCAGAAGACAAAAGTCAGAGATTGATTGAAGTTACTTAAAATGGGGTGGGGGGGAATCCCCTAATATAACAAATATATTGTGGATTCTACCAAGCTGGGGAACTTTCCAAGAATTTGGGCATCCACTTCCCTCTCTTTTAATGGGGCTGTGGATGGGATAAATTTCATTTCTCTTGAAACAAAAAGTTTTCAATTTCCACAGCAAGATATACTGAGATGTATGTTTTGTATCTTAACTTAAAACACCCAATATTTCATCTGGTCCCATACTAGGTTACTTTTAAATTCTGCATTGACAAAAAACAAAAACAAAAAAATCTGCTTTGTTTCTTAACCTAACAGGATATTCTATGGGATGAACATCCCACAGAACTCTGAAAAGGAATGTGTCAATTCAACTATCCCAATGTTTAATATTTCATTTCTATTTAAACAAAGATCCTGTGTTTTCCCAGCGCAGGCTCAAATGGATCAAAGAGAAAAGTTATCTACTTATCTTGTTTATTTGCAAAAATGGAAGGTGGTGGGGAGGGGGACAGGAAGGAAACCAGAATTTTTCTAATGGTCCATTTGGTGCCATTGTTAGCATTATCACCCATCTAGATGCCTTCATCACCAGGAAGGATATAGGGCTTGTCTCAGTGCTTATCTCAAGGTCCTATGGCAGGAAGAATGACCCTCTGTAAAGAAGAATGCTTGGCCAGCATCTTTTTACCTTCCATGGCCTTTAGCGCAGGCCTAGAGCATCGTTATGGCTTCCTGAAAGCATACCCTGGCTTGCACAACGCATTTGTTACATTGATTCTTTTATTTCTGTACAGCACCTCACAACCCATCAAAGAAGTCGAAAAAGTACAGTGGTACCTTGGTTCTCAAACTTAATCCGTTCCAAAACCAAAGCGTTCCAAAACCAAGGTTCGCTTTCCCCTAGAAAGTAATGCAAAATGGATTAATCTGTTCCAGATTTTTAAAAACAACCCCTAAAACAGCAATTTAACATGAATTTTACTATCTAACGGGACCACTGTTCCATAACATGAAAGCAATAAGCAATGTACTGCAGTCACACAATCAATCAGTCAGTAGCTGGACTGGGTTCCACACAGTCACAAAAACAAAACAAAAAAGCTGCAAAAACAAAAGCACAAAATAAATAGACAGACCTCAGCGTAACACTCAAAATGGCAGTGTGGCACTCAACTTGGAAGCTTAACACTCCAAATGGAGCACATCCAGCTTCCGAAAAAAGTTCGCAAACTGGAACACTTACTTCCGGGCTTGCAGTGTTTGGGTTCCAAGTTGTTTGAGTACCAAGCCATTTGAGAACCAAGGTACCACTCTATACAATTAACAGTAGCTTTCCCCCCAAATGGCCAGCATCAGCACATAAAAGGGATGTGGTTCTGCACAGGAGTTTTAGCCCACTTCTACCAGGAATTGAGGGACACGGGTGGCACTGTGGGTAAAAGCCTCAGCGCCTAGGGCTTGCTGATCGAAAGGTCGGCGGTTTGAATCCCCGCGGTGGGGTGCGCTCCCGTTGCTCGGTCCCAGCGCCTGCCAACCTAGCAGTTCGAAAGCACCCCCAGGTGCAAGTAGATAAATAGGGACCGCTTACTAGCGGGAAGGTAAACGGCGTTTCCGTGTGCGGCTCTGGCTCGCCAGAGCAGCGATGTCACACTGGCCACATGACCCGGAAGTGTCTCTGGACAGCGCTGGCCCCCGGCCTCTTGAGTGAGATGGGCGCACAACCCTAGAGTCTGTCAAGACTGGTCCGTACGGGCAGGGGTACCTTTACCAGGAATTGAATGGGAGTTGTGTTTTAACCCTGCGTGTGTAAGAGAGGGCTCATATTCAACACTTCCATTTCTCCAGGGAAACCGGGTCTTTATTGCTGAATCGGAGCAAGCATCAACCAGGTTTTCTGCTGATTGACAGTTGCTCTGTGTCCTGAACCCCTGGACTACCTCTCAGCAAATCAGTATGGCAAGGGCAAAGTCCAAAGTCCGGGGCTCAAGCCACACAAGTGAAGTCCAAAGGTCAGGAAACACAGTCCAAGGCCAATCCAAGTAGCCAAGTCTGAAGTCGAGCAATCAGAATACAGTCCAAAGTCAATACTGAAGCACAGTCCCATAGGGACGAGAGATATCCAAAAACGTTGAGTAGGCTGCACAAATGTAGAGAATTTTCTTCCTCAAAAACATTTTGATAGAACCAGAGGCCTCTTCACTGAGGACCTCCTCTTAAATGCTAGGCTGGTGCGTTGAAGTTGCTCAGCAACTGGGAGAGACCCAAAGGGAATGGGCTGCTTTTGCCAGGCTTTTCTTCAAGCATGTTTGCTCTATTCCCTTTTCCTCATAAGGTAAAGGACTCCTGGATGGTTAAGTCCAGTCAAAGGAGACTATGGGGTGCAGCACTCATCTCGCTTCAGGCTGAGGGAGCTGGCATTTGTCCGCAGTCAGCTTTCCGGGTCATGTGGCCAGCATGACTAATCCACTCCTGTCACAACGAGATACTGTGATGGAAGCCACGGAAACGCCATTTAGCTTCCCACCACAGCGGTACCGATTTATCTACTTTCACTGGTTCAACAAAGTCTTCTTTAGAGTAGACCCATTGAGATTTGGGTCAACTCGGAGTAGCACTAAACTTGAGTACAACTCATGACCTCTTAATTAATAAAACAAATCAACAAACATGAAAGGGAACAAGCCTCTCTTCCACTTGATTTATAGGAAATAGTTTTCACACACACCCATGAGGTCTTCCAAATGTTTTCCCAGTATTGTTTGTAATACACATATAAACATGCTCTGAAAAGACAATGTCTTATTCAAAACAAGCCTTTTGAAGGTTAGATGGGGTGCTTGGGTTGTGGCTTGTGTCCAATTTAGGGTTAAGTAAGCCACTCATCAGGGCAAGGATTTTTAACAATGGGACTTGCCCTTCTCTTGTTCCCCTCTGCCCCCTAAATCTGTTCTGGGGGTCCCCCAATCCTCTACTGCAGATTTAAGCATGTGTGTGTGTGTGTGTGGCAGTTGTGCAAGCGGAAATCCTTGTGCTGACAGGAGAAGAGAGTTGGATACCAACCTATCTGAGAGGACAGAAAGACAAATGAGGAAGACAGAAAGACACACAAACGTTGTGACTTTATGTGCATCTTCCCCAATCAATGATATTTTATGCATAATTCCATAGTGAGAAATGTGCCATTTGTAAGCTTCCTTACATAATATTTTGTCAAAACAAAAAAAATTCCTTCCAGTAGCAACCTTAAAGACCAACTAAGTTAGTTCTTGGTATGAGCTTTCGTGTGCATGCACACTTCTTCAGATACCTTTCATTGGTCTTTAAGGTGCTACTGGAAGGAATTTTTTTGTTTTGACTATGGCAGACCAACACGGCTACCTATCTGTAACTGGAATAATATTTTGTGTTTTAGCTAATATTATTGAACTCTAATTAACATTAAACTATGTTAACTGCCTTGATCTTCCCTACAGAAATAGTCAAGAAATATGTCACCTGTAGTTGAAATGCTTTCTTGTTAGTCTGCTTTAAAATCTGCGACCCGTTCCCACCCTTCCCCAGATGTATGGCAATATACATAAAGAGCTAATGTTTCATGGACAAGTGTCAAACTTACGGCAATGTTTACTGGAAACTAGGGGAAAGGTTTTTCCGACAAATGGCTTGTGACCAATGTAACATGACCAATGTACCACATGCAAATTCATTAATAGATACCCACAAATACAGTGGTACCTCGCAAGATGAAATTAATTCGTTCTGCGAGTTTTTTCGTCTTGCGAATTTTTCGTCTTGCGAAGCACGGTTTCAAAAAAAGTTTTGGAAAAGCTTCAAAGATCACCAAAGTCTTCAAAAACCTCAAAAAAGGCTACCACACCGCGTGCTATGAGTTGCTCCTCGAAGTCAAGTCGCAACTGATGTTTTAAGAAAAAGGAAACAAACTTGCAAGATGTTTTCATTTTCGTCTTGCGAAGCAAGCCCATAGGGAAATTCGTCTTGCGAAGCAACTCAAAAAACGAAAAACTCTTTCGTCTTGCGAGGCATTCGTCTTGCAAGGCATTCGTCTTGCGGGGCACCACTGTAAATACCTCCCAAGCAAGACCCTATACTGTGCATTCACAAGTTGCTGCTCAGCATCAAGTTTATGTGGGAAGCCATAAGGCGCTAACTAGGCTTTGGGAAGGAGGTGGGAGAAGACTCTGGGACCTTGCCAGAGCCCTCTTGCCTCCTTCTCAAAACCCAGCACCTCACTTACCTGGGTTTGGGAAGGCAGCGTGAGGGCTGGGGGGGGGGACATCAAATGACAAGTACTGCCCCAAAAGGCATTGAGGCAGCTTGTTGGACTACGCTGTCCCAGATTATGTCAGCAGCAAGGCAGGTATAGGGCTCAATAATTGCTTATACTGTATAACACAGGCCACCTACTCTTGGGGTTTGAACTTTCTTCCGTACCTTGAGTGGGCATTACTCATACTTGCAGGTGGCTCTGGAGAGTCATTTGATGAAAGTCTTTCTGCCTGTGGCTCTTGTGCCATTTTCTTTCTTTCTCTAGCTATTGGGTGGCCTTCCTGGGGCGTCCAAATTGGCCATGGTTTCATTCATCTTAGCGTCTTCCTTTATCTCGTCTCTTGTTTCAGCAAGAGTTTGCTTTAGTGACCACCCACTTTCTATTGCCACACCATATAACCTGGACCATCCTAAAGTCTCTGCAACCATTCCAGGGTGGCCATTTCCCGTCTTGGCTTTGTGCCATTATGTTTGAATTTCTGGGTCCATAGTATTTTGGCTCTTTCATCCCAGTGGGATTTCTGTTTTAATTTTCCATTGTTCCAGCTTTGTTTTACTTGGCGGTGATCTCCTGCTCTTGGCTTCAGGATGGAGTTCACAGCAGGTACCTGGATTTCAGCCTTTTGCTCATAAGGATCATGATTCCATGGGTGCGTTGCAGTAGTTCAGTTGCAGATTTGCAGCTTGTGGGTGTGGTAGTCCCTCGCGACTGTTTTGATCCTGCCTAAAGCCATTTCTGTAACTCATCGTGTTGCCAGGATACTTTCTAATCATGTGGAACCTTACTCCAGAACAACAAAAAATGGATTAGCTGTTGGCTATCAAGTGAATTGTGTTAAGAGGGTGCTGAGTGATATGGAGTAAAATGTTGGCTAATGATATAGCAAAATACTTTATATCAAGGTTGGGCAGTTAACTATCTATCTTGAGGTAAGAGACAGTGCCAGGAAAAATGTGTGGCGTGGTAATAGTAGGAAGGCAAGGGTTGATTGTCAATGTATTGACTTGGTAATGGATTGGATGAGAGCCAATAAATTGAAGTTCAGTCCAGATAAGACTAAGGCACTGTTAGTGGTGGGTTCATCATCTGTATCTTCACATAGTTGTCCAGCATTGTCCAGAACTTGGTCTCACCAGCTGCAGGGCTGGGGGGAGGTAGACCTCAGGCGGCAACAGAGGCTCTGGCTCCATCTGCCTTTGGGGTCCCTGTTTTGTGCCCTCCCAGTCCCATTGGGCATTGGTCACCACTGGTTTGACCCCTGCTATATTTCTGGTTCTCGGCTCGCCATCAAGAATAGCTCGGTCGCTAAAGCACAAGACTCTTAATCTCAAGGTCATGTGTTCAAGCCCCATGTTGGACAAAAAGATTCCTACACTGGAGGCAGTTGGACTCAATGGCTCTCATGGACCCTTAGCCAACTCTACAATTCTGTGACCCCTGCTTTATTTTTGGTGCACAACCCCCATCTGCAAAAGAGGGTACAGATTTGCACGAGACACAAAGTGTTCGCAAATTTTATGCAGATTTGTGTCTTCTTTGGCAGGTGCAGAAGAAGGCTGAATATATGGTATACCCCACCCTTTTGGCACCCCTGGGCACCAAATAAGACAAAGCTAGGAAAATATCACTTGGATTAAGGTGAAGTTTTTCTTTTCAGGGTGTCTAGCTATAAAAGCAACCTAGAAATTCCAGACTGCTGCTATTTTTGACTCTAGTTTCGATTTCTTTAGAAATGCTTGCAATGTATTAGTGGTAACCGGCAACGATAGAGTTAAACATTGTATTCGAGGATTTCTTTTGTTATGAGTTGGACCATTCTACCCCTTAGCTTATTCTTGCGGATGCTTCGCTTTCCTAGGCAGTTGTGTTTGCCTGTACATCAGCAAACAGCCTTGAGTTCTGAGCCTCCAAAGTGAGCATCCATGCCTTTTGTTAAATAGGAAGTTAAAAGTATTTGCAAGGATTTGAACAAGGAAACACCAGGTTGGGGATTATTTCCAGAATTCTTTGTCCTTTCAAAACAGGTTTGTTTGGTTTTTTTCTGTCTCTCTATCCCTGCCAAAGCTCTTGCATTAACAAGCCTCTCTGCTGTTATTTATTTCTGTAAGGTTGAAATAAAGAAGTGCCACAAGGAAAGATGGCGCTTAACCACTGGCTGCTGCTTCTGCTGCTGCAAGTACTGCATGAGGTGACAGGTACCAGGGTAAAACTCAACATGGGCGGTTTTGAAGACGTCGTCATCGCAATCAATCCCCAGATCCCGGAAGACAACAAAATGGTGGATGCCATCAAGGTAAGATAGTTAAATGTTTCTGAATGTATTGAACAAGGGACTTCAGACAGTGATATTCTAGGAAAATGCAAGTTGCATTTTGCAAGCGTGGGGTGCCAGGTACTTCTGAACCCCCCCCAGTCTCATCCCAAGTGTACAGGTGGGACTTGTATAGGGTTGCCATATTACAAAAAGTAGAATTCCTGACACTCACAGAGTTATTAAGTTATTAGGAAACCACCCAAATTGTTGAGCTTTTTTTAGTTTCTGCATTTTGCAAGCGTGGGTGCCAGGGTACTTCTGAATGCCCCTACACCCCACAACTTTTTCATCCCTTTCTAAAAGTAACATTCCACAAAGTTGTTGAGCTTCTTAGCAAGACCCCAAAAGCTCCCCCCAAAGTAGTGATTTTAAGTTTTTAGAGCTGGTTTCCGCTGGTTCGGCAAAATTCCACCCTGACGCCATTTTTACACCCCAAAACCAGGTCATGTCAGGAATTTTCCTGCCATAGTGCAAGCATAGGTCACTTGCAAGAAGAAGAAAAAATGATAGCCTGGAATATTCCTCTTCCCTATTCCATTCAACTGGGGTAGTTCGTTCTATCTCCCCCTAGCACCTCCTTCCAGTGAGCACATTTAGTCCTCCTTCCTTTTTGAGGTCTCTCACCATTGCTTTTTTTGTTTTTAATTTCTGCAATACCTTGGGTGCTCCCAAGCCTGCTAGATTACTCTTGTAAATGGGCGCTTCCATTTTGGCAATGGCAATCACAGCCTGAGTTTGGAAACAGAGGGGAGGGTCTGTGCCAGAACTGGGTGCATGTACTCTGAGGTAAATGTACTCTGAGGTAAATGTTGTGTAGGTTTTGACCATTAGAGGTTAAAATGTCCTGTTCATAGGTTTCTTTAACTAACTGGAGCGCTTTGACACCAGATTTCAGGAAATTGTTCCAGAAATGGGGTGCTGTTTCTGGGAAGTGCTCTCCCTTCCTCTCAGTGGCTTTGCCTTAGCTCACATGGCAGCTGCCCCCAGTGGAGGAAGACGGTTTCTTTGCTCTAGGCTTCAGCTTCCTGCCTGGCATTGCAATAGTTCAATCTGTTTGGGGGCCCCATGGCCAGCTCCATTGAAGGAAAAATATACAAATGTCCCACTTCGTAGGAGTTGCTTCAGATTGCTCTGTTAATAAGCAACACAGAAGAACCTTTGTCACTAAACAGGGCTGATTGTGCACTCGAGGTTGTTGCGCAGTGTAGACTTGCACAAACAATATGGCGGCCACTTAAAAACAAGCAAAAATGGCCGCCTTCCTGTCATGTACAGCTTCCCCCACTATTTTCTCCTTCATACCAGGAATAGCTTTGCATACTATGTCAAGCAACACTCAGTGGCACAGGAGGATCCACCAAAAATAGTATGTGAATTGCATCTACCAGATTTTTTGAAGACAGGGGTTCAACTTTTCAACATGCAAGGCACTCCAGCTTCAGGAAAGAAAGATGGCAGAAGAGACCAAAGGGCACATTTTGTAAACACAAATGCCAATAACTAGCCATTGGCACACAAAGCTCTCTCCTTTCCCTGTTAGGACATGGTGAAAGAGGCATCAACTTATCTCTTCAGTGCTACACGGCAAAGGTTTTATTTCAAGACTGTGAAAGTTATAATTCCTTCCACATGGGAACCGAAAAATGAATATCAAAGAGTAACTACAGAATCCTACGATAAGGTAATGCTGAAGAATACATTAAGATTTCAATATACTTGTGGTATTTTTAAAAAGATTGGGGCAAATGGAGAGATTGGGGGGGGGAATACAAGATATTGTATGATCTAATACAAATATTTTTATTTATATTTATTTATTTATTTATTTATTTATTTATTTTTAAAGTTCTATACCACCCTTAATCCGAAGATCGCAGGACTCTTTACAATACAATAACACAAAAATATATACCATAATAACAAAAACAACCCCCCCAGTGTAAAAGTCCATAGAATGTTTAATTAGCCAAAAGCCTGAGAAAAGAGGAATGTTTTTGCCTGGTGCCTAAAGATAAGTAATGCAGACGCCAAGCAATAATATCTACATTTCCCACTTTTGGATGCAACTGGATTTATTTTTGAGTAAACATGCAAATCTGGGCTGTATACTGCTTAATGTTCTTATAGACGTGATGATATCTAAGGCTGGGTTAAGGTGGTTGGGGGCCTTGGTGTGTTCTCCCCCTTCTCCCCAAAAGGAATTTGTTTATGTATTGAAGTTCTCACCCTGGCCACCAGGGGTGTTGTGCATATAGTTTTCACTCAGGTCCACGTCAGTTAATTTAGGCGGGAAACCCTGGGGTGTTGTTGTTACAATGTTGACAGCCGGCTGCCTATAAAAGCAGGCTGGCTGAGCTGTTCAGTTCAGTTCAGTTCCAGCTTACTATAAAGAACCACTTGGAGAAATATCTGTGTCATCTGCTTTGTCAACCCACTGCTTAATAAAATTCATGACACAACAGTACCAGAATTACATCTTGAAATATCTTTAAGGACTAATGAATTTAGTACACCTGATTTTGTGGGCTCACTTATAGGCAATTGTATTCTTAATAAATACCTGAAGCTATTCCTTGTATAGTAGCATTGTCTAGTAAGCTTTTCCCCTTTTTCTTTTAATGGAAGCTCAGACTGGACTGTCTACCTCTATATCTTCTTTGTTCTATTTTATTTTAGGCAGATGTCATAGTGGCGGATCATTACTTGAAACATGGAGATGATCCCTACACCCTACAGTATGGTGGATGTGGGGAACCTGGGCGATACATTCATTTCACTCCTAACTTCCTGACAAATGACAAGTTGCATAATGCTTATGGTCCACGAGGTAGCACCTGTTAATTCAGATTAAATTGTCTGGGTTGGTTTTATTTTTTAATTATTAGAATTGCTAGTCAAGTTTTCAAAAGGTAATAAAGATAGAATTCCTAAGAAACCATTGAGACTTTCAATGCAGTTGCTTCATCTCTCTAAAGGCTCCTAAATTTACATAAGAAATCTGCAAGAGTTTCACATGAGGTTCATCAATACATTTTCAGCCCCCAAAAGCTATCTTGCTGAAGCTATCTGAGCCTCTCTTCCTGTTTCCCATGTTACCACAGCTGCTTGTACACCATACATTTAAAGTACAGTGGTACCTCGGGTTACATACGCTTCAGGTTACAGACTCCGCTAACCCAGAAATTTTACCTTGGGTTAAGAGCTTTGCTTCAAGATGAGAACAGAAATCGTGTTCCGGCGGCGCGGCAGCAGCAGCAGCAGCAGCAGGAGGAGGCCCCCATTAGCTAAAGTGGTGTTTCAGGTTAAGAACGGACCTCCAGAACGAATTAAGTACTTAACCCGAGGTACCACTGTACATGACTTCCTACATACAGTTCCCAGGAAGTTGTGTGCTTTGAATGCAGGGGGCGTAGTAAGACCCACCTTGTCAGATGCAACTGTCGATTAAAGGGTCATCACCTCATTGGCTTCTGTGATGTAGGGAGACAAACAGGGACTTCTCTTCTGAATCAGATTGAAAAGTTGGCTGCCCCTTCTATACTTATTCAATTGCTGATGTGATTTCACAGTATTTCAAATTTTATTTTAGTGTTTTTTTTAAACAGGATGTATGTTTGCTATAATTACTAGCTGTGTGTCGTACATTTAAAAAAACAAAAAACTGTGTCACAAATTTTAGCTTTGTTATTGGTGTTCTACAGGCAGGGTCTTTGTCCACGAATGGGCTCATCTCAGATGGGGTGTCTTTGATGAATACAACAATGATGCACCTTTCTACACTCCTGGGGGAGACAACTTGCCTGAAGCAACAAGGTACAAATACCTCCAACAAATGCATCTCTTCTTTAAGAAGTGATGTTTGCCTTGGGCTTGCTAGTTTTTTAGTGTTGTAAATTATTGATGTTGTTGGACTACATCACCCCTAGTTTGTAGGACCAGTGGTCAAAGGATGATGGCAGCTGTAGTCTAACAACATCTGCGGATGTTGAGAAAAGCTGCTCTAGAGGATTAAGCTGTAATTGGAAGATATACAAAGGAAATCTCTTATGGGACCCAGGTTGCGCAATGTCCTGCCTGCTGGTAACCCCAGCTAGTGGCCACTTGTGCTCTGCCCAACCCCTTAACATCAACCAGCTTATTCAGTGGGTGACAAGAAATTTTCCATGCCGGGTACCACCTGACCTTGCTACGCCACTGATTCAGTCTCTCTGAAGACCATTTTCAGACTCTAATTATGATGGCTTATCAGCTTTACTCATGAAAGCAATAAGCAATCCCTGTGTGCTGCTAGGTCCCACTCCCACAGCCTCGGCCCTGTTTCCCTAAGGAGTGTTTCCACCCCCATCATTCAGCCCAGACACAGAGGTTCTGCTCCGGGGGCCTTCTGGAAGTTCCTTACTGCAAGAAGTGAGGTTACAGGGAACCAGGCAGAGGGCCTTCTCAGTGGTGGCGCCCGCCCTGTGGAACGCCCTCCCATAGATGTCAATGAAATAAACAACTACCTGACTTTTAGAAAACATCTGAAGGCAGCCCTGTTTAGGGAAGTTTTTAATGTTTGATGTTTTATCGTGTTTTTAATATTCTGTTGGGAGCTGCTCAGAGTGGCTGAGGAAACCCAGCAAGATGGGCGGGGTATAAATAATAAATTATTACAATATTATTATTATTACTCCTGCCTCCAATGCAGGTGAGGGGCAACAACATTCCTTTCCTCACCCCGCCCCACAACCAATTTCTTCTCTCCTGAGAAAGCCTAGGTAAGGTTTTGAGAGACCCATGGCTACTTCATTAAGCCTTCTTTCCATTGTTAACATTCAGGAGTCCTTCCAGACATAGCAGTTAGCACAGAGATAATGCTTGCTGTTGTTTCCCATAGGCTAATTTTAATCAGCTCCTCCTACCAATCCAGTTGCAACATGTTGCAAACTGCATAGCATAGCAATCATGCCACCAAGTGATTGTTTATTGACTTTTAAATTGACTGTATCTGTTTCTTTTTACATTCGTTAGATGCTCAGCTGGTTTCACTGGTCAATACATATTCCCGCTTGGTGGAAAAAGTTACAGAGATTGCAAAATTGACCACCGAACTCAGCTGTATGAACATGGTTGTCTGTTTGTTCCAAAAAGACATCAAGATACTGCAGCTTCTATAATGTACTTGCAAAGCCTCCCTTCAGTAAGTATGATGAATCTCAGATGGGACTTACACTCCCCCAGTGTCTGTCTTCAAAAAGGCACACCGTGACTTTATGTTTCTAACAAGCCTGCTTGAAGTATTGGCTTTTATTTGAAGGATTATTCAATCAGGTATGCCTTGAATAAAATGAGCTCCCAGAGGAAGAACCCACCCACCGTGTAAAAGTGTGCGTTTTCTTATAGATAGTCTTGTCCCCTATAAAAATGGCCTCCAGTGAGTGCCAAAGGAGGCAGCCATTTCCTAGGGAAGGAGTGATTTAGAATTTTCCAAAATTCTCAAAACGCACTTCAGAAGAGACCTTTTTTTGTGTGAAAAACAAAACAATGGCTACTCAGATTCTCCTCCTCCGCAAAAGAATTTCACATCATGTACCCACCCTACCCCCAAAAAGCAGCTTTGGAGATGTATAAAATGTCTGAGAAATTGTCCTTACTATTTCAGTTCAGTGCCGGATTATCAAATAGGCAGAGTAGGCACCAGCCTATGGTTCCCACAACAACGGATCAAAATATTAATTTAATCCTGAAATAAAATTACAACCCAGCTTTCTTAGTTCAATGTTATCCCACGAGATTTTGACTGCCTAGGGGCCTCCAGGGGGTTTAATCTGGCACTGTTTCTGTTGAGCTACTTGTTCATCTCTTTCTTCTCTTACTCAACTTCCTTCACCTTCTGACTCTGTATTTCTGCAAACTTTGGGTTTGCCCCTAACCCTCCTGATACCTTTCCCTCATGCAAGAATGGCGCTTTCTGCAGCGTAATGACCAACATTCAGAGAACTGAGTTTCCTATTCATATAAACAAGTGAGGCCCTGCAATGAAACGTTGCTTGTTTTTGTGTGGTGGGGTAGCCTTCAAAGCTTCCCCTTCTTAGGCAGGTGACCAAGTGAGTAGGTGACCAAGTGAGTGAATGAGCCAGTGAACAGGCAGATAGCTAGAGAGGGCAAGTGAGTAAATGGACAGCCAGCAGGTGGCTGACTAGTGCCCAAGTACTCCTCCAGCTGGTCCAGGTTAGAACTAGCTATTTCATTCTGGCTGCCGGTCTCATAGTTAGGCCAACTCTTCTCTTCTTGAGTTGCAAGGGTGCTGGGCACTCTATGTAGCAGATGATCTTTCCCCTTTGCAGGATGCCCAGACCTTTGACACCAGTGAAGGGCCTTTCTCTGCTTCCCTTCCAGGTGTGAAGGTATTTCATTAACATGTGCTCTTTTGCTGAGGGATGGAGGTGAGGGGAAAAGAGTTTGCTGGGCAACTGCTGAAGCTTGGCTAAGCTGCCAGGACAATGCTCTTGGGTGTAGCTAAACCCTATCTCCTCCTATTCTTATTTCTATAACACAGAAGACACCTTTTCCATCTGAGGAAGAAGGCAGCAGGGATTTGCTTGACGAGGCAGCTTAATCCCCAGTGCTTTAGACAAATGACTTTCATTCTTTCTTCACCTGCAGGAGTTCAGGAAAAAAACTCCAGAGCAGAGTGATGCAGACATGTGCAGCCTGTTTCTATGTAGGGCGTTTTTTGTGTGTGGCTTTTAAAATTATTTGGGGGTTCACCCAATATTTCCCCCCTCAAGGATTACCCAAGTTGTCTTATACCTCCCTCTTGTGTATGGCTGTTGCTATTCCAGTAACATAAAGGCTGATGTTCTCCCTTGCAGTTATGTATAGATATTAACCCATGACAGGGAAAGTGAATGTCTCTGTGATCCCTGGATCAGTAGCTAAACTAGAACAGACTCTTTGGAGAATATTTCTGTTACATTTTTGTGAAGTTTAGGGCAACATACGTCTAGAACTAAAAATCCACCAAACACCCTGTAGCCTTTTTTTTTTCTGTGTGCCAAGGAATGTGAATCTTTGCAGCACCTCTTTGTAAGGAACAGCACTCATGAAGTAGGAATTGCTAGTGAGGTTGTGATCTTGACCTGTCCTTCCCTATCTTTTATTTAGGTTACTCAGTTCTGTGACAAAAGCAACCATAATATTAAAGCAACAAATTTGCAGAATAAAATGTGCAACTACAGGAGCACCTGGGAAGTAATTATGGCCTCTCCCGACTTTGCCAGTTCATCTCCAATAATGGTTCCCCCACCTGATCCCACTGTCTCCTTGCTGCAAAAACAGGACAGAGTTTTGTGTCTAGTGCTTGATGTTTCCGGGAGCATGGATGCGGTAAGTCTGATTTCCATGTTCAGAAGATCTATTTTGAGACAGTTCAGAAATTATGGTATTAATGTCCATAGCGAAAACAAGTGTCAACACAGCACTGGCATTTATGTACTGTGAGGCTAAATTTTGCTGTACCTCAGTTGTTGGGAACCTTTGACCTTCCACATGGCAAAGCAATGATGGGAGTTGCAGTTCAGCAACCTCTGGAGGGCCACACATTCTCCACGCCTGGCCTACTTGATTAGTTTATTTGGATATTTATCAAACTACAGCAAGTTGTTCGTAGAGGTCAGAGGTTCTAGGACAGGACAACTTGGCTGTTGTGCAAGGCAATCACTGCCTGCAACCCTCAGCCTAATGTCACATTGATGCAGGGAACCCAGAGGGAGAGATGGACTGTGGGAGGTGAAAAACATGGGAGTGGGGAGCCAAAACAGATGGACGGATAGAAGCAGGACAAGGAAATCCCACTGCAAGCATTCAGTTTAGATGTCTAGTCTTTCAGGGCTTTCAATACTTCAGGAAGCCTCAACAGATACAGTAGTACCTCGGGTTACAGACGCTTCAGGTTACAGACTCCACTAATCCAGAAATAGTACCTCGGGTTAAGAACTTTGCTTCAGGATGAGAACAGAAATTGTGCGGCGGCAGTGTGGCCGCAGTGGGAGGCCCCATTAGCTAAAGTGGTGCTTCAGGTGAAGAACAGTTTCAGGTTAAGAATGGACCTCCAGAATGAATTAAGTTCTTAACCAGAGGTACCACTGTACTCGGAGCCTAGAGTACAGAGGTACCATTGTACTCAGAAATTCACACGCCTAGAAGAGCCACTTGGCTCTTGGGGAAGGGGGCTTAAGAGACACCGAAATAATTCAGTTAAATCACAAGGTTTGAATAATCTAACTGATAAGCAAAGAAAAACAAGACTGTAGAATTGAGTTGATATTTGCCGCAGGAGATAATAACATAGGCATTTATACAGCAGCCACAAAAACAGCTGTGACTCCTGGCCCTTGGAGTCCTTTCTAACTCTACAGTTCTGTGGTTCATTATTACATAATGAAAACATAATGGAATAAATACTATTCAATGACACAATTGATGGGACAAGCCCCACTGAAACAAACAGTGCTCTTGTGCACCTCCCATCTATTTCAATGGAGCCTGTGCATGAAAATGTCCAGGTGAATTGTGTCCTAAATCACAACACGGATGAGATTATTTGGATATTCATAAATGTTATGGACTTGTCTATAATACTATATGTTTATCAAGCCTTGTTTTTATAGAGTATAGTTAACAATTGTGTTTTCAGTCATCTTCATCATTTGCTTCCCGGAATGCACTGGCAGACCTGTGAATGCTGTTGTTGTTTTGTTTTTAATTCATTTGCAGAACAATCGCACTGTTCGGCTGAAACAAGCTGCAGAAATATTCCTCCTGCAGGTTATTGAAGCGGGATCCTGGGTTGGAATAGTTACATTCAGTAGCACAGCAGCAGTTAAGACTCATTTGAAGCAGATCAGTAATGACAGTATGCGCAAAACTCTCACAGAGTACCTGCCCACCAGAACTACTAGAGGAACCAACATATGTTCTGGAGTGCGGTCAGGATTTCAGGTGAGGAATTTTCCCCTCAGATTCTTTTTTCCCTATGCTTCTACTTAGTAGAGTGACCAGATGCAAAAGTGGGCAGGACGCATATTGTTACAAGCGGAATTTAAGCCTAAAAGGCTGCCCTGTGGCTTCTGTGTTGTTTTTTTCAATATCGCTGCTAAAAATTTTAATCCTCTTTTCCATACAGGTGTTTCTACACAAGTATGGAAGTACCAAAGGCTGTGAAATCGTTCTCTTGACAGATGGAGAAGATACAGCTATAAGCTCTTGCTTTGATGAAGTTCAAAGAAGCGGGTCTATAATTCACACCATTGCTTTGGGATCAAATGCTACAAAAGACCTAGAAACATTGGCAGACAAGACGGGTAAGTGAGCAAGAATAATGTCTTGCAAGACTCTTCTATGCTACCTGGTAGCCAGTTGGTGTCTCCCCAAAAAGTGAGTTCGCTCCAAGGCCCAGCCACTTCGCCAAGCTACTCCCAGCCACACAATATTCCTCCTACTTGCTCCGTCCACAGAAACGTTTATTTCAGCCATGACAGCTAAATTAGATTGCCATATTCAGAACCCGCAGGGAATCCATTTTGACTTCAGGTTCTGCTTGTAAGTATCCAACCGGCATTTGGTTGCCACTGCTGGAGATAAAATGTGGGCTTTGACTGAGACAACCCATTGCTCAAGGATGCAAAACTGAGGTGCAGGCTAATTACTGTTACTGAGAAGCCCATCCCAAAACTCCATACAAGGCAACTCTCCATCTTCTGTCTTTCCCTCAACTCTCCAGTCATAGTTAAGGATTGAGTGGCCTCTGTTTTGTCTGGCTTTTAGCTCATTGCTTTTACTATGCTATAACTTGGCATTTTGATGACTCTTCTCCATATTCTTTAACCAATAAATCTTTATTGGAGAACAAATCTTTAACCATAGTAACACACATACTTCTTGCTCATTGCCCCTAGTGAGCAGGAGTGGCACTGCAATTGTGTCAATTGAAATAACCTAAATAGTCCACAGGCATGACAGGAACATGTGTGTAAGAATTAGGTACACATGTATTGACACATATAAAAATATGTAAGAGATCTGCAATCAGCTTTTTTGATATAATGTTTTCACAATATATTGATGAGCGCATTTTTTTTAAAAAAAGAAACTAGGGGAAATTAGCAAAAGCGCTTGCAAAATTTATGTAAATTTGTATCTATCAGCTTCTTTCCAAAATCTGTTAATTACTCAGCAGTACCCATGGCCTCCCTTTTAAATGTGTAGGGGTTTTTATATTTTATTTTTAATGATGCTCCTTATAATCCAAACTTAAGATTTCAAATCTCACAAAGTTAGTTCCTTGTAAATGTCTGGCCAGATGTAAATACAGTATCTAATTTAGAGGAACTGACAAAAAGGGGGTATTCAGATTCTTTTTACTACATGCCTCTGTATAAGAAATACTATTTCTATTTTCACAGAGGCCACAGATCCTGACCCAACTATAGAAAGGTGCAGCAAAGGCCTGTTGCCGTGCACAGTTCCTAACATTAAAAAGCAGCACCTGTAATTCTGCACAACCACACCTGCCCATGCCACTACAAGGCACAATGCGTATTGCATTTTATTCCACCTGACAGTATAACTATTCTAATTATTCCTTCAATCATATTTCAGGGGGTCTGAAATTTTCTATCACTGACAGTGTGGATTCCAACAGCCTCATCGATGCTTTCAGTGGACTTTCTTCAGGAAGTGGAGATATCAGTCAACAATCTATTCAGGTTTGAACCTGCAAAGATTTGAGTATATCATCACTATCACTATCATTGCTATCACTAACATTATTATTATTTGCTTAAAATTACTAGGCAGCATAGAAAAACAAAAGACAACACAGAGTGAAATCAATTCTACAGTTCATATTTTGCTATTGCGATCATGAGGGAAACCCCAGGTAGAGTTCAAAGAGAAGGGCAAATGGCCAAGATAGATTTTGGCGGAGCTGAAACATTTCACAATGTACCATTCTGAGTTCAAATCAACTTTATTTTTCTCTGTCTGGACAAATAACAAATTGGAGAAGAGGTTTCATTAGGAAAATAGCATATGGGGAAAGTGTTTCCTTAAAAACCACCCCAGCACCATGGTTCCTGCCCAGAAGATTGTATCTCCTTGGCAACCCTTTGCCAAAATGTGGAAACTGGAGATTTGCGTTGCCTCATCTAGCATTGTCCAAATATAGGCTGGCCATTTCCAAGGCTGTTGAGGTAGAGGTGCGATTGTTTCCACCTGATTCAACGTAGCTGCTTATCTGCCTTCCTCCATGTCTGTAACATTGAAATATTGATAGAAAGTAAATTTATCACCACTGGACAAACCAATATCTGTATGGGGCAAGACCTATCATGTCATGACTGTACCAGCATTTTTATTAAAGTCTGAGTATTGCATATTGTCTAGCAGAACTAACCACTGTGAAGGCACCTTCTAAACAATGTACCGCCACTCATTTCTTTACACCTTATGAAAGGAAATAAACCATATGTATTCAATTTATAAAACTTTTCAGATACTGTATACTTATTTCTCCCCCCTCTTTCCTGCCAACAGCTTGAAAGTAGAGGGCAAAGCGTCGGTTCCCAAGACCAGCTGAATGGTATTGTAACCATTGATAAAACAGTGGGGAATGACACTTTCTTTGTGGTGACGTGGGGCACATCCCCACCAGAAATTCTGCTCACAGATCCCAAAGGAAGAGAGTACACCGAAAAAGACTTTGCAGTTGATAATACCAACGTCCGAACAGCTCGCCTCAAGATTGATGGAACCGCAGAGGTAAAAACTGAGCACTTCTGAAACTTCTCTGCTTGTCTAACCCAGTGTTTCCCAACCACTGTTCCGCGGCACACTAGTGTGCCGCGAGATGTTGCCTGGTGTGCCGCGGGAAAAATTAAAAAATTGAAAGATTTTTTTTTTAAAGTCAAATTTTCGATTGGGGCGCCGTCACTAGATGACCCCTGGGGTTCCCTCCCTCCCTCCCACTCTGCGCCTCCCTCCTCCTCCTCCTCCTCCGGGGAGGCCCTTCCTGGCTCTCGGCCAAGGCTTGGCGGCTGCCACTCACTCACTCGCTCGCCCACCCGTCCCTCCATCCCTGCACCCGGCCTCTCCCCCTCCGTCCCTGGCGTGGGGGCTGCCGGGATCCGTAGTCCCCTCGCCCTTGGGCTCCGCGCCCGCGCGGGGTGCGCAAACTACGTTTCCCAGCATGGCCTGGCGGGCCGGGCGTTTTGTTTGAAGCGCTCTTCTCCCGGCCATGGAATGAGCGCGGCGGCGGCGGCCGGGCGGGCAGGGGCTCTTCCGCGCAGATCCCGCGCAGCCTGCCTGCGCCCCCGCGGAGATCGGGCGGCAGGATGGAGGCCGGGGATCCCCGCGGAGGCGGAGCGGCGGAGGCGGAGGCTGCCCCCCAGGTAGGGCTGCGTCGGGGGGGTTTTATTTTTGCAATGCTGCATCCGCGCCGGAGGGGACGCATCGGACCGCGGGGAGACCCCTTGGCGGGCGTGCAAGGCAATGCATGCGTGCAGGCATTGCATGGAGTGCAGTGCAATGCAATGGCAACGCGGCGCCCTGCATGCATGCATGCAACTTCCACCGGCGCTCCGGACTTGGCAGGTGAGGGGGGTCCCCAGTGGGCGGCAGAGAGAGCCGGGAGGGCGAAGGGGAGCCGGGGGGGAGCAGCGCTGCTCCCCGAGCCGAGCCCGGGGGGAAACTTCGGCGTCGTTGCGCCGGGTGTTGGAAGCGGAGGCTGGCGGGGGCCCCTCACCTGCAAAACCTGGTCGCCTCTCATATATTTCGTGCATTGCATTCATCGCCCGCTTTCTCCTCCAAGGAGCTCCCGGGGGCACGCGTGGTTCTCCCCGTGTTATCCTCGCAACAACAGCCCTGCGAGGTGGGTCAGGCGAGTGGCCCAAGGGAGCACCCAGGGATTGTCCTGGCCAGGTGGGGTGATTTGAACCCTGCTCTCTGCCCGGTCTTCGTCCTCATTTAGCCCCCACATGTGCATGACTGTGCATGACTGAGGTTTTCCCCCCTCGTCTTGGCTATGGTGTGAGTCTGTGCTGTTAATTAATGGGGTTCTGCCTTCGGAGAAGATGAGCCAGCCCTCAAGGAGGTGATTATGTAATTTGCTAGCAATTCATGTCCCTCCCAGCGTGACGCTGCGCGCTGACGTCACGGGGCTGTAATGGTGGTGTGCCTCGAGATTTTTTTCATGAAACAAGTGTGCCTTTGCCCAAAAAAGGTTGGGAAACACTGGTCTAACCAAATGGGGCAATGCCTGTCTCATTGCATTTTTTTGGAACAAGTGCCAGCAAAGGTTTCTGCCACTACAGCTAAAGTAGCATATAGATTATGCAAGCAGGGAAGAGCCATTTGCTTCCAGAAGTCCCATATGTAGCATTCTGCAGTGTTCTTAATGAGCTTCAGTATTCCAGATTAGTATTTCCCACACCCTCAGAGTATGGTGATTAGGGCTGTGTCTGCGGAGTCCAATACCATGAAACGGTTCATGAAGTGTTTTTAAGGTCCCTTCACAGCTTCTGCTGAATCTGTGTTGGCTTCTCTGAAGCTGGACCTCACCTGGGAAATGCACAAGCTTCCTTCCTGTCTTCCTGATCCTAATGGTCATTTGGGAAGTGAGCAGGTGTGTGTACCTGCATGTGTCCGTCACCTCATCACCCTCACTTGAGCATACAGCATACCCTGAGGCAAGATACATACGTCAATGGGTAATTACTGGCTCATTGAGTTTTCAGCCAGCTCTGAAATTGCCATAAAAAAGGTAAACAATTACATTAGTTTTGAAAACCTAAAGGACTAGATCAGGAATAGTTAACAGTAGTGAAATGAGAAATGAAGCAAAATGATCAGAGTGAGGAGTCAATTGAATCATGTTCCAAATTGGTACCAAGAATCAGATTATAAGCGGGAACCAATTTAGGCGTGTCCAATTGACACCTGATCATTGACCTGAGGGTCCTTTTGGACCTGGAAGGGGGCAGGGTGGGCTGGAATGGAGGCAGGGCACTCAGGGGGCGGGAACAGAACCCCCATGCAAAGTGGCCACTGCCTTTAAGAGTAAGCATCATTCATCCCCCCTGGAACCCACCCAGTACGTTGCAGAATAGTGAATCCTTCAAAAATCTAGGGTGGCAGAATCCTGGGCACTCCTGGGAGCCTGTAATTATTTATTGTCTACCTTTCTTGTGCCCAAAGGAGTAATACTCTCATGGTGTGCTGTTGGAGAATTACTAGCTGTGTCCAATTCATCTAAGAAGCAATTTTTTCAATAATCTTCAATGATTAAGCTGTTTCTTTTTATAAAAAAAAATCAAGTACTCTTTTGCTTATTTGAGTGATATCAAGCTCTTATGTGTTTTGGTAGGATGAGATGGTGGAGAGGAGCATAGGACTTTGAAGGGTGGCTGATCCTTGAGGGAGGTGGCAAACAGAGATGAAAATGGCAAACCAGTCTCTCCCGCAAGTTGTTGTTGTTTAGTCATTTAGTGGTGTCCAACTCTTCGTGACCCCATGGACCAGGCACTCCTGTCTTCCACTGCCTCCCGCTGTTTGGTCAAACTCATGCTGGTAGCTTCGAGAACACTGTCCAACCATCTCGTCCTCTGTCATCCCCTTCTCCTTGTGCCCTCCATCTTTCCCAACATCAGGGTTGTCTTTGTCCATGGAGTTTTCTTGGCAGGGATATTGGAGTGGCTTGCCAGTTCCTGCTCCAGGTGGATCACATTTGGTCAAAACTCTCCACTATGACCTGTCCATCTTTGGTGGCCCTGCATGGCATAGCTCATAGCTTCTATGAGTTGTTCAAGCCCCTTCACCACAGCCTTGCTAATTTCGCTTCTTCCTGTAGCAAGAGAGAGAGATCAGCTTCCCTTTGGCATCACTGCTCACTTACTAGGCTAAACCCAACAGAGGAAAAAGTTTGTAGGTCTGACTTCCCTCTTTTTCACAAAAGTGTGTGTGTTAGGAATGGAATGGCAGAAAGTTTAGCAGTGAGCAGGCAAGGGAATAGAAATTGCTACTGTGTTTGTGCTCAAGGAAAGAACCGGGCAAGCAAATACAATCAGTATTCACCATTGTTGGTTGTGTTAGCCTGCAAACAATACATAATTGTAATCATTTTAATAAAAAGACACCTACCTTTATCAAAGCACAACAGAAACCAGAAGAAATGGAAATGCGTTTATAAACACAACTTAGATACTCAATAGTCTTCTGTATTTCAACACTTGATTTTCAGACAGGGGAGTGGATTTATTCAATTAAGAACACACATTCGGGAGCACAAGTCATATCAATAACGGTAACCACTCGAGCAGCCTCTGCCTCTGTGCCTCCTTTGATTGTGAAGTCCTACACGAAAAGCGATACCAATAAGTTTCCTAGTCCGATGGTTATTTATGCAGAAGTCAGCCAAGGATTCTTGCCTGTCATTGGTGCAAAAGTCACAGTGACGGTCGAACCAGAGATTGGAACACCAGTAGAACTGGAGCTTTATGATGATGGTTTGGGTAAGCTTATTTTGAAGCATTTACAGAAGTGTGCATTTAAAATTTTTTCAAAAGCAAGTTTTTCAAAAGTCAATTTTCATTGACTCCTTTGAAATGGAGTAAATGCATTATTATTGCAAATCCAAATATATGTATGGGACTTGCCTTGTACCATGTGGCTTGCTATACCTGCCTTTGTGAACTGGAATCATTGCATATAATGACCTCATTCTGGGCTCTGTCCCAAGCTCCATCAAATCGTGCAAATAGTGTCTGTGAAATGTTGGGGAGCATGGTGACCTACCAATGTTTGGGAAAAAGAAAACATCTTTGCCTGGTGCTGAAACAATGGCAACATTGGTGCCCGGTTGGTGTATCTGGGAGAACATTACATAACCATGGGCCACTACAGTTAAGTCCTGTCGTCTTCTTCTTCTTCTTCTTCTTCTTCTTCTTCTTCTTCTTCTTCTTCATCATTGAATTTATATGAGGGAGGTCATTGCCAGCCTCCAGACCTCCCTCAGAGATTGCACACAGGGAAGCATCCCAGATGATGATCTCAGGACCTGGGTTCATATGCGGAAAGGGGGTCCTTTAGGTCTATTTATCACAGTAATCCACCAGGAGTTTGATAAATGTGCTGATTTTGCTAGCTGCCTGGGAGTGCCAAAAATTGAGCTCGGCAGGAGTTCGGCAGGCCACAATACATGCTGTGTGTTTGGTTGGTCCCAGGTTTTGTTGGCCTGTGTTTTATTGACATCAGCTATTAACATTATGATTCCATACTACCACTTTCAGAATCATCTATTTCCACGGATACAGCAACACATACTGTGAAATGAAAATAGGTTTTGTAGGTTGTTGGGTTGTTGTTGTTTTTTAATGACCAGAAGTGTGACAGTTGCTTCGGATGTCACTTTTCATTATTTATGTACTCAGGCGCCGATATTCTCAAGAATGACGGAATCTACTCAAGGTATTTCACATCATTCAGAGGAAATGGTAGACACAATATCAAAGTGCGTGTCCAAGGAAAAGACCAGACCCTCAGACGGTCCCGTAGACAGAGTCAAGCTTTATATCTAACAGGATTTGTAGAAGAAGATGGTAAGCAAGTGTTATGAAATAGCTCTACTGCTGGTATGTTAGCTCTGTGGTTCTCCAAGTATGAAATTGGGGATGGATCTACACACAGGGGGGAAATGCTATAAGTAAGTCATAAATTAAATTGTTATACTGTAACAAAAGGGGGGGAAACGAATATCTTATATAAAAAAAAGAAGATTAGGAGGATATCAAAAGGAAAAAAAACAAAAGGGGGGAAACGCTATGTAAGATCTCAAGGAAAAGGTTTGTGCTCTACAGCGCCATCTGGTGTGCATGTTTATAACACATTCAAAACACTGTTTTTTGACTAATGCAGCTGAGTGCTGGGTCTCTCAGTAGAAACACAAGCATCTTCCTTCCCTATTGTTGACATTATGTAGATCTGGACCATTGAGTATACAACTCTGATGCACCCACACCCTTCTCTCCTATATTATTCTAATCTACTGTGTGCTTCCCAAATTAGTGGGTAAACGGAATTTGTTATTTGAACCGATGAAACAACCTAATTCTTACTAGGGTTTAAAATAAATACTCTGCCATCCTTCTTTTGGTCCTAAGTGCACAAGAGTGCAGCCTTAATTGATTTATTGTTTGCATATACTTATACTTCGAGCATTTCAGATTCTCTTCTGTTTCCATTAGTTGCCAGCACAAAGTCTAGAGCAAGTTGCCATTTTCTTGCCATAGTATTTCTAGCCAATCATATGCAATGCTGCCTGGTTTTGTCTTGCATGTAGATAATTCATATGCCTCTCAGTTACATTGATTTCTCAAGTGGTACACGAGGAACTCAATACAATGAAAATAAAAATCTGTTAAAACTGTAAAGCACCAAGGAAGTTTAGATGTTTATAGTTATGGCTCTTCTTCCCCCACTTTTGTAGGTCAAATAACAATGAACCCCCCCAAACCTGAACCTACAGATGATGAACTCCAAACCAATCTAGGAAGCGTCAGTAGAGTTGCCTCAGGTGGTTCCTTTGTAGTATCAGGAGTCCCTTTGGAAAACACCATCACAGATGTTTATCCACCCTCTAAAATTTCTGACCTTGAGGTAAAACTAGATGAGGATGATGATCATTTCTGTTTGGCATGGACGGCTCCTGGGAATGACTATGATACAGGACAAGGTAAGTGTGGAATCCTGCTTTAATCAACCCACAAGTCTGCTTTGCTTACAGAAAAGATATTATTATTATTATTATTATTATTATTATTATTATTATTATTATTATTAAAGTATAATGGGGTGGATGGAGAATTTACACCAGCCACCTCTCCCTGTAATATCCTGGAGGTAACATTCTACCCCAAACTGCCTTCCTCACCTTGGCTTCTCCGCAACTGGCACTGAGACAGAACTGCCTTGATATAAGCATGGAACACAAATCTCCCTCCAGCAGGATCCAGAATACCATTGGGTTGCAAAAGCAGCATAGCCCAAAACCAGAGTTGTCTCAACAATGTCACCTGCATGGCAACATCCTCGCAAAGTTTCTGCGTAATAAAGTAGCAAAAGTCTATATTCCTGACAAAGCATGTCAGGAATGGGGGAGTTGAGTGGCTGTTTTTCTTCTGTGGAATGGGTACCCTATGGTGCCCATGACAGTTTCTTAAATTTTGTAATCGTCACTGTTTATTAAATATGTATACAGTGGTACCTTGGTTTCTGAATTTAATCCGTTCTGGAAGTCCATTCTTAAACAGAAACCGTTCTTAAACCGAGGTGTGCTTTCCCTAATGAGGCCTCCCACCGCCGGTGCCCTCCCACCATTCGGATTCCATTCTTAGACCGAGGTAAAGTTCTCAAACTGGGACACTACTTCTGGTTTTGTGGAGTTTGTAAACCAAATCGTTCGTAAACAGGACTGCTCTTAAACTGAGGCACAGTGGTACCTCGGGTTAAGAACATAATTCATTTTGGAGGTCTGTTCTTAACCTGAAACTGTTCTCAACCTGAAGCACCACTTTAGCTAATGGGGCCTCTTGCTGCTGCTGTGCTGCTGCTGCACGATTTCTGTTCTCATCCTGAAGCAAAGTTCTTAACCCGAGTAAATATTTCTGGGTTAGCGGAGTCTGTAACCTGAAGTGTATGTAACCTGAAGCATCTGTAACCCGAGGTACCACTGTACTGCCCTTCATCTGAAGAACCCAGGGTGGTTCACATTAGAAAAAAACAAAATGAGAACACAAAACACATAATAAAACAAAAACAAAAAAACCCTATAACACCCTCCCACAAACACATTTAAAAGGTTGTAGAATGATAATCATCCAAATGCCTGGTTGGAGAGAAATGTTTTCACCTGGCGTCATGATCGATGTGACATGCTCAAGCCGTCTTTCCCCAGTTAGCAACCTGGAGAAGTTTCTGAACTGGCTTCAGTAGCAGCCCTATGTATAACACATTGCAGTAATCTAACCTAGAGGTTACCAGAGCATAGATGACAGATGTTAGGCTATCCCTGTTCAGATAGGGGTACAGCTGTGCCACAAGCCGGGGCTGATGGAGGGCACTCTGCGCCCCTGAGGACACCTGAGCCCCAAGCAACATTCGAAGGGAATGTAACTCCATCTAGAGCAGGTCACCTTGCATAAATCCAGTCCAAGGAACCGTCCACTACCAATGTCTCAGTCTTATCAGGATTGAGCTTCAGTTAGTTGTCTCTCATCTAGCAGTCTACAACATTCACTGCCACACCTGCAGAAGTAGAGCTGTGTGTCACCAGCATATTGCTGACAACGTACTCCAAAACTCCAGATTGCCCCACTCAGCATGTAGGTGTTAAACAGCATATGGGATTAAATTGAACCCTGAGGAATCACGCCTTGAAGGCTCCATGGGGCTGAAGATCACCCTCAAAGCATCACCCTCTGGAAGCAACCATCCAAGTAGGACTGGAACCACCGCAAAGCCATGCTTCCCACGCTCAACTCGGACAGCCCCTCCAGAAGGAGACCATGGATGATTGTATCGAAAGCTGCTGAGAGGTTGAGGAGAACAAATAGGGACACATTTCCCCTGTCTCTCTCTCCCAGCAGAGCTCATCATACAAGTGTGACCCCCCAAAAAGGTTGTGGGTATCCGTGACATAGGCCAATATTTTTACACTGGCATGAAATTACAGTTAACCTCAACAAGCAGCCTGTGTGAGCGGAGAACTTGGCCTTAGAACATTCTCCAGGGCTCTTTGCGACATGCAAAGATGCAATAGCAGTTATGCATTCAACCCAACGTGCAGAGAGTTCCCTAAGGAGTTTGTAAATACACGGAAGCAGATTTTTGTCTCTGTTATTCCGGAAGACGTAGGTCCTAATGGATGCCTGTTGTTTGTTTTCATTTCACAGCTGAAAGATATGAAATAAAAATGAGTGGAAATCCCTTGGAATTAAGACATGGAACTTTTGATGACGCCACTTCTGTGAACACTACTGGACTTGCAGTGGAAATTTCTGGGGTCAGACAAATGTTTCGGTATAAGCCCCACAACTTCACGAAAGAAAATGGCACCTCCATCTACTTTGCAATTCGTGCCATTGATGGCAGCAGCAACGTTGGAGAAGTATCTAACATAGCAAGAGCAGTTGTGCTTCTTCCTGCGTTGCCACCTACTCCTGCTAGTCCAGTTACAACTTCTACTGCTCACACCACTCCAGATGACAAATACTCTGTTTCGCCTACTCCGGATGACAAACATACAACTCCCTCTAATGTGAAACCCACCTGTGCTAATGATACCAACACAATAAATACCACTATGGAAACTGTGATCATCGTATGTGCTTCTGCAATTATAATTTGTGCTATTGTGAGTATAACAGTTTGTGTTTTACGTAAGCAGAGATACAGAAGTTATGACACTTGCATGGATATTACTGCTGTTAATAAGAATGCCCTCACTATTTTGTAAAGGATAATATATTTTATTAACTGTTTTAATGTTTATAAACAAAATATTGAAACAAACAAGAACAAACACTACTCAAAACATAACCTGGGTGTCTGCCCACAAACTCTTGGCACTACGACGAAAATGAGAGTGCTGGAGATGATTTTACATATTCACAATAAAAAATAACAGTGCTTTATAAGCCTCATGTGCTGTTTTTGTCTCAGCATCTATATTTTAAAGCCAGCAACCAATATTAAATGGGGATCATATACAATCAAGTATATAGATTTTTGAGAGACAGGTGGTAGACTCCTGGTAATAAACTATGAGAGAGTACCATGTAGTATACTCTCAAATGTACTTTCAATTTTGACTCCCTGCAAACATCTGGTTTTTCCTCCATTATCTTTTCCATAGCAGCCAACCCCTAAACTTTGACCCACCGGGCTGTGAAAGTAAATAGTGTATGGTATCTATAGTGATGCGCTATTTCTAATTGGAATGCTCCCAATACAAAAAAGGATGAACGTCTTGTTGCTTGTATTCCGTATAGTTCCTGGCTGTAACAGAGCGAAGGCCGAGTCCACTGTAATAATTTGGAGTACAGTAGCAAAGATTTCTTGAAAAACTCTCTGCCAAATTTGACAACAGGGCACTCCCATCGCATATTGCTAAAACTTCAGATGCGGCATTTGAAATAGGAATGCACCATAGATCGGCCATTAAATCCCTTCAAACGACAGCAATAAATATGCAATCTTGTATGGGGCCCATCACTGTAATTTATGAGCAACAGGATTTCTCCAAGTCCTTGGAGTGACTGACATTTGGGTGAGGAGAAAACAGATCACACTTGAGGAGATACTCAAAGAAACGATTGACTAGCTATTGAACGCTAGTGGGTTATTCTTAAATGCTATTTCATAAGTTCAGAGCTAGATGGTGCTGGTGTGACCTTTTTCTCCCAATGATATGTAAAATTTGTTCAAGGGATGTAAACGGGCTCATAAAACGCTGTGAAGAGGAGACAGATACGGAATGTTATTAAAATGGAGAGTCTCATGATAGAGTTGCTGCAGGAAAACCATAAAAAACGTGGGCTGATTGATTCTTCAATCATTTAAAAGTTGCAATGCCTGGGTTTTTCTTATTAAAATATCTCCCAGGAGTCTGCAGGTTGTTTAGTGTCATCGGAATACTTTTAAATACTTGGTTGTTGCTTTTTAATCTTTTTACAATTCATTTTAATATTTGCTTCCATATTTTTGTAAACAGAGATTTTTTATTTATTTTTTACAATCAAGTGCTCTTTACATTTTGCTAAATAAACGTGAAAGGGGATTTCCTATTCCCTTATATCTGTCTCCGTTGGAGCTCTATTTTGCTTTGTTGAAACTCCATATTTGATATTCGCATCACTGCTCGGCCGATGTGTATGAACTCTTCCTAACCTCTTCTAACAGAGAAGAAACAGGTTGTTTTTAAGAACGAAAGAGTCCTAGGATGGAATGCAATAACTGATAAGCAACCTAGCACCAAGAAAGGAATGTGAGGGGGTGCACTGATAGGCAACCTTAGGCCACTAGTATGACTGTTATATTATCCACGGATAATGAAAGCAATGTTGCTATGCACCTGTTTGAATACAGTATAGCAATTAATCAACAAGGTACTGAAAAATAAGTATAGATAACTGCACATTAGTATAATGAGAGGGTGGGGGTGGGTTTGGAGCACGTTACAAACACTTTCCTTCCTAATTCTCTCCCCAGGGATGCTTGCCTTGTGTCATCATTATTATATTATATTATATTATATTATATTATATTATATTATATTATATTATTTGTTGTTGTTGTTTAGTCGTTTAGTCGTGTCCGACTCTTCGTGACCCCATGGACCAGAGCACGCCAGGCACCTCTGTCCTCCACTACTTCCCGCAGTTTGGTCAAACTCATGCTGGTAACCTCGAAAACACTATCCAACCATCTCGTCCTCTGTCGCCCCCTTCTCCTTGTGCCCTCCATCTTTCCCAGCATCAGTGTCTTCTCCAGGGAGTCTTCTCTTCTCATGAGGTGGCCAAAGTACTGGAGCCTCAGCTTCACGATCTGTCCTTCCCGTGAGCACTCAGGGCTGATTTCCTTAAGAATGGATGCGTTTGATCTTCTTGCAGTCCATGGGACTCTCAAGAGTCTCCTCCAGCACCATAATTCAAAAGCATCAATTCTTCGGCGATCAGCCTTCTTTATGGTCCAGCTCTCACTTCCATACATCACTACTGGGAAAACCATGGCTTTAACTATACGGACCTTTGTTGGCAAGGTGACGTCTCTACTTCTCAAGATGCTGTCTAGGCCTGTCATTGCCCTTCTCCCAAGAAGCAGGCGTCTTTTAATTTTGTGGCTGCTGTCACCATCTGCAGTGATCATGGAGCCCAAGAAAGTAAAATCTCTCACTGCCTCTATTTCTTCCCCTTCTACTTGCCAGGAGGTGATGGGACCAGTGGCCATGATCTTCGTTTTTTTGATGTTGAGCTTCAGACCATATTTTGCACTCTCCTCTTTCACCCTCATTAAAAGGTTCTTTAATTCCTCCTCACTTTCTGCCATCAAGGTTGTGTCATCTGCATATCTGAGGTTGTTGATATTTCTTCCGGCAATCTTAATTCCAGCTTGGGATTCATCCAGCCCAGCCTTTCGCATGATGAATTCTGCATATAAGTTAAATAAGCAGGGAGACAATATACAGCCTTGTCGTACTCCTTTCCCAATTTTGAACCAAGCAGTTGTTCCATATCCAGTTCTAGCTGTAGCTTCTTGTCCCACATAGAGATTTCTCAGGAGACAGATGAGGTGATCAGGCACTCCCATTTCTTTAAGAACTTGCCATAGTTTGCTGTGGTCGACACAGTCAAAGGCTTTTGCATAGTCAATGAAGCAGAAGTAGATATTATATTAGTTTTGCTCATAACATTATTATCTTGTGAACGATGTGACAGGACCTCTTCTGAGGAAAGAAGGGCAGCATCGTCCTGCTCAGACTCTGCATTTGTATCATTCTTTCCTCCCACACTATGAGCCAAACAAGGTACTGACATTTACTAAAAACAAATGTGTCTGAGTCACAGTATTTCGTGGAAAACTCCAAAGGTGTTTCCCATCCCTTGACATTTTACATCACCCAACTGAGTTCGCCTTAACTGCAAAGGCAGACGAAGTTTTGCATACTGTTTTTAAAACTGTAGAACCCCAAATGAATCAGTCATCCAAGCATATCAAAAGTACGTCCCGTTTTCTTAACTTCTTAACTTTAATCATTATAATTAAAGAAGCAGACAAAGGTGGAGCTGTCGTCATCATGAACAAAACTGACTACATTCAGGAGGCTCACAGACAACTTTCCAATACCGCCTTTTACATAAAATTGGACTCAGACCCCACACAAGAATACAAAAAAGAACTGAACAAGATTGTTAAGGAGCTACCCCCACACATCCAAGAACAGATCCTCACCAACACACCAACAGAACCTCGACCAGGAACTTTCTATCTTCTACCTAAAATCCACAAACCAGGAAATCCAGGACGCCCCATCATTTCAGGTATTGGCACTATCACAGTGGGTGTCTCCGGTTATATGGACACTGTTCTGAAACCATATGCCATCAGTGCTCCCAGCTATGTACGTGACACCACAGATTTCCTGAGGAAAATACAATCTTTAAATAATCTTCCCAACAATACTATACTAGCTACTATGGATGTGGAATCTCTGTATACCAACATCCCACACAACGATGGTTTACAAGCTATAAGGAACACCATTTCAGATAAAACCACAGCAGACTTTGCCACCAAACTCTGCCAATTTGTCCTTACCCACAACAACTTCAAATTCGGTGATGACCTGTTCCTTCAGATCAGCGGCACAGCAATGGGCACCCGCATGGCCCCACAGTATGCCAACATCTTCATGGCAGATTTAGAACAACGTTTCCTAAACTCCTACCCACTCAAACCTCTCTTGTACCTGCGATACATTGATGATATTTTTATCATCTGGACACATGGTCAACAGACCCTGAACACCTTCCACCAGAAATTCAATGATTTTCACCCCACAATCAACCTAACAATGAATCAATCTATGCAAGAAATACATTTCTTGGACACTACTATAAAAATACAGGATGGGCGCATAGACACCACCTTATACCGTAAACCAACTGACCGACAAACATATCTACATGCCTCTAGCCACCATCCCAAACATACCAAACAGTCCATTGTTTATAGCCAGGCACTACGTTACAGCCGTATCTGTTCCAATTCTACAGACAGAGACTCTCACCTAAGAGATCTACAGCAAACCTTTTTAGAACTAAAATACCCAGCAGATGAAGTTAGACAACAGATCAACAGAGCCAGACTGATACCCAGAGAGAACTTGCTGCAAGACAGACCCAAAAAAGAAAATAACAGAACACCTCTAGTCATCACATACAGCTCCCAAGTTAAAACAGTACAACGCATCATCAGAGATCTACAACCTCTCCTGGACAATGACAGTTCTCTTTCTCAAGCTCTGGGAGGAAGACCTTTCATTGCCTACAGACAGCCACCCAATCTTAAACAACTCCTAACCCACAATAATACTACAACCAGACTTAACACGGACACTGGCACCAGAGCCTGCAATAAACCCAGATGCCAACTTTGCTGCCACATACACCCGGACAACACCATTACTGGCCCCAACAACATCACACATACCATCTCGGGACTATTTAATTGCTCATCGTCTAACATTGTGTATGCCATCAAATGCCAACAGTGTCCTTCAGCTCTCTATATTGGACAAACAGGCCAAACCTTACGCCAAAGAATAAATGGACATAAATCTGACATCAAGAATCACAAGACAGAGAAACCAGTAGGAGAACACTTCAATCTCCCAGGACATTCTATACAAGATCTCAAAGTAGCTGTTTTACTACAAAGGAATTTCAGAAATAGACTGGAAAGAGAAGCTGCTGAATTGCAAATCATTACCAAACTTAAAACCATGGAGACACCTGGCCTGAACAAAGGCATTGGATTCTTATCTCACTATACATGACAAAGCCATTTTTCACCTTCTCACCCCTTGCTTTTTCTTGTAAGACCTATTGCCGTCCTTAAGAGTCGTCAACAAGCTCATCACAGCCATCTGCCAATCACCCATTCCCACCCCCCTCTGAGTAATACCCCTCCCCACCTTCTCACTATATAGAAGGATCTGGCAACTTCTGTTTCAGTGTATCTGAAGAAGTGTGCATGCACACGAAAGCTCATACCAAGAACTAACTTAGTTGGTCTTTAAGGTGCTACTGGAAGGAATTTTTTTTGTTTTGACTATGGCAGACCAACACGGCTACCCATCTGCAACTTCAATCAAAACATCCACCTTCTCATTCCATTTACCTATGACCTTAAAAGCTATGTCATATATTTATGTCAGTATTCCCGCCCCCCAGCAATTAGGAAACCAATCCTAATGATAATTGAGCATAGTTCATAATTGTTCATACTGCCTGACTTGACCGTCAATTTAATATTGTTAATTTATTTGTTCAAATGTAAAATAGCCATGAAAACCACCTGGACACTCAAATTTGTTTACACCACCTTCTGATATCCATTATACACCTTCAAACCATGCTTGCAAACCAAAGGACTTTCCATAAATATATATATTTGTTTCATTCAATTTTTCTGTAATGATTTCCATACATTTCTGGGATACTGCAACACTTACACTGTTCAAATGTATATCCCTCTAGGTTTTAACTGTTACAAGCTTAGAAAACTTCATGAAGCATAAAAAATTCCTTCCAGTAGCACCTTAAAGACCAACTAAGTTAGTTCTTGGTATGAGCTTTCGTGTGCATGCACACTTCTTCAGATACACTTCTTCAGTGTATCTGAAGAAGTGTGCATGCACACGAAAGCTCATACCAAGAACTAACTTAGTTGGTCTTTAAGGTGCTACTGGAAGGAATTTTTTTTGTTTTGACTATGGCAGACCAACACGGCTACCTATCTGTTCATGAAGCATGTAATTAGACTGTTCAATTAAAAATAAACCCAAGTGGGAGACAGAAAACACTGTTTATTTCACATTTGTGGACTGGTTGTAATAAAACCTAAGTGCCCCAGTTCTCATTCTACAGAGCAAGTCCAGAAGGATACCATGGTCAATAGTATGAAGAGCTGAAGAGAGATGAAGAAGCAGTAGCAAGGTCCCACTTCCCCTGTCCTGCTCTGTGCAAAGACTGAGACCAAGGCTAACTCTTTCCCATGGCCAGGCCTGAACCCAGACTGGAAAGGATAATCCATTTCATCCCACAATGCTTGCACTTGC